GGTGCCCCTCTGCCACTGCCCCGTGATCGCAAGTTCGCGGAGACGGCTCCCGGGACGCGTGACCTTGGGTCACCTCTCGGAGCTTCGGTTTCCTCGGTGGCAAGAGGGGCCGGTGCTTCCCCCGAGGAGGGTGTCTGGGGTGGGGCGGGGCCGGGCTGCACCCCAGGAGATGCCCTGCGGGCAGCGGGGTGTGGCCGCCAAAGGGGCCCATCGTCCCCCACCCCGTCTTTGTCTGGGGGGACTGGGGGGTCTGGGCTCCGTCTGCACGGGGTTCACGCGCCGGTGGACTCGCTCTCCCCCGCGCTGGCTGTGCGAGGAGGAGGGGGCTCGAAGCCTCGGGCTGCCGGTCCTGGGGCTCCGCGCGGTCTCTCACCCCGGCATTTGCGGGTCTGGGTCCGGGCTCGCGGGGACCGAGGCCATGCAGCCTGACTCGGGGGCTCTGTTCAGACCGGCCCAGGCGCCGGGAGGGGTGGGCCCCGGCGGAGGGGGCCGCGGGCCTCCCTGTGGGTCCTCCTCCTTCGGTCCTCGGTGGCTCCCGAGCTCCGACCCTGTGGTCAAGGGAGGGTGGCCGGGTCCTTCTTCCCTGCACTGGGCCCCAGAGCTGCTGCCCGTCCCTGTCTTCAGCCAGTGCCGCCGGGGCCCGGGGTCCAGCTCCCTCCTGTCTCCCCGCATCCGGCCCGCGTGGCCGTGGTGGCTGCGACTTGACTATGGTCCCTACGGCCGCTTGTCGCCCCGCAGGTGGCGGCACCGAGTTCGCCCTGACTTCGCCCTCGGTGTGAGAAGCAGCCGCGGGCGGGCGCTGCGGGCGGAGCCGGGAGGTGGGTTGGCAACGGTTCCTTCTAGGTAGGCGGCGGTGCTGCCTGCAGGCTCGCCGGGCGGGGAGGTGCGTCTCCGGGGCCACGTGTTCAAGGGAGTTTGCCGCCCTGGCCGTGGGCTGCGTGGCGGTGGCTGGCAGGGGAGGCCCGTGGGCTCCGGCCCCGCCGTGCGGGTCCTCTCGATTCCTAACGGCAGCGGCAGACGGGGGCCGGGAGGGTGTCCGGATCGGCCCCTGCCGCCACTCGCCGCGTCGCCAGCACACGGGAGCCCGGGGCCCCTGTCAGTGGCCGGCTCGTGTCCCCCTGGTTCGAGAACTGGGGTCCAGACTGCGCCGTGGGGAGGGGGGCAGATGCACGGGCAACGGGGTGCCCACACTCGCCTTTCGGGTGCCGCCCGCCGGAGCGTGTGAGAGTCAGACCCTCCTCCCTGCCCTGCACGGTTGGCAGCCTGTGCCTCTCACTGGGGCGTCTGCGCACCCCTGGCCTCAGTAAGTCCCCGCCCACGCCGGCAGCTTCCTCGCGGCTCCGAATTCCACCATGTGGGCGTGTCCGCCTGCATTTTATTTCCCTGTTTTCTCTCGGGCAGGTCGCTGCCGGGTTGTCGTGTGTGTGAGTTGCTGCAGTGCGTTCGTCTGGAGCCGATCGCTCCACACGCCCGGCGTGGAGGCTGGGGTCGTCTGTAGTGACACCTCCCTGTGGGCCCTGGTCCCCCTGCGGGCGAGGTCCCCCTGTGGGCCGGGGCCGGGAGCGCCGCACCAAACACCCTCCCGCGGGGAGAGCCCTGGCAGACTGCTCTGTGGCCGTCCCCGGGGCGCTGGGCCCTGGGAGAGGGGGCTGGGCGTGAGGTCTCCGGGCTGCGGTCTGGGCACCCCACACACAGGTCTGCAGCCGGTGCTCAGCCCCCCGGCCCCGGAGCCTGGCCCCCAGCCTTGATGGCAGACACTCGGGAACCATAAGGCCGGGACTTCCGGGCTGGGGTCCCGGGCCCTGCTGTTGCTGGCCGAGCTCCACCCGGTGTGTGAGTGTGAGTGTGAGTGTGTGAGCACGCCTGAGGGGTGTGAGAAGGGGCACATCGGGGCCTCCAGAAGGGCTGGCTCCCCGCACCCTGTGCAGGAGGGTTTGCTGGCGGCCACTGCAGGTCATCCTGGCCTCTCTGGGGCGCGTTCCTCAGGCCGCCTGCCTGCCTCCTCACGCCTGGGCAGCATTAGGAGCTGGAGTGTGGAGCCCGGCATGGGGGCGCTGTCCTGTCTCGGGGACCCACGGGGGCAAGTGGCACCAGCGGCACAGCCGGGTGCTGGCAAGAGGAGGCAGTGGAGCCCCAGGGCAGGGGTCCCGGGAGCCCCGTTCTGGGACGCCAGGCGTGGTGTGGGCTGCCCCGGGCCCCACCCCTTACCTTCCCGGGGTTCAGACCACGCGTCCTTTCCGCAGAAGTCCTTCCTGCCCTCTCTGCTCGAGTCCCGTCCTGCCCCCTGCGGGCCAGCCCGAGAGGGACAGCTCGGGGACCGAGCATGTGCTGTCGCCCGTCTGACGCCGGGCCGCGCCCAGCTGAGCCACGCGGGGCCTTAAACGTAAATGCAGATTCCCGGGCCCCATCAGAGCCTGCCCAGCTGCCCGGGGAGGTCTGCCTTCTAAAGCACCGCCTGTGGACGCGAGGGAGCTGATTGGCTGGCTGCCGGCGTCGGGCACCGGTGGGGAGCCAGGGTCAGAGTGGCCGCGGCCCGGGGTGGGGGGACCCGGAGCCACGGCTGTGATCCAGGGTCCAGGCCTCGGACCTCGACGCCCCGCCCTGGAGGCTGTCCCGCCCGCTCCCTGTCCCGGCGCTGAGCAGTGCGGAGCAGCCGTGCTAAAGGTCACGGTGGGCGTGGCCCCCCGGGAGTAGCACCGACAGCACCCTGGGGAGCCAGCTCTCGGAGCGCTTTGTCCCCGCCCCCCGCTCCTCCCCGGAGGGAAGCTCTCTGGGCTCAGGTGGCCCCGGCTGGCTGTCCCTGGGGCGGGGGGGGGGGGCGGGAAGGAAGGGCAGGTGTGTGTGTGTGTGTGTCTTCATTCCGTGTATTAACTGGGACGTCGCCGGGAGGCGGAGGGAGGAGCTGGGGAAAGGTCACCCTTTGACATTTACTCTTTCCGGAGAGGCAGGCGGTGGGGCAGGGTCTCCTGTCGTCTCTGGAGCGATGACCCTCTCCCGCCCCCCGGCAGCTGGCCCTCTCCGGGTGGTGCCCCTGCTCCTGTCCTTTCTCAGGGGGCAACCCCCCCGCCCCCGCTGTCCTCCCTGCTGTCTCAGGGGTCCCACGTCTGCCCCCAGCAGCTCGCCCGACCGGGTCCCCGGGTCCCCGGAGCGGGCTGTCCTGTGGTCTCGCACAGACTCCCCGGCCGGGAAGCACGTGGCCCAGGCAGGTCCCGGGCGGGCGCCTGCGGTGGAGCCGGCACGTCCAGCCCTGCAGAGGGCGCCGCACCGTCTGGACGGGACCCCGGAGCCCGGCCCTTGGCAGCCGCCGGTGACAGGCTCCAGCTTGGGGCCGAGTGGCCATGACATCCGGGCCGAGGCCGCCGTGGCCGCACCGGCCGGAGGAGCCGCGCTGGGCCCGGGGCTGCGGGCCGGCGGACGCGTCGGGGGCCGTCTCCTGCGGCCGGCCCTCTCTCTGCGGCTGCACCCCCTGGTACGCGGCTCGGCCTCCGCACTCGCACCAGGTGGGCGAACAGGCCCCGGCCCCTGTGTCTGCTGGCCGCCGCGCGGAGGGGCTCGTGGGGAGGAGGGGGTGGTAGTGGTTCGTGGCGTCGGCACGGCCAGGGCCCGAGGGCGGCGGCTGGTGCGCCCTTGAGGCACCAGGCCCCCCCCAGCCACCCGCCCCCCGTGCTGACGCCTCCAGCTTCTGTCAGAGGACTGCCCGCAGGGGCGGACAGCGCGGCGGTTCTGACGCGCGTCCTCTGTAAATACTTAGAGCTCTCCACGCCAGGAATAACGTCTAAAGCCCGGTTGCTTGTGGGAGAGCCCCCCCCCCCAACTGGGGCTGTGCTGAGCCTGGGGGCCCGGCTGGGCCGGCGGCACCCTGAGCCAGCCCCTCAGGGTCGCGGCCCCCGTGGGTCCCGGCCCCCGAATGGCAGCGCCCTGCCGGCGGGCAGCGCACAGCGTGCGGCCCGCCAGCCAAGCCCACACCGTCTTGCGGGCTGGGAAACAGCCCTTCCGGACGGCCTGGGGTTTGCCCTGGAACCTTGGAGAAACTGCTGCTAGGGGGAGAGCGACCTAGAAGGAATGTGTCCCGGCCAGGGGGCCGTGGGCAGGGGACCCAGCCTGTTGCGTCTCCAGACGTGCGCGTCAGGACGGGCCGTGGCGGGGTGCGAGGGCTCCCCGGGGCGAGGCCCGCGGAGGGGCCCCCGGGCTCAGCTCCGGGGGGCGCTCCCAGCAGGGAGTGTCTGGCGTCTGCAAGTGGCCGTCCCGGGTCACGCTCAGGGTCTCTGTCCCCATCACACGCGCTGGTGCACGCTCCCAGGCACACGTGCAGGGCACTCGCAAGCTCGCACACTCACAGAAGCACGCACACGCCCGTGGACACGCACAGACGAGCCCACTCACGCCTGCTCACACCACGAAGGCTCCCGGTGGAGCCTCCGCTTCCTGGGGCCCCGTGGGTCCTGTCTCTGACCCGGAGCACCTCCCGCTGTGCTCCAGTGCCACACTCGGCACCCCTCTCCCCGCCTCCGTCTCCCCGGGGTCACCGGCCCAGCCTGCTGCTGCCGGCCGTTTTGAGGGTCTGTTTGATAATGTCCCTCCCCCAGCCCCCCCGCCCCGGGAGCTTTTGGAGCTGGGAGTGGGGTGGGTGCCACTGCCCCCCGGGCAGGGCCGGGGTGGGGCCTCAGCCCAGGGAGGAGGGAGGAGTGGCTGGTCCCCGAGCAGGTCACGGCTCACAGCTCACCTCGTGACGAATCCACCCGCCTGGGGACGTCCCGCCGGGCCCCCCCCCCCCGCCCGCAGCCCCCGCCCCGGCCCCAGGTGTCAGTGCCCCGGAGGGACAGACCCGGTGCCGTCGGCACGAGGAGGGGGTCCGGCCCGGCAGTGCTGCGCCCGCTGCTTTTCCCCCCAAGACGACGAGGACTCGGCGTTCGGTGCTCCCTTCCCACAAAACCCTCGTGACAGCCCTGCCGTGACTCCCTGTCTTCTCGTGACGTGACCAGTGTCTCCATCCCCCACAGGTCATCTCGGCGGTGTCCCGGCTGTCCCTGCACAATGTGGCCCAGAACAAAGGCATCAGGTGAGCCCCCTGGAGTGCGTGCCCCCCCCTGCACCTCCCCGACGTGGGGGTGCCCGGCGTCCCCTCCGCACCCGTCCTCGCTGTGACTTGCCCACGTGCTGTCGAGGTGCCGGTCGGTGGCGGCCGGCAGGGCCGGGAGCGGGGCAGAGGCTGCGGCTCACACACACACACACACACGCTGGGGCACTTGAGAGCAGGGTGCAGAGTCCCTTTCGGTTTGGGTGGTGAGATCGGCAGGCTGCTCCCGTCACAGACCGTGGCCGGGGGTGGGGAGGAAGTAGCTGGCGCTGGTTTGCAAAGACGGGAGAGAAGGGGGCCCCCCACTTGGGGTCCCTCGGCGGGAATGTCTCCCTGTGGTTTTCGTCCTGCTTGGAGCCCCGAGACCCCCGTGGCCTGGCCTCTCGTCTCGGGCATGTGGACGGGTCGCACGGCCCCAGGGTGGGGGGGAGGGCAGCCCCACGCGACCACGGGCCCTGGCCGGTCCCGGCCCGCCGGGCAGGGTCAGAGAGATGTCTGCATGGGGACCAGGTTCCCGGCCGGCCAGGGGCGAGCTCGGGAACTGCCCGGGGGGCCTTCCGGGGGGATGTGGGCTGGCAGAGGCGCAAGAGGGGCTTGGGAGGATGGAAACGGCCCCCCGGGTGGGAGACAGGTTGAACTCTGGGCGGGGGGGGGGGCTTCATCGCGCTGTTGCCTGTGAGCTGAGGGTCCCCGGCCCGTGGCTCCCCGCGGGGCTGGGCTGGCTCGGCCGCCCCTCGGGGGGGCTGTGGCTTCGGGCCCCGCGCCCCAGGGACAGATGCTGCTGCTGGGGACCCACTTTGCCGCTGGGTCGTCGGAGGACTCAGAAATCCCGTCGAACTCAGGGTCTGAAAATAGCATCACACGACGGTGTGTCTAAAGTGTTTCAAAACCACCCATCGAGCACGCACGAAGGAGCACTTACGGCCCAGGGTGTGAGGGAGGACCACCAAACGGACCCCCTGTCCCCGAGAGGCGTGCATTCCAGGACGCCGCCGAGTCCCCGTGGGGCGGGCAGGAATTGGGCCGGTTGGACCCGCCCCCCCAGAGCGAGAGTGTCGTTTCCGGACACAAAGCCAGAACCCTCTGGTCTTCCAGTTCTGCGCTCCCCAGAAACGCCTGTCCGTCCCATGTCCCCGGCCCGCGGTGACGTGTGGCGCTGGGGTTTCTTTGCCTGCCCGGCCGGCCGGCTTCCAGCACATTCTGGCTCTGCGGGCGCAGCGCACACCCAGGGAGGCGGGGACGGAGTCTGTGCCCCAGATCAGCCGTTTCCTCTGCTCCCCCTGATCCCTCCTCCGAGCTGAGCTTGTCACCCTCCTCTCTGCCCTGCCACCCCAGGGCCCAGGGGCCGGGAGCCCAGTCAGGTTCCTGGGGGTGCACGGGCGGCCTGGCTCTGTGCGGATGGGGTCCTGCCGCGGCCTCTGGCTGTGGCCTCCTTTGCCCCCGTCCCCGCTGCAGGCTCGGAGGGCCCCTGTCTCCCTGGGGCTTCCCAGTGGGAGACCACCCCCAGCGGGGGCTCCGGGAGCTGGCCCTGTGTCTGTCCGGGGCGTGCGTCTGCCCTCTGATCGGCATAAAGCCCCTGGGGTCGGGGTGCCGCTGCTCCTGGCCTTCTTGGTCAGCTCTCACCCGTCTCCCGTGGGCCCCGCACCCCGACGGCCCCCCCACCCCTGGCTGCAGCCCGAGCTTTGCTCCGACGGCGGCTTCACAGGAGGGAGGGGTGGGGGCAGAAGTGCACGACAAACCCTTGGGCCAGCAGCTGTGATTGAGAACCACCCTCCTTCCTCTCGGGTCCGGGGGGGCCCCCGGGCAGCACGTGGGCCCCGGGGTGGGGCAGCAAGCCCTAGGCATGTGGGACGCCGCCCCCCAGGGAGTCGGCACGCAGAGAGGGTGGAGAGGTGGGCTCCTGCCGTGGTGGGACCCGTGTCCCGCCTCCTGGGGGCCTCGGGTGGGAAGGGGCTGCTCTGGGCGTCTCCCCTGAGATGTGGGTGAGTCGGGGCGACCCTGGGGGACTTCTTGGGGCTCCCAGAGATGAGGCTCAGCTCAGGATTGGCCCCGACAAGGACTCCAGAAACACTTTTTAAAAAAGATCTTATTTATTTTTAGAAAGAGGGGAAAGGAGGGAGAAAGAGAGGGAGAGAAACATCAGTGTGTGGTCGCCTCTCACACGCCCCCTACTGGGGACCTGGCCTGTAACCCAGGCATGTGCCCTGACTGGGAATCGAACCGGCGACCCTGTGGTTCAAAGGCCAGTGCTCAGTCCACTGAGCCACACCAGCCAGGGCATCATTGTTTTAATAACAGAAATGGGGGGGCCCAAGACCCCCGCTTGGCTCTGTGCCTGCAGGAGGGATGCACGGCCAGGAGGCTGCTGTTCTCATGGTCACGGTCACAGTTCATGTCAGGAGAGGGCGGAGGGAGGCCCGCAGAGGGGGTGGGTGTGGGGCAGGGGCCGGGCTCCAGCCCCTGGTGCTCCCCGCTCCCAGCGGGGCCGCGGGGGTGACATTTCTCCTGGCCGCTGCGTGACGACCTGTGTGGCGTGTTGCCAACCGGGGGAGCCCCGCCCCCCGAACTTTGGTGTCCAGTTCTCACCGGGAGTCTGTCCCAGAGACACCGCTGGACCCCCCCACACCGCTGACCTTGGGCTCCGGCCCCTCCAGAGCGGGGGCTGCTCTGTGTGGCCCGGGGCCCCCACGTGCTCCACTAGCAGAGACCCTCCGGCTTGGCCCGAGGCCCCGGGGGACACGGGGACTCTGCCAGGCAGGACGTCCCCAGGACCCCGAGGCTCCCTCCCGGAGCTGGGCCAGGCCCCGACCTTCCTGGACACGCCTGTGGGGTGTGGACGTCCCGGGTCTGCCGGGTCGACCCTCCACTCCCCCCGGGGGAGGAGGCCTGGCCTGCCCGCCCTGCCCCCACACCTGCTGGACCTGCCTCTGCCGACCTCAGGGGCCCGGCCAGGGCTGTGGCCGTGGCTTCACCTCGGTGTGGCTTCACCTCGGCGTCGCTGCCCCGGGGAGGCGGGGAGACCCACCTCCCTGAGGGCTGACCGTGGTTTAAGGTCCCGGTGGTGGCCCCTGGGCCGGCCTGTCGCTGCTCTGTCCCCCGGCCCCCAGGGACTCCTGCCCCACCTGGCCCTGCAGCATGCGTCCTCCCCCCCGGCTCTGCTCCCACCTCGCTGAGCCCGCACGTCCCCAAGGGTGCAGGGCGGGCTCCCCTGTGTGTGTGGGGGGCTGCCTCTTCTCAGGGAAACCCATGACCATGAGCAGAGCCCACCCGCCCGTCCCCCTGAGGTGCCTGGCGCGGTGGGGGGCGCCTCCACGCTGCGTCTCAGACGCCTCACAGCACACCTGTGAGGCAGGTGGCCTCTCCCACTGCACAGGCCAGGTCACAGGTGGCAAGCTCACGGCCCAGGGAGCCGTGCGGCCGGCTCGTAGTCCCCCCCTCCCCCCCGCCCCCATCTGGCACGAGGCTGGAATTCTGAGCACGAAATCGGACTTTGCTCTTCAAACCAGCGCCCCCCCCACCTCCTGGGAGAAGCCCCCTGATTTCCCCAGGCCAGGACCATGTCCCCCCAGAGCCTTCCCCCTCCCTCTGTGCCCGTGTGGCCTCCTCGGCGGGTGTGGGTCCCCCTCATCTGGGACACGGGCGCAGCCTGAGCTGGGTGTGGGGGGCAGGGGTACAGCCTGGTGCTGCCCCCCCACCCCCGCCCCGTTTCGACGGCCTGTCTGCACGGGGCGGGGCCGAGGACGCCTGTGGTGACAGCCGAGTGGAGGAGCAGGAGAGCCGGTTCGCACAGCGCTGCAGCCCTGGGCTCCGGGGCCTCCCCGCCAATTAGCGGCAGCACCCTGGTGGCTCTCCCGTAATTAACGGGCCTGCCCGCCCGGCCCTGCAGGCCACGCTTTCCAAGTGCCGCCTTTGTTGGCCTGGCGCGGCGTCCCGGCCCGGAGGGGCTGTTGGCCGGGCTGCCAGTCCCCACCCACCCACTCTGGCCTCTTCCCTCTGCCAGTTCCCGCCCCGTGGCCCCGGTCATGCCTGGTGCCAGGCCCTCCCACCGCCCCCACACAGGGAATTCTGAGGCCGGTTTCGGAACAGGAAACTGAGGCCCAGCCAGGGGCGGGGCCCCGCCCAGGGCCCCTCAGGTGGTGCCAGGGCGCAAATGGAACCCCTGTCGCCCGTGACGGGCAGGACCCGGGTGGCCAGCTCATCCGGGTCAGCGCTGGGCGCAGACGGGATGGGTGGTCGCCCTGCAGGGCTGGGGGGCCTCTGGGGCCGCGTCCGCTCTCGGGGCCTGGTCTTGCCCTCCAGGGTGGGAAGGGTGGGCACGGTGACCCCCGTGACCCTCCACAGAGTCTCCGAGGAGCCCTGAGGACAAGGAGCAGCGCCTGCTGCGGGGGCCCCGAGCTGGGGCCCGCCTCGGTCTGGCCCATGAGCCCGAGACTCGGGGCAGCCCGAGGTCCGGCTCGGAGCCGGGTCGGTGAAGCTGGAGGAGGTGCCGGAGGGGTCCAGAGGCCGGGGTCTGCGGCTGCCCCCCCCCCGACTCGGGGACTCTGACCGGAGCTCCTGGGCTCACAGCGGGCTGCCTGCTTCCTGCAGGGGCACCCCTCGATCCCCTTGGCGGGGCGGGCGGGAGCGTGGCTGCCCAGGACCTGGGCACGAGGAAGTGCGTCCCCAGGACCCGCCTGCCCGGCCAAGGGGAGCCCGGGGGCGGGGCCTGGGTGGCCGTGCCAGCGGGGGGTGGGGGTTCCCCAGAACCGTTCACTGGGCAGACAGCTCCGTGGGGCTCGCTTCTCCCCTCTCCCCTTAAAGAGCTCGTCAGCTGCCATTGGTGTCGGGGAGCTGGGGTTGGGGGCGGCCCAGTGGGGTCTGGCGGGTCAGCCGGTGCAGAGGCAGAAGGGGGGGACCTGGGTCGCGTTGCAGAGTGGCCACCAGGTCCTGCCTGCCCCTGGTCCCGCCTGGGCTGTGCGTCATGGGGGAATGCGGCCCCGGAACCTGCCCCAGCGCGGATGTCGGGGTCAGCGTGGTGAAGGCACGCCCCGGCGGTGACCTGTCACCTCCGTGTGACTTCTCACAAGCTCCTCCGAAGACACTCCTGTAAATGGCATTTAAGGCGCCGCTGCTGGTGTCTGGGGAGGGGGGAGTTTGAGAGTGTTTGACTTCCGCCCGTCTGCTCCCCTGTCCCTCCAGGCCAGTCCCCTGCCCCCCCATCTTCCCACCCACCCCGTCGTCCTTACACCCTCCGCACCCACCCCGTCAGCTCACCCAGCTGCCCGTGGACCCCAGACCCAGCCACTCTCCCACCCACCCGTCCTCTCAGACACCCTCCGTCCACCCGTCCGTCCGTCCATCCCAGTGCCGGCCACCGTGTGAAGGGGAAGTGGACCCAGCGGGGACTGAACGGAGCCCGGGGCGGGGTGTGAATGAAGACTTGGCTGAATGGGGGGGGGGGCCTGGGCCTGGAGGCCGAGCTCACACCAAGGCTGGAGGTGGAGCGCCCCCCCCCACACCTGGGGCTTCCGGCCCTCTCGGGGCAGCCCCAGCAGCCGGGGTGCGGGGCCCCCTGTCCTGCCGCCCCTGGTGGGTGGTCCCCCTCTCCTTCCCCACCCTGGCTGCAGCCTGCCCCCGGCTGCAGTGGCAACGAACTGGCCTTGCAGCTGTGTCCCCCAGGGGTTCGGGGGCGCACTTCCCAGTGGGTTCTGCCTTCCGCGTTCTCCGTGGGCGAGGACGGGCGGCCCATGGGGACCCCGCAGAGACACGGGGAGGGGAACGGAACGGGACGACGTGCAGTCACACAGAGGATCAGCTTTTTAAAAAAGGAGACAAGAGTTTTAAGACTCCTTCCGTGCCCTCGTTGAGGGAGCCGCCGCGGCGGTCCGGCTGGCCGGAAGTGAGACCCTGAAGTGCCCAGATAAGGGGGCTCTTGGGGGCGAGTTTTTGGTTTTGGTTTTTGGTTCCTTCCCCGAGGATGTGTGCACTGATTTGAGGGGGTGGGAGGGGGGGACAGTGACGGGAGAAACACCGATCGGTGGCCTCCTGCCCTGGGGGTCGGACCGGCGACCTTCTGGGGTGCAGGACGGCGCTCCAGCCACCAGGGCCAGCCGGCCAGGCGGGCATCCGAGTTCTCGCTGGTAGAAAACAGCCCGGGGAGGGGGGGGGAGGGTGATGGCGGAAGGGAGAAGCCGCAGCGGCCGACCGGGGCTGGGCGGGGCGCGTCTGCTTGGCTGGGTCTCGGCACACACGAGGGTCGCCTGGGCCCCGTTTCCGCCCTCGAGAAGCCGACAGACGCCCGTGGCTCCCCTGGCGGAGCTGAGCGGGGGCCGTGATGGAGGACAGGCGGGGGGTGGGGGCCCAGCGGGCCGCAGGACCCGCTCACCTCGCTCTCCCGTCCTCCGCAGGCCCTTCCCCTCGGAGGAGACGGCGGAGAACGATGAGGACGTCTACCGCAGCCTGGAGGAGCTGGCCGAGTGAGCAGCCGGGCGGGGCGGGGCGGGGCGGGGCGGAGCCAGGCGGGGCGGGGCGTGCGGGGGGCGGGGCATGTGGGCGGGGCATGTGGGCGGGGCGGGCACGTGTGGGCGGGGCCCGCGGGCGGAGAGGGAGAGCGGGAACGCGGGGCCCCCCAGCAGAGCGGGGACCTGGCTTCTTCACGCTCTCAGACAGGCGGGCGTTTCTGCACCCCGCGCCTCCCTCCACGTCTGGAAGGGTCCCCAGCGTGTCTGGAGGTGACACGGGCGTGGTCTTCCTCCCCGGCCACCGCCAGGAGTCCAGGGAGCCTCCTTTGCAAGGCTGCAGGCAGAGCGCGTGGGCGGGGCTGGCCTGGGACGGGGGTGGGGGGCTGTGGGTGTTTCCGGAGCGGGGCCCTGGGAACACAGGTAGTGAGAGGGCTCAGGCGGCCTGACGGGCGGGCGTGGGGCCGAGACCAGGCCCCTGCAGCCACCGAGGCGTCTCTCGTCTTCGAGACGCTTTGTGTCTGCTTCCCGCGCTCTGTGAGGACCACCTGGCTGCACCCGCATGGGGCCGGGCCTGGCCGGCGGTCCTGGGCTACCCACCTGGCTCTGGGGGCCCGCACCTCCGCTCACGGAAGAGCAGGGTCCAGTGCCGTGTCTGGGCCACTTGGGACTGTGAGGCCCCCTGCACAGTGTCCGGCCTGGTGGCCTCCGTGTCCCCGGGCCCGAAGTGACCAGCAGCACAGAGCTGACAGCAGGGGCGTCGGTGCCTTGAACCCATCAGACCTGATGGCGTCCTCATCGCGATCGCTGAGTTCCGTGAACATCTAATCACTTTCATAATTTTAATTTTTAAAAATTCCCTTCTGGGCTGCTTAAACATTCCTCCTCCTTGCACAACGCGGAGCTCACGAGGGGAAATTCCGGCTGCCCCTCCGGCGTTCCAGACGGTGCGCACGGCCCTGCATTCCCGCCGACCGGGCTGCGCAGCCGTGGGGGAGCCTTGCGCCGGCGGAGGGTGCCGGGAGTGCAGGAAGCAGGACTTTAAAAAAAAGATTCACTTATTGATGTTTAGAGAGAGGGGGAAGGAGAGAGAAGAGACGGAGAGAAGCATCCATCCATTGGCCCCGACCAGGCACTGGGCCTGTGACCCAGGCATGCGCCCAGACCAGGAATCGAACCTGTGACATTCCGTTTTGCGGGACGATGCCCTCAGTGACCGAGCCACACCGGTCAGGGCGGGAAGCAGGGCCCTGGGTGCCCCTGTGGCTGGGCTGGGCGGCGAGGCCCGTGGCGGGCAGCTCGGGCCGGGACCCGCCGGGGGCTGCGGTTGTCTTCCCAGTCTCCCGAGGCTTTGGACCGCAGGTGTTCTTCCGCAGAACAGGGAGAAGGAGGGGGCGGCGCCCGCGAGCTTTTGAGGGGCTTCCCTCCCGAGCTGAGATGCCGGGGCACAGCGCTGCGTCCGGCGTGGCTCGGGCGCCGGGGGAGGCAGGAGGCGAGCGAGCCGCGTGCGCCCGTGCGCCTCGTCTTTCTCTGGGGGACGGAGAGCGAGCTGAGGACCCGGCAGTGGACGTGGGCTGGGGCGGCCACCCCCCGACCGTGTTCCTCCGTTTCGGTCTCGCGGCCTCGTCCCTTCTCCGAGTCCACGGGGAAGGGGCCGTGTCGCTTGCCGGGAGGGTCTTCAGCTTCTCCTCGAGGTGCTCACCGTGGGTGGGCGGGAGGGTTTGCAGCCTCTTCCCGGCGGGCGCGCCCCACGCCGGCAGACAGTGGGCTCTCACCGGCTGGGGGGGTCAGAGGAAAGAAGTGAGGCGGACAGGGCAGCCGGAGAGCTAGGGGGGAGATGCTGAGAGCGGGGGTCTCCCCCTCACCCCCTGGCTGACCCTGAAACCCCACGTTCGAGGGACGGCCCGAGCCTGACTAGGCCGCCTGTGCTCTAGGGCGCGTGTGAGTCTCCCGACACGCGGGACCAGCCCGCACGGTGCCCGGTCCGCAGTGCCCAGCGTCCACTAGAAATCCTCGGACTCACCAAGCACAGGGACGAGTGCGGCCGGTTCGGGTGCACACGGAGGCGGTTGGGACCGAGGTCGACGACCTCGATGCTGCCCCTCGCAGCTTCTGTCAGCGCATCGGGAACCCGGAGGGAAACCCGCGCCCGAGGAGGGGACAGAGGGGGCGGCGGACGGGCAGCTGTGACCAGGGCCACGTGGGAACAGCCGGGACACGACACGGGCCGTCCCGGGCCAGCCTCCGACCAGCAGGAACACGCCACGTGGTCTAACCCGGCTGGGACGGGGATCCCGGGGCAGCAGAGGGTGCGGCGGAGGAAGAACGGAAAACCGAGGGGCCCCGAACTTCCTAGATTCCAAGCCCCCCCAGGAGGAGACTGCGGGAGGTCGCCGAGGGAAGCGAGAGGGGGACCTGCCGGCGGAGGCCTGTGCCGTGCTCCTGGACCGGAGGGCGGTGGTGCCGGGGTTGGCGCTCCCCAGGCTACCCTGTGGACTCAGTTCCATTTCCGTGAGGGCCCCAGCAAGACCCTGGAGGTCCTGTGGCAACCAAAGGGCTTGGATTACTCCGCACGATCCTACAGAAACAAAGCCGAGGAGTTGAACTGTCCGACTTCAGGACTTCCTACGGAACGAATAAAAACCAGAGAGGCACCTGCTGCGCCAGGAGGGCCGACGAGGTTGCTGGACCAGACCAGAGAATTCCGGAACAGAGCCACACCGCTGAGTCCGCGGTGTTTGTGGAAGGGACCTCGCGGGCCAGCGGGGAGAGGGAGGGTCCGACGGATCCCACGAGGGAACCCCGCTCCGCCCCTCCCTCGCACCGGCCACAGCAGGTCCGTCCGTCGGAGCCGAGTCGGAGACCAGCGTGAACACGCCCCCGGAGCGGCCCCCGGAGACGCTGCCGGAGAAAACCCCGAGAAACCGGGAGAAGGCAGAGATTTCTTCCCCAAGACGCGGGGTTTCTTAGGACGCAGGGCGGAGTCAGGGCCATGGGAGACACAGCTGAGAAATCGGACGTCGTTAACGTGATGAGTGAATTCTCACCCGGCGATACCGTGGAGAAAACCAGTAGCCGGAACCAGAAAAGCCTGGAAAAAGTTCGCAAAACGTGCCTGACCAAGAACGGTCGCCCAGAACCCTGTACGTGCGGCGGCGGCAGCGCACTTGCGGGCGGAGCCGTTTGCAGAGACGCCAAGTCCGCGGGAGCACCCTCCGCCCCGCCGGTGAGACGGGGAGGGGAGCCGCCGTGGCGCCGCGCCGGACGGCCGGTGCGGGGGGCGGAAACAGGGACGACGCGCCCCGGCCAGCGCCGGCAACCGCCCGGCTGCCGGGGCTGCAGCTGCGCTCGAGGAGCCCTCGGCTGCGGCTGCGGCTGGAGTTACCCTCCCCGCGCCTCCCCACGTCCACTCCTGGGTGGGTTTCATTTCCAAAGCCCACGTGTGCTCACAGCAGCTTTCCTTTCCAACAACCCACGCGTGGAGGCCACCCAGTGCGCGCCCAGAGGAGGCTGGCGACAAGGGGCGGCCCGCCCACGCGGTGGCGAGCGGGCCTCGGACAGCAGCGGCTGGCCGGCCGGACCCCCAGACGCGGGGTGGGGGAACGAAGTCGGGCACAGAGGGACCGCCCCACACACGGCGCGGTCGACAGACCAACCCAGTCTCTGGCGGAGAAAGACCCTGAAAGACCGGGGGTTGGATTCCCGGTCGGGGCTCATTCCTGGGTTGCGGGTGTGATCTCTGGTCCGGGCGCGTGCGACTCCCGGTCCAGTACAGGAGGCAGCCAGCCCAAGTTTCCTTCTCTCCCTCCCTCTCTCTCTCTCTAGCAGCAATGGAAAAGTGTCCTCCGGTGAGGATTAAACAAATACACTTAACTATGGGGGGCCCCCCGCCCCCACGTCCTTCCACGGCCCCCCAGCGTGAAGCCGCCGTCCCCAGACGGGATGACGGCGCACCTGCGCCTGAGGGAGCAGCGGGGCTGGCCTGCCCCCCCCCCACTGTCACGGAGTTGAACGCCGGCTGGGCCACAGAGCTGGCCCGCTCGCTGCACCACAGAACCTGGGTGTCCGGCCCCACAGGGCGGTTCCTAGGTGTCTGGCCCCCCAGGACCTGGGGGGCGGAGCTCGGGGAAGTGGTTCCCTTTGGCCTGCGCCCGCACCCCTGGGTGGCGTGAAGTGTCCTATGGCAGCTTCCTGCCCGTCCTCTGCTCCCCCCACCAGAGCCCCTCCCCCGCCACAGAGGGAGGTCGGGGTGCGGCGGCCCGCAGTCTCCCCGCAGCTGCCCCCCAGCCTTTGAAATGACAGCTAAGGTTCAAAAGCTGGGTTTGGGGGGGTGGCCAGGAGCCCTTTCCTAAGAGCTGCTGGGTGTCATTTCCACGCTCCCCCACCTCCATGCCAGGTGGCTGCCCCACGGGGTGTAGTGGTGGGGGGGGCTCCCACGTTTCAGCTCCTTCTGGATGCGGATTGGCGGCCCTGCTCAGAGCCCAGGCTGTGAGGCTGTGCTCCCACCCCGGGCCGGCCCGGCCTCCAGGGTGAGCCGGCCTGAGCACAGCTGCCCTGGGCCTGGCCAGGTCCTGCCCCGGGAGCCCCAGGGTGGCCCCCGGGGGGCTGGTCCTGGCCACGGGGGCCGCGGGGTGGTCGGATTGGCTCGTTTGCGGGTTTGGTGCACGTTTGCCGAGCACCTGCTTTGTGTCGGGCGTGGCGAACCGAAGGGGCGCGGAGTTGGGTTTGCGGGGGAAGAGAGAGCTTCTCGCGCAGTCCCGCACAGCGAGTCGGGGGCGCGGCGAGGGGTGCGCTTCGTGGGCAGCGGCAGGGAGAGTCCGGGGCGCCGACTGGGCGGGGACCCCGGAAGGCCCCTCGGAGGAGGTGCCCCGGCCGGCCTGCCTGTTGCAGGGCAGAGGCGGTAACTCGTCGGAGCAGTGAGGGCCCGGCCGCCGGCCGCCACCACCGTCTGCGGATCACAGGTTAAGCCGCGATTTCCTGGGTCCTCGCTGGGGGAGGTGCATCCCGGACTCCGGGCGCCAGGCCGCAGGCGCGGGCGGGGCCGAGCGCGTTCGGCGGAGGGGCGGAGGGTCACTGGCGGGCTCGGGGGTGCGCAGGGCGCCCCGCACGCGCCGGATCTAAACGCGCCGTCACCAGGACGCAGGCGGAGGCTCGCGTTTTCCGGACCCCGGGAGACGGAGGCTGAGAGCGGGAGCTCGCGGCCCCCCGGCGCCCCCATCCCCTGGCGCCGCCACCTCCCTCTGACGGCCTCCCTCCCGCGCAGCGAGCATGACCTGGGCGAGGACATCTACGACTGCGTCCCCTGCGAGGACGAGGGCGACGACATCTACGAGGACATCATCAAGGTGGAGGTGCAGCAGCCCATGGTAAGCCGCTGCCGCCGCCGCCGCGCTCCCGCCCGCCCGCACAGGCAGAGCCCGCCCCGCGTGCCGGGGAGTCTCCCAAGGAGCCCAGGGGGCAACGTGATGGCCACCGTGCCCTTCCACGCTGCAGTGCCGTGGATTCTCCCTGAAGGACACGCGGGGCTGCGAGCCTTTCCCGCCAGGGGTGGTAGCGGGGCGCCGTCTGGCACCGCGCGCCGGGGTCCCCCTTTCGTGCAGGGCAGGAGGGCGCGGCCCTCACCTCCGAGAGGCAGCTGCGCGTCTTCTCTGGGGTGCCGCGTTCACCCCCCGGGGCAGGGGGCTCTCGCCGCCAGCGTGGGCGGGTTGCACACAGCTGCTGTGTGGGAGGTGGGGGTCCTGCCGGCCCCGGGCAGCCCACAGCCCCTCGGGGCCCCAAACTCGGGGGTGGTCGAGGTGCTGCTTGCCAGCTCCGGAGGCTTTCGATGCCCTTGGTTTTACCGAAGAAAGGGGCCATGTCTCCAAAAGCGCATCGCGGCGGCACCTTCCCGTGGCCCCAGCGGCGGTGGCGCAGGCGGGTGGGGAGAAGCGGAAAGCTGGGAGGCCTCCAGCCAGGCCTTTCCTGCGCTGGCTGCAGGGAGGCGTGGCCTCCCGAGCGCAGCGCTCACGGCCCCCAAGCTCAGCCCCTAAGAACAATCTCTCATTTGCCCCAAGTCTGGGAGGGGGGGCGGTTCCTGCCCCACCAGCACCAGGGGTCTGGCTGTGGAGAGTCAGGTGGGGGTGTTCCCCGGGCGGGTCTGTCCCCAACCCTTCCCGGGGCGTCTGCGAGGGGCTGAGAGGCCGGCTCCCCGCTCAGCGGTGGGCGGCCCCTGCTCCCCTGCGCCTGGCGCGGCCGCCTGCGCTGGGCACCTCGCTCCCCAAGCCCCTCCCAGGCGGGTGTGTGCACTGTGGCCCCGGGGTGATCTGGGCGGTGCCTGGGCCCCGGGTCGTCCAGGCTCCTGAGAGACCCCCGAGTGTGTCTGGGCTGCAGGGACCCTGCAGTGGGCACACCTCCCAGCCCCCCCCCACAAGCTCTCTGCTGTCCCTGGTCCTGAAGCGCACAGGGCAGGACCTGGGGCACCGGGGGTGGTGCCCGCCCACGTCCTGGGGGCACGGTGATGCCCCACCGGGGCATCCTCCTCTGAGATACAGCCGCCGGCCCCATTTCGTCACCTGTCACATCTGGGGGTGGCTCTGACAAAGGCGGAGGGAGCCCCAGAGGGTGGCAGGTGTCCCGCTCAGAGGCCGGACGTGGGCAGCCCAGCGTCCGCACAGGCTGCCCCCTCACCCAGCGGGGCCGGCGGCCATCCCCGAGGCTGCAGGCTAAACGCCCGTGAGCCTCCCTGAGCCCCCCACCCCGCCCACGGCGGGGGGGGGGGAGGCGCCAGCGCTGCTAACCGGGTCTCTCTGCCGTTTGCTTGCACGCTCTCAGATTAGGTACATGCAGGTAAGCCCAGCCTGTGGCGTCTGCCTCCTCCTCCGCCGGCGGCCGCGGGCCCGCGCCCCGTCCTGCCCACAGTTTTAGGGAGACCGTGGGCCCCCAGCCTCCCCACGAAGCCTTGAGGGGGGCAACAGCCCCCGGGATGAGCAGGGCTGCGGCCTGGGAGCCCGGCCCCTGGGGCGAGTGCCTGGGCGGCTCTGCAGAGCTGCAGCCCCGTGACCCTGGGCCTGTCTCAGAGGAGCATGGGGTCAGGGTGCGTGTGAGTCTAAGTGTCCCGTCACGGGGCCCAGCTCCATGGCCCCGGAGGCGACCACCTCCATCCGAACAGTCCCACCACCCTCCCCCCACGGCCCCTTCCCCGGCGCCTGTAGCCATGGTCTCCGGGTCGGTCCTGCCCCCAGCCACCTGCACCGCCCCCAGAGGTGGGGGAGAGGCTCTGCCTCATGCCCCCGTAACCTCTGGTTGGAGGCCAGTGGGCACTCGGAAGCCCAGCCCTGTGAGAAATCGGTGTCTTCCTCTGAGGTGCTAACTGGCTGACTCTGGGACGGCCACTCAGTTGGCCGACCTGGGTCCTCAAGGGGCTCCGGAGCTCTCCCTGCACACACACAGTAGGTGTTTTAAGCAAGTCACGCCTGCTGTGCGCCCTTCCTTCTCTGGCACTGCCGCCCGCCCCCAGGTTCACCCCGCACGGCCCCCTCGCACCCTGGACAGGGAGGGGAAGGCCTCGGGCCCCTGCTGCCCCCCTCCGGCCCCGCCGTGTCGCCCACAGCCCCCCCCCACGGCCAGGCCCGGGTGGTCCGCGGGCGCAGGCCTGCGGCCCCCCCTCCCCCTCCCCGGCTCACAGGGTGCGCCCCCCCACCCCACCCCCCCCAGAAAATGGGCATGACGGAGGATGACAAGCGGAACTGCTGCCTGCTGGAGATCCAGGAGACCGAGGCCAAGTACTGCCGGACGCTGGAGGACATCGAGAAGGTGGGTGGGGCGTCGGCGTGCTCTGGGGCCGCCGGGTGCCCTGGGGGTGCAGGCGCCGGGAGGGCACTCGGGCGGTGGGGGCAGGTGCAGGTCCTCGGCGGGCCTCTCGGCCGGTCGTGCCGTCGGGCAGCCCTGCGACCCGCCGGGCGGGCGCTGAGGAAACCAACATCGCTTCCGAGACGGAACCTTCCTAGCTGTTCTTTGATGCGGGTCCGGCCCAGTGGGGCCCGGAGGGGGACACCTCGGTGGGTCCCTCACCGTTGAGGGCGCCGTGCGGCCTCCGGCCAGCAGTCCTGGGACATCGGGTGGACCCAGGTCTGGCTCGGGCCTCCGCCCCCTCCCCCAGCAGCCCTGCCCCTTCTGTGAGGACCTGGCCCTCGCCTCCTCCGTGAGGCCCAAGGTCACGCAGGAAACAGGCGGGCTGTGTCCTCCGTCCCCCCACCGCCCCCCAGCCCAGAACTCGGCCTTCGCCGGCTGGTGCCGCCCGTGTGTGGCATGGCCGAGGGACAGCGCTGGGGCCTGAGCACGCTGGGGGCCTCTGCCAGGGCGTGCGGTGTGCACTGGGGCCGGGGCCCCTCGGGACAGAGCGGGCAGGGAGAGGGGTGGGGGCAAGTCCCCCTCCGCGGGGGCCTGGCGCAGGAGGTGGCATCTGAGGCTGACCACAGTGCTGCCTGCCCGCTGGTGCTCCTGGGTGGGGAGAGCGCCCCCTGAGGGCCAGTCTAGGGGCGCAGCCAGGAGCGTTGGGTGGGGCCTGTCGCCCCCACAGGTGCACACGGTGTGGTGCCCCTCCCTCCAGGCCTTGGTTTCTGCCAGTGTCTCAAACGACACAGAGATGCTCCCCTCGGTCATCGCGGGGTTCAAGGCCAGTGCCGCGTGGAGGGACCCCCGGGGGCCCTGCCCCTGTAGCCAGAGTGGGTGCTCGGTCGGCACTCAGGCCCGCCCAGGGCGGAGTCCCGGGTCCCCGGAAGGCTCTCCGGGGAGCGGAGCCCTGGCGGGGGGCAGCCCCCGCCCGGGCTGAGACGTGGGCTCTCTCTCCCAGAACTACATGGTGCCCCTGAGGCTGGTGCTGAGCCCGGCGGACGTGGTGGCGATCTTCATCAACCTGGAGGTGAGCGTCCGCGCCCGGGCGCAGGGGGTCCCGGCCTCGCCGTGTGCCGATGGCTGGTGGCGACAGGAGCGCAGCCACCCCTCCCTCTGGGACTTGGGTTCGAGGGGCCGAGAGCTCGCCTCGGCCACGGTCTGTGCCGGCCCAGGGGGCTCAGACAGACACACGCCCAGGGAGAGGTGTGAGATCCGACCAGCAGCTGCAGAGAAACCTGTCCCCCCGGCCCTCGGAGCGGAGCCGGACGCGGTCCCCCGGGGGGCCGTCCCTGTCGGAGGCGGGGTCAGCATGCAGGGCCGGGCCAGCTCGAGGCTACACCTGGGGGGCTCCCCCCACGCTGCCTGGCAGCCACAGGGCAGCCCTACCCACCCCCTGAGCCCCACCCCGTCAGTCCGAGGGGTGGGCTCTGGTCCCTGCTGCTCTCGGCCGACCCGGACCCTGGGGCTTCCTGCTGTCTGTGCTCCTGAAGTGAGGTGAGTTCACCTCCATGGGTCGTGGCTGTGAGAGCGCCAGGCACAGAACAGGAGCCCGGGGGGCCCCTGGGGAGCCCGCTCTGGGTCGGCCACGCGCACCTGGATGGTGGATGTGGCCGTGGATGCCCCCTGCAGACCACGGAGGGGACTGCAGTGTGCTCGGGTCTCCCAGGTGCCCGCCGCCCAGAGCCTCCCAGCCACACTGCCCCCTGTGTTTGCCTGGGAACGCACCGGCTGGCGGCGAGGGCCACGAGGGCCCCGCCAGCCTGGGGGGCCCGTCCCCATGCTGACGCACCGCCGTCCCCCCCAGGACCTCATCAAGGTGCATCGCAGCTTCCTGCGGGCCATCGACCTGTCCATGATGGCGGGGGGCGGCACTCTGGCCAAGGTCTTCCTCGAGTACAAGGAGAGGTGAGTGGCAGGCCCCGCCCCTCCGGGGGGCTCTCTGTTCCACCCGGGACTGTGCAGGGCCCCCGGGGATGGCGCCCGGGGGGGCGTCCCTTGCTGTGCGTCGCCTGAGGCAGGTGGCTGTGCCCCCCGGACCGTCCTCCCTTGTAAAACTGAGGAAGCTGCCCACCTTCTGCTGTCACAGAGGAGCAGGCTCCTCCGTGCACGGCCTGGGTGGGCCCAGGCCTCCCAGGGGGCCCCAGCAGCCACCTCCGCCTCTGGGCCGGGGGTCTGAAGGACATCGGAGCTACGACAGGCCCCCTGCTGTGCACCAGGCCGGGCCCCTGCGAGAATCCGTGCCTTGCTGGGGTGGGGGGGCGGGGAGGTGGCAGCTGCGGCCAGTGCACAGCCGAGGCCGCCGGGGCAGGTCCCGGGGAAGGGCCCGGGAACCCCTGGGCAGGGGACCTGGCTGAGCGCCCGGCCTCCGGCATCCTCAGAGCCGAGAGGGCCTTCCCCGCTGCTGCCGCCAGGGTGAGCTGAGGCCGGGCCGGGCCTCTGGCGTCCACACCCAGGGTGCACTGCTGCGGCCAGGTGGGCGGGGAGGCCTGGACCTCTGGGGGTGCGGGGCAGGCATGACCGGCACCTGCCCCGCTGGGGTCCCCTGTGGGGGGCTTCTCCCCTCTGGCCACCGCCCTTCTCGGCCCCGACCTGGGACAGAGCCACAGAAGGGGGGCCTCCTCGGGTTTGGGGAGAGCAGGGTCCCCTCATTCCCAACGCTTTGGCCACCCCCTCCGAGCCAGGCGGTATTTCGGGAGGGGGCGGAAGCTGCCACCAGAAAGAACGAACCCTTTCAACACGCAGCGATGAAACACCGCACGCGTGTGGTGTTTGTGGTGTTTGTGTGTGAGGCGGTGTCGCAGGGAGAGACCTCTTTGCTGTGCACATAGAGCCGCCGCGAAGCTGCCGTGGCTCTCGGCTTCCTCAGCAGCACACGTGTGCATGCGTGTGCATGTGTGCGCCCACGTGTGCATGTGTGTGCCCGTCTGCACGCCCAGGCTCCTGATCTACGGCGAGTACTGCAGCCGCATGGAGTGCGCCCAGAGCGCGCTGAACCAGCTCCTCGCCAGCCGGGAGGACTTCAGGCTGAAAGTCGAGGTGACCGTGGCCCCCTGGCCCACCCCCCGGCCTGGCTCCCTGTCCCACCCCCCGCCCTGGGCCCCCTGGCCCGCCCCCCCGGCCCGTGCCTCCCGGGGGCAGCCCCTCGCCGGCCTCTGGCCCGTTCTGCGGGAAGCGTGGAGGGGGGGGAGCAGTGACGTGAGTCTCCTGTAGGGGGCGTTAGCAGGTGGTTCTGTCTCCTCCGTCGGGGTGGGGGGTTGCGGCGGGGGGTCGCCATCCTGGGCCAGGACGCAGCCTGCGCCCTCGGGTGCCGTGAGCGGGGCCCCAAGGACCGGATGTGGCCCAGCGAGGGGCCGGGGGACTGACCCGGTGTTGCCCCTGGCCTGTGCGGACCCCAGGGGCGGGGGTCAGGGGACAGACGTTTCCTAGGAGTCATGGAGCCTCCCATCCCTGCCTCCAGGCCCCGCCCCTCCGGGTTTTCCAGTGGGAGCCCCTCTCCGGGACCCTCTGTCGTCCCCTTCCTTGGGGTCAGCGAGGCTGCGCTCCAGGCTGGGGCTCCCACGGCGAACCCCGTTTCCAGGGTGGATGCTGGAGCCGGTCCGTCTGCTCCGGCGTCAGTGCTGGGGGCGCCTCCTGGAGGCGCAGGACGCCCCCGGGTGTCCGGGCCGCTGGTGGGAGCCTGTGGCTCGGCGGGTGGGCCCCCAGTGCAGGCCCAGGAGGGCGCCAGCCCCAGAGTCCCAGAGCCCTCGTGCGGCCACTGTGGCCCCCTCGGCCGTGAGAGGCAGGGACCCCACACCAGGTTGGGGGGGCCGTCTGGGAGCCAGGCCAGAGACGGACTGGACACCTGGGCCCCAGTTGCGGCCTTGGGTCTGTTCGGGCTGCGAGCGCCCTGGGGCCCAGCGTCCCCAGCCGAGGGCGCTGACCCTGACACGCTGCCCCCGCCCCCAGGAGTGCACGCTGAAGGTGCAGGACGGCAAGTTCAAGCTGCAGGACCTGCTGGTGGTGCCCATGCAGAGGGTGCTCAAGTACCACCTCCTCCTGAAGGTGAGCGCCTCGCTCAGCCGGCGGACGGGGGCGGGGCCGGCAGGCTGTCAGGGGCTGCTCAGCGTGTCAAGACTGGCGGTCTGTATTAGGAACAGCTTCTACGTACAGGGGATGTTTGTCCCAGAAAACACACAGGAGAAAATTATGATTAAAGTCTGTAAGAGAAGAGAAAATACAAGACACAGAAAAGAGCCTTCTGACCAGGAATAAGCAAGTTCCTTCCTCCTCAGCCATGTCTGAGCTCCCTGGTAGCCATGGTAAAAATGGAAACAGGAAGTCTTTCTGGACAGACAGACCTGGGATGAGGCAGGGGTTTCTGGGAGTTGCTGAGGGAGGCTCTTGAGTGACTCAACCAGGTGTCTGTTAGCTCCACACTGTGCTTTGTGCTGCCTCAAGTGTCTGTTGTCCCCAAGACTTGGGGCCACCTCTCCCTGGACCAGCGTGTGGTCTAGGTGAGGGCCCACGGTCCATCTGCTGGAATCGGGCTGCCGACCCTGAGCCCGGGCCAGTGGGAGGGTCCCTGGGGCCTCAGTCTGTGCACACCTGCACTGGTGGGTGTAAGGAGAGGCCAGGACCCCCAAACGGTGACCGGGACCCCCTCTCACCCTGCCCCCAGGAACTTCTGAGCCATTCCACTGACCGGCCGGAGAGGCAGCAGCTGAAGGAAGCACTGGAAGCCATGCAGGTGGGCGGGTAAACTGAGGCAGGGAGAGGCCGGGCCGGGCTGGGCTTGGAGTACCGAACCTGTGTTTTTGGACTGGAATCGGGCTCGATAATGAGCCTTGCTCTGTGACCACAAGTGTAGATTTTCCTGGGAACAGAGCCGGGGACGGGGTGGTGGGGAGACCCACCCAGGGGCCGCGGGGCAGGTGGGCGGGGCCGGAGGCCTCCTGTCTTCCCGCTGCCTGCGCGTCCGCCGGGGCTGGCACAAGTTCCCAGGCACTGGACGCAGTTCCGGGCTGCCCCCTGCCCAGCCCCGTGACCTCTGCTTGCTTCTGAGATTCCTGCCCCGCCCAGCCAGCCCACCGGTGTCCCTCTCCCTCTGCCCAGGGAAGCCCACTGTCTGGACATGCCTCCCTGGGGGGCGAGGCTCCACACCCCTCTGGGGCTCCCCTCTGCCCCCCCAAATCAGGCATGGGCTCGTATGGCTCTGCAGCGGTGGCCCCTGAGGCTGAGCGGCTGCACAGGGTGTCCGGCGTCTCCTAATGTCACTGCCTGGGGTCTTGGACCCCGCCCTGCCAGGGGGCTCCTTGTGGGAACCCGCAGGGGGCGCTGGGGGCAGGGGCTGGAGCTGGCCCCCACCTCGGCCTGGCCCGAGGATTCCACCCGAGGCAGCCAGCCCTCCCTCCGGTCAGGGTCCGTGCCCTCTGCGTGGGGTCTGGGGTGGGGCTGGGTCCCCTGGCTCTCCCTACAGCGCTGGGTGCTGGGCCCAAGGGCACTCGGTCCTCTGACTCTCTGTGCACACTGCCCCCTGGTGGCCAGCAGGGGCTGCAGCACGTGGACACAGCTGGCTGTGGGGTTCACCACCCCTGGCAGGCGGTGGCCTGCGGGGTGTCCGCTCCCCGGAGCTAAGAAGCCGGCCGATCCCAGTCTCCTTTGCTGCCTGTTTCTCCATCTAACCTGGAAGCGGACCGGGGGCGGGAGTTTGGGGCCCCTGGTCCAGCCCCCGGGGTATGCTCTGGGGCTGCTGTGACCTTGTCTGCCTCGGCGTCTTCGACTGCCTCAGCGGCCGAGCCCTGCTGGCCCCGCCCGTGCAGGCTTGCCGACCGCCCCCCCCCCCCCGCCGCCCTGTCACCCCCCAGGACCTGGCCATGTACATAAACGAGGTGAAGCGGGACAAGGAGACCCTCAAGAAAATCAGCGAATTTCAGAGCTCCATCGAGAACCTGGTAGGTGTGGCGGGCGCTCCCGGGGCCGGGGGGGTGACGAGGGGCTTTGGAGACGACCTCACGGTCCCGTCACGGAACACGCCGCTGCAAGCACGCACTGGCCCGGCTGGGTCCTGGGAGCCGGGACGCCCTGCCCGTGCCCGCAGCCCAGTGCCCGGCGCTCAGGGGGCCAGCTGCCACAGGTGGTGCAGTGTGTGCCCAGGAGCTGCCCCCGGGGCCTCCCGTCCCCCTCAGCCTCCAACAGGCTGTCGTGGGACCCTCAGAGCTCATCCTTGGGCGCCGGGCGAGCGCCGTGTCCCGCTGGGGGGAGGAGCTGGGCCACCCGGGGGCATACATGTCCGAGGACGCCCACCAACCACTCAGGGACCTGCCGGGTGTCCACCCAGCCTTCCCCACTGCTGCTCGGTCGCCGTACGGGGCCAGGTGCTGCTTCACTGTGGGGTCCGTCCTGTGCGCTGTGGGGCCGAGAGCGGCGCCCTGGGTCCACCAGACGCTGGTGGCACCTCCCCTTGGGAGGCCCAGTGGTGACAACCAGATACATCTCCGGAGGTGGCCGGGTGCCCCGTGGGGGCAGAGGTGCCCCTGGCGGAGAGCCGCTGTCTCGTACCAGACGTTCGCTCCCTCTGGTCCTCGGACTTGGCAGGGTCCCAGTGAGTCCCCGTCAGGGTCACACCAACACGGAGGCTTTTGCCAAGGAGGCTCCGGGAGCCCAGGCTGCCGCCTGCCGCCCATGCGCCCGCCCCTCGCCCTCTGCTACTGGGGAGCCCAGAGAAGGTGGGCCCCGCAGGCCGCCGCCTGGAGAGTGCCCCTCAGGGGTCCCCAGGGAAGGAAGGACGTCCCCAGACAGAGGACATTGGGGCCTGACGCCCCGAGGCCTGGTTTGCAGTGCCGGCGGTGCCCGGGGAGCCGAGGCAGTCCGATTTCCCCGCGCCGACGGTTCCTAGATGCTCCGTCATAGACGGACATCACTGCGGTCATGTGAAGAGAGAAGAGTTCTGTTTGTCGTTTAGAAAACTTTTTTACGTGTGCATGAAGACGTAACAAAGCCACGGCCGCAGTGGTGAACCGGCGTGGAGCGCTCCCTCGGGTCCAGCGTGCCCCAGCCTCCAGAGCGTGTTCTCCAGAGCCGGCCCCCCGGGTGGGGTGGGGGGCAGCACTCTGCACCCCCCCTCAGAGGGCAGACGTGGAGGAGGCCCGGGGGAGTCGCTGAGTAGCAGGGTGCTCACCCCAAAGCTGCTGGGCTCAGAGTCGCGTTCCGGCAGCTTCTGGAACGTTCAGAGAACGGAGCAGAGGATGCCGAGAACCGCCCGGCGCATTGTGCCACGTGGGCCACGCAGGGGCCTGGCGAGAGCCCGTCTCTGAACCGGGGCCGAGGGGCCCCGATGACAAACGAGCCGGAAAACGAAAATGGAATCTCAGCACCCGGGCGGGGGTTTGCCAGGAAGCCGCTTCCTGGGGCAGGGCAGCGGCTGGCAGGACCCCGCGCCCGCCCGCCCGCCCGCCCCCTCTCTCTGATAAGGCCCTCTGTTTCCCTGAACTGGGCTGTTGGCCGGGCGACTGGCTTTTCCTGCCAGGCCCCCGCTCGGCCCACCGCACCGCCGCCACCTGTTGGGGGCGCCCTCCCTGCGTCGCTGTGCGTTCCTGCAGGGCTGAAGGCGGTCCTGGGGGGGGGGCTGCGGGGTCGGGGCAGGCACAGGAGCCCCCAGGGCAGCTCCCTCCGTCGTCTGCTGTCCCCCCTTGTTCTGAGCCCCAGCCAGGACACCCCCACTCCGAGTTCATTCCTCTGGACCCCGTGGGAGCCGCCCGCTTTGAGCTGGTGCTCACCTGCCCCTCCTCCCCACGCAGGCGCTGGGCCTTGTGGGGGGGGGGGGCCCTGGGGCTGCTGACGCCTCCCCTGTCTTCCCCAGCAAGTGAAACTGGAGGAGTTCGGGAGGCCCAAGATCGACGGGGAGCTGAAGGTCCGGTCCATAGTCAACCACACCAAGCAGGACAGGTGAGGGGGCGGCCGCCCCCAGCGCAGCCCGGCACCCGCCGCGGGGCACAGCTTCCCCGGGGCCGGGAGCTGCCTGCCCACCACCCGGCTTCGTGCCGCTCCGTTTTAATGGCTTCCTTCCTTCCCGGCGGCCACGCTGGGGAGCCGTGGGCGCCGGCGGCTGCCGCGCCCAGGGGGCTGCCCTGCCTGTGGCCGGCGCTGGGCTGGGCTGGGCTGGGAGCTGGCGAGCGCTCAGGCTCCCGGGAGCCGGTCAGACGGCCGCTGCGTGAGCTCTTTGCTGAGTGACCGAGGGAGTGACCGAGGGAACCCTGTGCAAGGCCTGGGGCCCTGGCGGGGGGCGCCGCCCACACAGTGGGGCCCCGTGGGGCCCCGGGTCTGGTTAGCTGGACGTGGAGCCAGAGGGTGGGGGCGGGGGGCGTCCCGGAGGGGCCGTGGCCGAGCAGCCGAGACCCGGCCGGGGGTCTCGTGCGGGGGCCCCACTCACGGCCCCCCTGGCCGTGCCGTTGGGCCAGGTACCTGTTCCTGTTCGACAAGGTGGTCATCGTCTGCAAGAGGAGGGGCTACAGCTACGAGCTGAAGGAGGTCATCGAGCTGCTGCTCCACAAGGTGACCGACGACCCCACGAACAACAAGGACCTCAAGAAGGTGGGTCCCCCGTCCCCTGGGCCGCGCCCGGCAGGGGCAGGCCGTGAGAGCCCCCCGAGGGAGGTGTGGGGGGTGGTCTTGGGAAGAGAGTGAGGCCCAGTGGGGTTGGGGGTGACCCTGACCCCGGGGGCTGCGGTGGGGGCGGGGCCTCCCTGTCTTCCATTCTCTCGTCACTGTGACGTCTGCTGGAGGCACGCCCGCTCTGTGCCCGCCTGCCCGGCCAGCCCCTGGCCTCTCTTTGACTCTCTCCCGGGAGTGGGAGTGGCCAGGGCCCAGCTGCCCAGGGAGGAGGCGGAGCAGAGGGACCCGGCCCAAGTTCTGGGTGAGAGCCCACCCCGGGCCTCGGCCGCCCGGCTCCAGCCCACGTGGCCCCGAAGCAAGTGGGCCTTCCGGCCCCTCCCCAGCCCCTTGGGGGAGGGCTCTGGGTGGCCCCACCGTGGCTGTCAGACCGTGTCCAGGCAGTGGGCCATGGCGACTAGGGGTGGGGCTGTGGTCACTGAGGGTGGGAGCTTGCTGTCCAGGGGCGGAGCCAAGGCTATTGGGGGCGTGGTTATGGCTGTGGGGGCGGGGCTGTGGGTGGGGCCATGCCTATGGGGGAGGGGTCATGCTGCCCGGGTGGGGCTGCCGGGCCCCCCTGTTCAGTGTGGGTCCTGCAGACGCTTCTGGCCCCGGAGCTTGAGCCCGGCCTGTGGGCGGCCCTGAGCCGGGTGTGGGGGCCGGGAGCCCACATGCTACAAACCCCAGGCCCCGGACTTCAGAGCTTACTGTGTGGAGTGCAGGCGCTGCCTGGAGGAGCTCTTAGGGGTGACCCACCTAACCCCGTGTCTGCACAAGCTTCGGGGACCCAGAGGGGCGACCTGAGGCCGCTCCCCAGTCTCAGGGCCGAAGACGCAGCCCCCAAGTCCCAGGCCCTGGCACCTCGCCCCCTGGGAGGGGCCCTCACTGGTTGCCCCAGCCTAGGGTCCCGGGCTGCAGCGCCCACCGCAGGGCCGGGCCGGGCCTCCTAACAACCCGCGTCCCCTTTCCTTCCTCTCCTCATGCTTCCTAGTCCCACGGGAAAATGGTAAGGACCCCGCTGGGCCCGCGGAGGGTGGGCGGGCTCACGGCCTTCTTCCCCCCTAGTTTCTGAGTCGTGACGATGACCCGTGTGCAGGAGAAAAGGTCGGCCCTTCACCGACCGAGGGCGCTGAGCAGGGGTCCCGCGCCTGCCCGAGCGCACCCACGCCACGCCCTGGAGGGCGGGGACCGCGGCGCCCGGGCGTTCCCGGTGCCCCTCTGCCGCGCTCGGCCCTTTCTCGGGCCCCGCCTCTTTTTCCGCTGATTTGCCTCAGAGGGTTTCTTTAGCATCACATTCGGGAAGTGAAAGTGGGCGGGCAGGTGTCATGGGCGGCCTCCCCGGGGCCAGTTCCTGACCGCGGGTCCCCGGGGACCGGGCTCCAGCACTAGGGGCGGCCGGCCGCACCCAGGGTGCTCAGTGAGGGCGCACTTGTCCGGGAGGGAGGCGGGTGCCAGGGGATCCTGTAAGAGGGGCGTGCGCGTGCACGTGTATATGTATGCACACGTGTGCACACGGCCACACACATGAGCACACTGCACACATGTGCACGTGTAGGCAGGCACACATGAGTGCACATACACACAGGTGTACACGCAGACAACACACATAAGCGAACTGTACCCACGTGAACACGCGGGCAGGCACGTGGCCACATGCCAGAACTGCGTGCACACACATGCAAGCACATGCACACCTGAGTGCCCTGTAGACACGTGCTCGCAAGGGCATAGCTGCGTGCACAGAAACGCACAGCGCGTGCACACGTGCTGGTGCACACAAAGGCACACGCATGTGCATGGTGCACTTGCACGCATGCAGGCACAGACACACCCAGACACACTCACACTCACTTGTTCACACACGCTCAGTGAGCCGGAAGCCCCGCCCGCAGCAACCTGGCCGGGCCCCCCCCGCAGTGGTCCTATGGCTTCTACCTGATCCACCTGCAAGGCAAGCAGGGCTTCCAGTTCTTCTGCAAGACGGAGGACATGAAGCGGAGGTGGATGGAGCAGTTCGAGATGGCCATGTGAGTCCGCGTGGCCGCGCCCCGGTGCGGCAGCCCCGGGAGGAGGGGTTTCTGCCGCCCTCTCGGACCAGGGCTCGGGCAGACCCCGAGACAGAGCCGACCTCGGCACCCCGGCCCCACTCTGGTGGCGTCCGGGCTACTTTACGACCCAGCCGGCAAGGGGGCCTCCCTCTGGCACAGCCTGTCCCGGGCGGGCTCGGTGACCGCTGCCTCGAGGCTGGGCCTTGCCCACCTGGCCGGCCGAGCAGTGCGCGGCAGGGATGGTCGAGATGCCAGGTGGACCCTCGCTGGCCCAGGCCCTGGGGGCCCGACGGGCGGGTGGACGGCCGCCTGTGTGTGGAGGCCACAGCGCTGTGCATCCGTGGAGGCTAGGAGGAGCCCCAGCACGTCTGACGGAGAAAGGCGGTCGGTGGGGCACCGGGGGGGCGGTCAGACCTGGCACCAGAGGGGCAGGGGCCTGGCGCTTTCAGACTGCACCAGCAGGAGGGCGGGTGTACTCCCCTCCGGGCCGCGTCCTCCTGGTGGGGCGGACACGGAGGCAGGACCCAGGTCCCGGGAGTCCTGGGAGCATCGTAGGGCCCGGTCCAGGACACGCAGGACTGAGGGCAGTCGGCCACTGGCGGTCCCCGCGTCTGCCCCGGCTCCCGGGGCAGACCTGCCCCCCCCCCACCGTGCCCTGTCAGGAGCACCTCCGGGGGCTCGTCCCCGTTGAAAGGCTGCGTGGCCAACACCGTCGCGCTCCACCGCTGGCCTTGTCCCCGCCCCCGGCCCCCCAGCCGTCCTGCCGTCTGGCAGGACACACGTCTCCAGGGGGGTGACGGGCGCAGTGCCCGGCCCCCAGGCGCTCCAGGGCGCCCGCCCGGAGCCCGAGCCACTGCCCCTTCAGAGTCGTCGTCGTCTGACTCTCGGCTGCGTCGGCCCACGGCCGGGCCCCCGCCAACGTGTGGCCGTGACCTCCACCCAGAAGGCCTGTCGTGGCGGGGCCACCCAGCCGGTGTGGGCTCAGGGCACCCAGGGGCGCCTCTTCCCCTCCCGCCAGGTCGAACATCAAGCCGGACAAAGCCAACGCCAACCACCACAGCTTCCAGATGTACACGTTCGACAAGACCACCAACTGCAGGGCCTGCAGAATGTTCCTCAGGTGAGGGCCTCCCGCCCCGCCCCCGGCCCCACCCCCGCCCCCGGGGCGGCCCCGTCACCGCCCACCGCCCACCGCCGCCCTCCTCCGGCCCTGGGCAGGCCGTCAGCATCACGTCCAGCCGGGGCGGGGTGGGAGGCCCTGTCCACGTGGGTGCTCGAGGCCAGCAGAGCCGGGGGGGCCGTCCTTGCGGGGAGCAGCACCGGGCTACACATGAGGATGGGGGGTCCCAGAGGCCCCTGGGCTGTGAGGGGCGGGCGTTCTGTGCGGACAGCGAGGCCTGGGGCTCGATGGGCCCCCCTGTGGCCGCAGGGCCCGCCTCACCCCCGCCTTCTCCCGCTCCCGGCCCAGGGGCACCTTCTACCAGGGGTACCTGTGCACCAAGTGCGGCGTCGGGGCGCACAAGGAGTGTCTGGAAGTGACGCCCCCCTGCAAAATCAGTGAGTCCCGCCCCCGCCCCCACCCCCCGCCGCTCCCCCGCCCCCCGCCGCTCCCCCACCCTCGGGGTACGAGCCTCCGGGGCTGGTCCTCGGGGCCGCCCGTGGCGTCCCCGGCAGAGGGTCCCATTGCTCACAGCAGCCCTCTGCCCCCTCCTGGCTCCGGCCCAGGGAGACGTGCCCCTCTCCCGCCGGGGTGACCCCCTGGGACGGAGTCGAGGGGACTGAGGCTTGGAGAGGGGAGGACTCCCGCCCTGGGTCATGCAGTGTCGGGCTGGGGCGCTCCCGTGCCCACCCCCAGCCGCTAGCTGTGGGGTGGAGGGCTTCTCCCTGCCCCTGCCGCCCACCAGCTGGAAACTTCTGGAGCCCAGCTCCCCCCCCCCACCGGGGACGCGGGAGAGTCCCGGCCGTGCGTGGAGGTTTCTGACCACAGAGAATCTCCACCCCGGGCCGTCTTGCCCCGGTGCGCCGGGCTCTGTGTAGCTACAGCGTGTTGTCGAGGGCTCTCTCTCACACACACGCACACACGCATGTGCGTGTGGTCAGTGTTCCCCTCCCCCCCAGTGCCAGCGTGTCAGAAGCCTGAGGGGCAGGGAGGGGAAGGGGGTGCTCCTTCCGGTTCGTATTGGTTTATGAGGGGCGGGGTCCCCCCGACCTGGAGCCGCAGGACGGGCCGCTGGAACCCCGAGGCGGCTGGGGAAGGCCGCAGTGCCCCCACGAGCGGGGGCTGGCCCAGCACCGGGTCCCGGGTGCCTCCCCGTGAGAGGGGGCTGCTGCGCCCAGGGGTCCCGCCGCATCTGCCTGTCACCCAGGACACCTCTGCGAGAAGAGAAGGTGTCTCCGTTTCCCACGTCCTGTCTGGCGCTGGCCCGGGGCCCTGAGAGGCCGGCCCAGGCCCCCCGTCCTCGCCACGGGCCACGGGCCACGGGCCAGGGGGCCCACCTCGGCCCCGCAGGCGCCCCTGGCTCTGCTCGGCCTTGCAGCTCTGGCCGGCAACACTGCCCCCTTGTGGCCGTGCGGCCCTCACGCCGTGACTCCGGTGTCGGGTGGTTGCCATTGTTCTGACCCTACGAGGGACAGACTCGTCGGAAATTTGGAGGAAAGAGAAAGAGAAGAAATGAAACAAAAGTGGCAAGTGACTGTCACCCACGAACTCACCCAGAGACAGCCAGAGGCGGTGTCCCGGGTCGGACTCTCGACCGGCCGGCCGGCAGGGCCCCGGGCCAGCGGGCACAGGACGTGGGGAGCCGACGACAGAGGGTTCCCGTCTCGGCCGGGGTGTCCCGGGTGACAGGCGGGCCTGGCGTGTCCCTCCATCTGCCTGGAGCGCGGGGACACGCCTCGCAGCCGCACGCTCGGCACACGGGAGGCAGGCTGGCCCTCGGTGGCGTCCCCCACAATTCCCTGGGTGGCCTCGTGGCCGGGTGTCGTCCTGCAAAGCAAAAGGTCACCGGTTTGGTCCCTGGTGAGGGCACAGGCCTGGGGTGCGGGTTCAACCCCCGTCTCGGCCTTCAGCCACCCAGCCGGCGGCCGCTCCAGGTCGGGCGCCCTCCCCGCCCCCCACAAACCGATACGTTTCAGGGGGGCGGTTTTCCTGTGCTTCCTTGTCTGCGTGTTAAACACCACTTCCTGTCGAATATTCGGGAAACACAGAGACAGCCAAGGAGACGGAAACCCCCCCTACACTGGCCAGCCCCCGCCCGTCCCCGCCGCCCGCGTGTCTGTGGTTCTCGTCGTGTCTGTCACGGGGGTCTCCCCCTGGGGGCCGTGTCCGGGTCTGTCCGGAGGACGGCCTCCTGCACCGTCACAGCCCGCGGAAGCCCCGGGTTTCACTGAGGAGCCTGGGTCCCGTTCTCGCCCCCTGCTGGGGGCGCCGTCCCACCCCACCCGATGCCCACCGAGCCTGTCCCCCCTGTTCTGTGGAGTCGGCCTAGAGCCGTCCGCGCCGTGAGTGTCCGACGGTGTTGAGGCTGCGTCGGCCACCTGCCTCAGGCAGCCCCCGAGGTCCTTGCTTTGTCTGTTGCTGAGGTGGCAGGCCCCCTGGGCAGGTGGCCAGGGCCGGGCCTGGCACCGTGCCCTCTCTTCAGGGCCCCGGGCAGGGGTCTCTGGTGCATGGGCCTTCGTCTGGCGCGCTGAGGCGCCGGTCCCCGCAGCGGGCAGGCGCCTGCGTGTGTGAGACGAGGCCGACCAGTAGGTGGCCTGAGCGCCGCGGCCACCTCGCCAGGCGTCGCTGATCGGTTGGGGGAACCTCCCCTGCGGGGTTGGGGGGCCGGGCTCCCCCAGTGCCCAGGCAGCTGCTGCCCCGGAGCAGAGGGGGCCGGGCAGGAAGACCCGCCTGCCCCCAGGTCTGCCTTCCCCCGCGGGCCGCCAAGAGCAGACAGGGCTCAGGCTCTGCCGTCGGAAGTGAGAGTGAGAGAGAGAGAGACTTCCGCGGCGGCGGCCGGCCCGGCATGTCTGTGCTGGGTGGGACCCGCGGCACCTTGCTCTCGCGGGGAGGGGGCCCCGGCCCCCGTGCCCCGGCCCCCGCGCCCCCTGAGGCCTGCCCTGCTTCCCTTTCAGGTTCGCCTGCAGACCTGGTGAGTCCCCCCGGCTCGTCTCCTCCTGCCGCCCCGCACCCCGCGCGCCCTGCGTGCCCAGCAAGGCCCACGGGCCCGCTCTCGGCGCTTCTGGGCCCTCGCGGCGAGCCAGCCGCCGCGGTCACAGGGCCCAGAGGACCGTGCCCTGCCCGGCCGCCCCCACCCCCCCTCTGTGTAGCTGACCTGAGGGTCAAGTCCCTGGAGCCACACCCACTGTGTGGGGTGTGGACATTGTGTCTCGCCCCAGCTGTGGGGGCCAGTCCGATTACCCGGCACATTAAAGGCTGCTCTCCAGGCCCTGCTTGGGGTCAGCGACGCCCCGGTCGTAGGGAACGGGACGTGCCCCAGACAGCGGACAGAGCCCAGGCTCAGGGCGGGGAGGCCCCAGGGCTGGGGTGGTCCGGGCAGGCTTCCTGGAGGAGGGGCGCTGCTGGTGCGGCGTGGGAGAGGGGAGAGGGGAGGCGGGTGCACTGGGGCTGGACGGGGCACCGAGGGCGGGGGGCAGAGTGAGGAAAGGGGGCTGCCACAGAGCAGTCCTGCCACCAACGCCCACAGGAGTCTAGGGCGCGTCCCCGCCCCCTTCCTGCCTTGACCCTTCTCTCCAGGGGCGCGGGGCAGGGTCTGAGGTTGGGCAGCCTTCTCGCGTCACTGGTGTCTGTCCTTGCCCTCACAGGACGCCCCTGGAGCCGGACCAGGTGAGTGTGTGCGCGTGGGCCCTCTCGGCGGTGGCCACTCTGGGCGCAGGGCTCGGGCCGGCCCTGGCGACTGCCCAGCTTTCCCCAGCCTTCTGGCTCCGCCCCCACCCCATGTGTGTGTCCACCAGCCCCTGTCCCTCCTGCCGTCCGTCAGGGCCACCACCTTTCCCGGGATGAGGAGGCGCTGGGCGCAGGGACAGGGCCCCGCCAGCCGAGGGGCAGCGTCCTCAGGCATCGGATCGCTGTGGCTGTCTCTGTGCCACTTTCGGTCCCCTGCCGCCCCTCCCCCGCTCTGCGTGGTGCGTGGGAGCCCGGCTTCTGGGGCTCCGGGCTGACAGCGTCCCGTGCCGGGACGTCCGGGCAGGCTGCTGTCGCGGTGGCGCCTCCGGGCCCACGCCGGCGGCCGCGTCACAACGGGGCCTGGCTTAGGAGCGGCCCACCCGGTCTGGGGGACTCAGCCGGGACCCCCGTTCCAGCCCCAGAGCTGCCTGGACCCGCTGTGTGGCCTCGGCAAGCCCCGGGCCCGGCGGAGCCCAGCCCGCCTGCGACGCAGGGGCCGCATCCGGGCTGCGTGTGCTGGCTCTGCGCCACCGCCGGGGACGGTGTCGGGAAGGGCGTGGAAACCGAAAGTGCCGTTTGAAACGGAGCTGCCGCCCCCGCCCCCGAGTCTGTTCGTGGAGCGACACAGAACAGCGACTCCGGGGTCTTCCGGGCAGGACCGGGCCCGAGCCGCCCCCCGCCGCTCTGTCCCCCACAGGGCCCAAGATGGTGGCCTTGCAGAACTACCACGGCAACCCCGCGCCCCCCGGCAAGCCAGTGCTGACCTTCCAGACGGGCGAAGTGATCGAGCTGCTCAGAGGGGACCCCGAGTCTCAGTGGTGGGAGGTGGGTCCTGGCCCGGGTGGTGGGTGGGGCTCTGGCTCCCCCTGCCCCACCCCCGGGCAGAGGACAGAGGGCAGAGGGCAGAGGGCAGAGGGCGGTGCCCCCAGCAGCGCTGTTGGTGGAGTGCAGTGGCTGCAGCCTGGGGTCCTCTGGGCGTCCGCTCTTACCTGGGAGGGGGGACAGCGTCCCCCCACTTCCGGCCTCAGTCACCTCCTGCACACCCTCCCCAAGTGGGACCAGGGCCCCCCGGTGTCGGGTGGCCTTGCAGGGACGCCCTGATGATGGGGACGTGGGGGGCTGAGGGGGCGCTGCCTGGGGAACCTGGGGAGGCTCCTCCTCCAGGCAGAGGGAGGGGGGAGCCAAGGCCGAGCCCCCCACCCCGGGCCCTCCGGCTGCGTCTGCGGGGACGAGAGGCAGCGGCAGCCGGGAGAGGGGCTCCGGTCCCAGGTCCCAGCTCCCAGCGAGCTGTAATGCCCGTGGGCCCCGGCGTGCTCCTCCGAGAACCAGGGACGCCGGCCCCCTCCTGCCCGCAGCGGGTGTGAGGTCCGCGGAGGTCGCAGCCCGGGTGGCGCCGTCCATCACACAGGCCTCAGGGGCTGCCCTCACCCGGTCCTGGCCCTCGGGGAGCAGGGAGCCCCCGCCGCGGGCCGGGCCCAGCGCGCTGACCACCCGCCTTCCTCCAGGGGCGGCTGGTGCAGACCAGGAAGTCCGGCTACTTCCCCAGCAGCTGCGTGAAGCCCTGCCCCGTGGACGGAAGGGTGAGCGCGCCCGCAGAAGCTCCCGGAGCGCCGGGGCTGCCGACAGCTGTGTCCTCGCGGGGGACGTCTTTGCTGAGTGGCCGCCGGGAGCTGGCCCCGGGGCGCAGTCTGAGAAGATGGGTGGGGGCCGAGGGGCAGGGCGCCCCCCACCATTTGAGGGTCTCGGCCAGTGGGGGGCTGCGTTTCATCGCGGTGCTGCAAACACTGACAGCCCCCTCACTGCCAGCCCGGCCCCGGGGGGCCCTGGACCCCCGTCCGAGCTCTCAGGGTTCGGGCCGGGCTGGCCCCCAGAGACCTCGCTGCCGCGGCCAGCCGCCTGCCCCGGGGCCCTGTCCACCCCGAGAAGCTCTGCCGCCTTTGGGGGTCGCACCCCTGCGGGGGCACAGGCGCACTGGTCACTCACTCACTCACTCACTCACTCATTCCGTCACCCATCATCCACCCACTCAGTCAGCGAGAACTCCTGGGCGTCCACTCAGGGCCGTGAGTCCCAGGCACTGCCCTCAGGGACCTCGCAGTCCAGTGGCTCCGACCTGACGGTGGTCCGGTCGTTGCTGACCAGCCCCCTCTGGCCCCCACACTCTGGGTGGCCCCTGAGGGGACATTAACCTGAACTTTCTCTTTTCCCAGCCACCCATCGGCCGGCTGCTGTCCCGGGAGATGGACTATAGTGCTTACCCCTGGTGAGTGGGCTGGGGGGCGGGGCCCTGGCTGGGGGCGGGGCCTCTCAGTTGAGGGTGGGGCCTCTGGGCTGGGGGCGGGGCCCCAGAAGCCCATCCGCAGGCCAGGCTCTGGGCCGTCTACAGGCCGGCGGGGCCCAGCAACCCCAGCCTCTCTCCTTCCTCGACCCCTGAGTCACCTGGAGTTGGGGGGTCGTCTCCACCCCGTGGCAGCTGGTTTCCCTCGTCAGGGCACGTCATCGGGTGGAACGTTCGGGAGAAGGGAGTTCTTTTTTTGCGCAACCTCCCCTGAGGTTCGCCGTGTAAGGTACAGGAGAGTGGCACACTGAAGGCCAGAGTCAGTCGTGCACGCACTCAGTGGTGGCTGCACGGGGACAGTGAGGACAGCGGGGTTGATAACAGCCTGAGTGGTGGGGGGTGGACGTTGTAGGGACGAGTCACAGGTGCAGGCGGGCCGCGGGGTCCGGCGTTCGGCACTCTGCCTGCGGCGTCACCGGGCCACCTCCGAGAGCGGCCGCCCCGCAGGGGCCACAGTGCGGGCAGCTTGAGTGTGGACGCCGTCCGCCCCGGAGCGCCCACCCTCACGGTTTCTGTCTGGGCCTCGTCCCTCCCCCACGCCGGGGTCTCATGCGCACGGCGGGGGGGCGGGGGCCGAGCCACGACTTTTCACCTGGCGGCTCAGCCCACAGCCTCTGAGGGTCCTCACGGCAGGCCTGGTGTCTGCACAGTGGGGCGCAAGTCCCGCCTCCGCCTGACGGGGGCGCGAAGGGGGGTGGGTTTTGATTGGGAAGCGGGGCTGGAGGCTTGCCCTCGGTCTCGGGGGGCTTGGCTCCGGCAGAGGCGCAGCCGAAGCTTCCCGTGTGAGTCTGTCCGAACTCCTGCCCAGGTGTGTCGGTGGTCTCCGGGGTGTTGCAACAAAACCCCTGCGGGAGCAGGTTTTATTTATAGACGCTTTTTCTTCAAAGACTTTGCTTACTTTTAGAGAGAAGGGAAGGGAGGGAGAGAAACATCGATGTGTGGCTGCCTCTCATGCGCCCCCTACTGGGGACCTGGCCTGCAACCCAGCCATGTGTCCTGACTGGGAATCGAACCTGCGATGCTTTGGTTCGCAGCCCGCGCTCAATCCACTGAGCCACAGCAGCCAGGGCCTCATCACCGCTTCTTAAACTCTGAAAACTGAACCTGGTGCCTGCGTCACCCTGGACCCCTCTCGCAGGCCCTGGGTTCTGTAGAGCAGAACCCTCCGGGGAACTGGCTGAGTCTGAGGTCCTCAGTCCCGGGACCCCTGATCTCTCCTGGGCCCACTCTGTGCCCAGAGGCTGCTGCCCCGCCCCCAGCTCCATCTCTGAGCCCCGCCCACGGTTGGCCCTTCCCACAGGGGCGTGGCCTCACTTCCCAGCAGCTCACTCTGCAGATTAGAGATGCGGTGGCCGGCTGGCCGGCCGGCCCGGCTGGAGGCTGCCAGAGGCTCTGCCAGTGTGACCTCCCTCCCTCCCTCCCTCCCTCCCCCCCCTCCCGCGCCCCAGGTTTGCGGGCAACCTGGAGAGGCAGCACACCGACAACCTGCTCAAGCCCCACGCCAGCGGGACCTACCTGGTCCGGGAGCGGCCGGCCGAGGCGGAGCGCTTCGCCATCAGCATCAAGTACGTGGCTGCCGCGCGGGCCACGGGGGCCGTCCCCGGGGCCATCCCGGACCTCAGACCCCCGTCCCCTCCAGGCCTGGGGCTCGCCGGGGAAGGGGACTCGGGGGCCGGGGGCACTCCGGGGCGGAGAAGAGGCCCACCAGAGTCGTCCCGGCTCAGGGAGCGGCTGGGGGGAGGGGGGCTGTGGGGCTTCAGGGTCCGAGGCCTCGCAGGCTGATCCGGCGGTTTGGACTGGAAGCGGGCCAGGGGGCCGGACAGACGGACAGACAAGCCGTAGGACACAGGCCCAGACCCGGGGGGCCGGGGGGAGGGCTGGGAGGCAGCCGCGGTGCAGCCGGAGGCGTGAGCCCGGGGCCGAGGGGACGCCGTGTTTGCCTCTGTGGCGCGTGTGCCGAGCCTGCCCCGAGGGGCTGACCGCCTGCGCCCTTCGCCCAGGTTCAACGACGAGGTGAAGCACATCAAGGTGGTGGAGAAGGACAGCTGGATCCACATCACGGAGGCAAAGAAATTCGAAAGCCTCCTGGTGGGTGACTCTGCGGCTCCCGCCAGCCTGGCCCGGGGAGGGTGGGAGGGGCCTGGCCCCTGCACCCCATGCTCCACGGCCTCCTTGCAGCCCCTGACTCAGGGCCGACCCCCAAGCCCCCAGAGGGCCAGGTGGGCTGACCGTGGTGGACAGTGAGGGCAGGGCCCAGCCCGCCCCGGCCACCAGCATCTCAGCAGCCCGTTCCCGCCGGTCCTGCTGCCAGAGCCGGAAACCGTGGTTCACTGAGGCTCCGTCAGGGCCTGGCGTGTTGCCACCGCCCCCCCGGGGGGCTTCCCGCGGCACCCCCTGCCTGCCCCTCCCCCCCACCCGGAATGCAGGTCACAGCACGGGTCTTCTCCTGGTGGCGTTTTAAAGTTAGACCCGTTGATCCTCTTACAGCCAGAGGTCCGTGCGCTCTGACCCGCCCACCAGAGAATCTGGGCTCTTGGGCCCCCCACCGTGTCGTGTGTCCCCCCCCCACCCTGAGAATCCCGGAGTGAAACGGGAAGCCCCCACAAGCCCCTCCCCGTAAACACTGACGGCACCATAGCAGCTCCTCGGGGCGGTGGGGGTCCCCCGTTCGGACACCCCCTTTCCTGGTCTGGTGCCCGGTGGCATTCGGTCCTTTGGAGTAGCTGTTATGTCTAGAAGCCTTTCCCTCTGTTGGACCTGTGGGGGCTTCCTGCCTTTCCCCATCGTAAACGGTGTGGCGGGGCCACCCCTGTCTCTCGGCCTCAGCATTCCAGGGATGTCCCCTTTGGAGACGTTTGGGAGAGAAATGGCCGTATCAGAAGTCTGTGACTCACCGGCCAGCCACCCCGGGCCGAGTGCTGGGGGAGGAGGAGGAGGGGAGGTCTTGGGGGTCCAGGGGAGGAGCTCCCTGCAGGAGCCTGAGGAGGTGGGAGAGGGAGGCACGGACACCCAGGAGGCCTGCCTGGAGGCGGCGGCCACAGGCAGTGAGCACGTGTGTCCCGCAGGAGTTGGTGGAGTACTACCAGTGCCACTCTCTCAAGGAGAGCTTCAAGCAGCTGGACACCACGCTAAAGTACCCCTACAAGTCACGGGAACGTGCCGCTTCCAGGGCCTCCAGCCGGTCCCCAGGTACTGCCCCCGCCCACCCGGCCCGCCAGGGCTCCCCTGTCCCAGTTCCCACGGGCCACGCTGCCCTAGGCCGGCAGCCCCTTCCCCAGACTGCCCCCCAGGAGCGGCGGCCCTGGCGCCCCCCAGCCCATCGCAAGCACCCTCCCAAGCCGGGCGGGGCGGGGTGCCTTGGTGGTCTCAGGGGGCAGGTGGGGACGCCAGCTCTGACTCTGGGTGCCTGTGCCCAGAGGTCAGCGTGGGAGGGAACCGGGCAGGCCCACCCGCCCTCAGACCCCTGCCTGTGCCCTGCCCCCCAGGGCCTCCACTGTGGGGGGGGCCGGCCCAGCGCCTGTGTGGGGGGCGCGGCCCTGCAGCCCGGGCCAGGGGCCGGCTGGCGTCCAGGGCAGGGCGGGCCTGGAGCGTTCGGCACCCAGCCCGGGGTCACCCCTGCGCCGTCCTGCTTCCTCCGGCCTGCAGGGACCTGCAGGGCCCTGGAGGGCCCTGGGTCCCGCCCCGGCAGGGCAGGCCAGGGGAGGTGTGACGGGCCTTTCGTGAGCACCTGCTGTATGCGGGGCCCAGGGGCGGGGCCCCAAGCCCGGAGCACCCGGGCGGAGGTGCCGCCCCCGGCTTGCTGGCCGGGACGCAGGTTCCGGGCGGCGGAGTGAGGGCGGCCGGGAGGTGCCAGCTGTGCCCCTGGGGTGGCCCCGAGGCCGTCCCCTGTCCCTCGGTTCCTGTCCCTGCCGCTGCGGCTGTGCGCTGTGGGTCACGCGAATGCTCCTCTGCCCCCTGTCACCTGCTCTCTCGCCTCCTTGCAGCCTCCTGCGCCTCCTACAACTTCTCTTTCCTCAGCCCTCAGGGCCTCAGCTTCGCTGCTCAGGGCCCCTCCGCCCCCTTCTGGTCAGGTACCCTGCCCTCCCCGCGGTGGCGGCCGCCTCCCCGCCTTGCGCACCCCCCGAGGTCCCTCGCAGCTGCCCGCCCTTGTCCCCCGCTGCCCCCCTGAGTGCTCTGCCTCTGGCCGTGGTCAGCACCCAGGCGGCCACCCTCGGGGGGAGGGGGCCGGAGGACCGGGTCTCCGTGGCCGCAACCTCATGGCCGTCTGCTGCCAGAGTCAGGGCCCTCCCGCCGCTCTGCACACTTTCCCCCTTGTCACGGCCGCTGCCAGCTGTCCGTCAGGACTCAGGGGCCAGGCCTGCCCAGCTGGGCGTCGAGTTGGGTGGGGGGTCTGGGACTGGGCCAAGTGGGGGGCTGGGTCCCGTGCAGGTGGTCTTGTCCGAGTGGGGCTGTGCCCTGGCCACGGGCAGACGGCGCGGGGACTGTCGTGGTCAGAGGGCGGGCGTCTGCTCCGGTGCCCCTGAGCCGGCCCGCAGCCTGTGGCGGCCCCCCGGCGCGGGTGGTGACCCCCCGGGTTCCCTCCGGGGGCGGGGGGACCTCAGACCTCGTGCAGCCGTGTGGGCTGCCCCGGGCACTGGGCCGGCCGGCCGCCGCGTGACGCCGCCATCCGCGTCCCCGACAGTGTGCGCGCCCCGCGTCATCGGCACGGCCGTGGCCAGGTACAACTTCGCCGCCCGGGACATGCGGGAGCTCTCGCTGCGGGAAGGCGACGTGGTGAAGATCTACAGCCGGGTCGGCGGGGACCAGGGCTGGTGGCGCGGCGAGGCCGGTGGCCGGGTGAGTGTCCTGATGGCCGGGAGGCCCCCCGGGCGCGGGGACCGTGGCTGCCCCCGGACTCGGCCGAGCGGGCGTCCCTCCCGGGGCGCGCGGAGGAGCCGCCGTCCGCCCCGAGTCTCCCCGGGTCCAGCCCCGTGAGGCGTGGTTTTGTGTCCGGCGGCCGGTGCCACTCGGGTCCCCCTCCCCTCCCGCACAGGGTGGGGGTCTCCTCCGCCCACCGGCGCGCTCCTGCTGCCCGGACCCCCCAGTCTGCTCCGCAGTGCCTGTGTGCGCCGGCGAACCCTGGCGTTTGCTGGGTCTGAGCGCCCCTCTGTTTCACGCTCTTTTTTTTCTTTTTAAATAAATCCCTGGTTTTTTTTTTAATATTTTATTTATTTATTTTCAGAGAGGGAAGGGAGGGAGAAAGAGAGAGAGAGAGAAACATCAATGTGCGGTTGCTGGGGGTCGTGGCCTGCAACCCAGGCATGTGCCCTGACTGGGAATCGAACCTGCGACACTTTGGTTCGCAGCCCGCGCTCAATCCACTGAGCTGCGCCAGCCAGGGCTCACGCTCTTTTTTAACCTGCTCGCTGGAAGGTTTTCGTCATTTATTTTGACGCAGCGTCAAACCTAAAGAAAGGTGTGGCCGGCAGAGTCCCCCATGCGTCCAGCTGTACCACGGGGGCCGACGTGCCCGCCGGCTCTGTCCGTTGCCCCCAGCTCCGACATGAGTGTGTTCACGCACACACACGTTTCTTTCTAAACCACTTTTTAAAAGATTTTATTTATTTAGAGAGAGGGAAAGGAGGGAGAAAGAGAGGGAGAGAAATGTCAATGTGTGGTTGCCTCTTGGGCGCCCCCTACTGGGGACCTGACCCACAACCCAGGCAGGTGCCCTGACTGGGAATCGAACCGGCGACCCACCAGTTTGCAGGCCGGCGCTCAGTCCACTGAGCCACACCAGCCAGGGCCCGTTCTGGGACTTCTGCATGTTGGCTGAGTTCTGTTCTCGGGTAAAATGTTCTACTTTTCCATCCCTTTTCTGGAACATTCACGTGAGAGTCACTTACCTTCCTGGCGATCCCGTCCCGTATCTGGGCGAGCTGGAGACGGGCCCTGGTGCTCTGCCTTCCCCTCCCCGCCTGTCCCGGGACCCCGACCCAGCGCCCAGCGTGCGCGACCATCGGGGCTCTGGGTGCTGCTGCTGCTGCTGTCCCCAGACGGGATCTGTTGTTCCTGGCTGGCAGCTGGAAGGAGAGCAGTTTCACCTGGAACCTCTCGGGGCTGGCACGTTCCCGGGTCCCGTGTCCACCTGGGCCACGGCCCCAGCAGGCGCGCAGCCCCTCCCCCAGGGCCGGTGCCGCCCTGCGAAGGACCCCTCCTGTCTGGGAGCCCGGGCTCACCCGCACCCCCAGCGTGCAGACCCAGCCCCCCCCCCCCTTACGCGATCCTGCCGTCTTTTCCAGGTCGGCTGGTTCCCCTCGACCTACGTGGAGGAGGAGGGTGTCCAGTGACAGCGGGGACGCCGGCGGGACTCAGGAGCCTCCCGGAAGGGCGGCGCCAGCGAGAAGCGTGTCTCCAGCTCGGGACCGGAGGGGAAACGCCTGCCGGGACCCCGCCGTCCGCCGCAGCCCGCGGGGGTGGGGAGGGCGTCGGAAGCCCTCCACGCGAACCGTCCCGCCGGCCGCCTGCCCTCGGGGGCCCGTCCCGGGCGGGCCACTTGTACATAGGGAGACCTGGCCGCCCGCCAGAGCACGGAGGCGCGGGCGCCGGGCGGCAGCTGAGGCTGAGGCCGGTCTGGCCCCTGCCCGGTTGGGACGGCACGCGGAAGCCTGGCTTTGGACGCGGACGCGGCCCCGGGGAGGGCTGGGCACGGCGGAGGGGACCTTGCCCTCACTCCCCCTGCTCGGCCCGGACTCCTGGCCCTCTGGCTTCCTGCTGCTCCCTGGGGCCACCTCGGGCCTTGAGGGGCGGTGGGGCCCCTGCGCAGCCCCAGCGGGGGTGTAGGGGCCGGCGCTGCAGGGCGCCTCTCTCGGGAGGGGCCCCTGGGAATGAGCAAGTCGCCGGCCCACTCCCTGGCCCACGGTACTGCCTGTGCCCCGGATCAGGGGTGCCTCTGTCCACCCTGCTGCCTGCAGACATGCATCTCCTGTGAACCCCGGCGCGGGCGGGGAGGACCCGGGGCCCTCGCTCTGTGCCTGCTGCTCACATTCCAGGCAGGGCGCCCTCTGGGCGTCCTGTGTCCTGCAGAGGGTCCCTGAGGGTCCCCACGGGGGGACCCTTTGCACAGGATGGCGGCTCTCGCCCTCGGTCGGCGCTCCCTCCATGAGCTGTGTGGCTCGTGATCTGGGCCGGTGACCAGCCCGTTCTAAGTGCTCTTGGGGGTGTCTGTGCCCCTGTAACGCCCGCTCCCAGCTTCTGCTGGCCTTGACCTCTGGCTGGCCCGGCCAGACCCTGTTTTCTCTGCCTGGACGCCGCGTGACACCCAGGGAGAGCCTCCCTCCCGGCCCCGTGGCCAAGCTCCTGGTGCAGCTCGGCTTTGCGGGGCCCCCCCTCCCTTTGGTCCGCCGCACAGCCCCATGCGGAAGCGGGGGCCGGGCCAGCCTGCTGGCCGCCCTGCACCCTGGGGTCCCTCTGAGGCCAGCCGAGTGGCCCCCCGGCGCCCGGCCTGGGGACGAGGCAGGAGGGTCCAAGGTGGCGGGCGGGGGCTTGAGAAGTGAGGGTGGGCAGGGCGGCAAGCGGGAGGGCGGGGCAGACCCAGTTCCCTGTCTTCAGGGCGCACCCAGCACTTTGCTTGCGACCCTCGGTTCAGCCGCCCGGCCCCCCCCGCCGAGCCCCCAGCCCCCGGACGGGAGGGGACCCGCCCACCGGCCGCGTTTTGTTTACCGTCGTCGGGGAGGTTACGCTTCGTGTTTTTGTTGTTTTGTGTTTGGTTCGGCTCGTTTGCCTTCTACGGGAAGCAGAGGTGTGTCATTATTTCCTCCAAAGCTGCCAGGGTCGGTCTGCCTGTGGATAATGAGGAAGAGAGTTTATGAGACTCTGGGAACCGGTGCACCTGCGAGCCCGTCCTGAGGCAGGTCGCCAGGGCGCCGCGGGACGCCGAGGCCACCGCGCCCGGATCCCGGGGTTTTGTGAATGTTTGGTTTCGCTGGTCCTGACACGCGGGGTGGCTTTGGGTGGGGTTTGCACTGTTTCAGGCGGCAGGGGAGGGGCCGGGGCCGGGCAGAGGGGCTTCAGGCCTGGGGTCCGCCGTTGGTCGGCGGTGGGTGCCCAGGCCCCGTGCATGTGGGTCAGGGAGCTGGGGCCCTGCGGCCGAGGCTGCCCCAGATGGAACGCAGACTGTACATTTGCCAACAGGTTTTTTCAGAACACGGTTTTTACTGCAAATAAACCTAAGTTCTTTTCTCCGGGAGTGGCTGACCTTTTGTGCCGGTGGGGCGGGGGAGGGTGTGGCAGATTCCTGTGTCTCCCTCGGGGTCTGCCCTGCCCGTGTGGGGCGGGGTCAGCCCCGGGGACGTGGGGACTGTGGGTCTGGAGGAGCTAATGACCCCATCCCGGCTGGCCCAGCGCCGAGGGCTTCCCAGGGAGGGACCCCCACCCCCTGCAGCCCCGGAGGCGGCCGCTGCCTTCCTGTCTGGAGAGAGTGGAGCCCGGCCCGGCCCATCCCCAGTTGCTTTGTGTGTTGGGAGATACACTTAGTGCTCCGTCCTGAGGGCGGGACCGCGGCCTGTGACGGCGGGCAGTGGCAAGGCGAGGGTCCCTTCTCCCCCCGAGGGGCAGCCAGAGGCGTGGTCTGGGGTGGACCAGAGCACCACCCTCTGGGTCTCCTCCTTTCTCAACGGGCTCCTCCCTCCGAGGAGGCTGCCGGCGCTGTTGGCGCGGCAGCGGAAGCGGCATTGGGGGTGGGCACAGCCCGTCCCGCCCCTCCTGACCCAGAGCCTGGGCACCGGCCGCTGCCGGCTGCGGAGGGGGCTGGACGTGCAGGGCCCGGGCGGGGCGCACGGCCACCCCAGGGGACGCCAGGTCCTGTTTCTGAGGAGGCCCCACGGGGTCCTGGGGGTCCGTGGAGCCTCGGCAGCAGGTGCCCTGCTGGCACGCAGCAAGTGTTACACAGGAGGGAGGCGGGCTCAGGTGTTGGGGGTGACCCAGTGCCCCCGAGGGCTGGCTGGGGGGCTGTTCTGGGCCAGCCCCCCTCTGAGAGAAGCTCTCAGGCCTGAGTGCACGGGAGGCCGGTGGTTCCAACACCAGCTCCCGGCGAGCCAGCCCCCACTCCCGAGTCTCGCGCCCACACTGGGGGGCAGGCTGGCACACCTGGGCCGCCCTGGGCGGGGCCGAGCGAGTCTGGGCCACGCTGGGGGAAGCCCGGACCTGGAGCAGAGAGCGCGGGGGCCCCGGGGCAGGCGGCTGGTCCACAGGCCGCTGCAGGGGAGCGGGGGGTGCCGGGGACTGGGGTCACCGGGGCATCTGCTGTGGGTCCAGACCCCCAAGTGTGGGCGTCCCACCTGCCCAGGGGCCCCCGTGTGGACGGGTGGAGGCTGAGCCCGGACGGCGCGGGGACGGGAGGGAGGGAGGGAGGCGGCCGAGGGCCGAGGGCCGAGCTGACGGCCGCGGAGCAGAGCGAAGATGCTGGGCGTCCGAGTCCCGCGGGGCGGGGGGCTCGGCCTTCTGTTGCTGCCACGACGGATCGTCGCCAACGCCCCGGCGCAGAGCGGCCCCCGCCTGTGGGCCCGCGGGTCTCCGTGTCACAGAGGCCCGGGCGGCGGGTCTCCCTGGGCCACAGTCCCGGTGCCGGCACAGCCGTGCGCCCTTCCGGGGCCCCAGGCAGAATCCACGTCCCTGCCGTTGCCGGCTTCTAGGAGCTTCCTGCGTTCCTGGACGGAACACGGTCTCTCCTCCACCTTCAAAGCCCCTTCAAACCCGGGACCCCGGTGGACCCCACCCCACAGGTCAGGCTGTGTGGAGACAGTCCCCTCCGCCCGGCCGGCTCTCACCGGCCCTGTGGGGCGGCCAGGAAGACGCTTTTCTGTGCCTCCACGATGGGTGGGAGGGGACAAGCCTTCCCCAAAAACACGCGTTGTGGACGGAACCGTGTCCTGCCCAGGAAGCCAGGCGGCCGCTCCAGCCGCTGCACCCGGTCACGTGACCCTGCTGGGGCGTCAGGCCCCTGCAGGTGCGGTCGGGGCAGGGAGAGCGAGGCCCTGGGTGTCCCCGGACGAAGGCGGGATTTGAACCTGGACCTGCACACAGGGACAAGTCTGTGGGGACGGAGGCGGAGATGGGGTGACCCATCTGCCAGCTGAGGGACCCCAGAGGTGCCAGCAAACTGCCGGAAGCCTGAGAGGGTGGGACAGCGGCTCCCCCAGAGCCCTCAGAAGGAACCAGCCCTGTGGACACCTTGACCCTGGACTTGTGGCCTCCGGAGCCGGAGGGAACAACGAGGTTCTGCTGTCGAGGCCACTCCACTGTGGTGCTCTGCTGCGCCGTCCCGGGGACACTCACGCCCTGGGCGACCGTCACCTGCTCGGGGGGGCCCGCACGCCCGGAGCCGAGAGCGCGGAGCAGGGTCCCGGCTGTGGACGGCCTCGGGCCCCGGCGCCGACAGTGGAGGTCGCCCGTCCCGGGGGAAGCTGAATGCCCGGGCGCCCGCTGTCCTGCAGAAGCCAGCAGCCCCTGGGGGCCCGCCGTCCGGGCAGCCTGCAGGGGCCGGCGACATTCCTCTTAGGTCGCAGCGGCGGCGGGGTCGGTTGGGCCCCGTCGGAGAAGGGCAGTGAGCCGGGCACAGCCCCGGGGGTGAGAGAAGGCCCAGCATCTGCCCTCTCCCGGCAGACCCCGGGGGGAGAGGGAGTGGAGGGTGGGAGTCAGGCAGCATCTGAAGGAGTGCTGGACGGCCATCTTTCAGAGCAGACCCAGGGCCAGGGGTGGGGGGTTAGGGACCTCGAAGACCCCCTCGGGGGGTGCATCGGAGCAGACCAGTCTGGCGCCGTCCCAGCGAAGGCTGCGGAACAGGGAGGAGATCTTAACCTCAGCTGGGGGGCCCTGGGCAGTGGGGCTCAGCCGCTCGGAGCCACAGCCTGTACCCAGAAGGCTGCGGGTTCGATCCCCAGTCCCAGTGCACACGATCCCCCGTCCGGGCCGTGTGCACGGGAGGCAGCCAGTCGATTCTCCTCTCTCGCATCGATGTTTCTCTCTCTCCCCCCTCTCTAAAATCGATGAAAAAATGTCCTTGGGCCATGCATGGCTGGGGTGGCTCAGTGGATTGAGTGCGGGCTGCAAATCAAAGGGTCACAGGTTCAATTTCCAGTCAGGGCACAGGCCTGGGTTGCAGGCCAGGTCCCCAGTAGGGGGCGCCATGTGATAGGCAACCACACACTGATGTTTCTCTCCCTCTCCTTCTCCCTCCCTTCCTCTATCTAAATAAATAAAATCTTTTTAAAAAAGATGAAGTTTGGTGTAGAAAAAAAATATCCTTGGGTGAGGATTAAAAAAAAGTACTGGAAAAGCCGAGAGGTCACTTCCAGCGAAACGACTGTGCCGTCGCCCGTCAGCTGGGTCTCCTGGGTCTCGGGGTAGAACGCTGCAGCCCCCCGAAATGTTTCAAAAACAAACAAAAAACACAACAGTACAAAGGTGTTTTCAGGCAAAGGGAGGAGGAGTGGAAGCAGCTGACCGTGCCCTCCCTGGAGGACTTCCTGCAGAAAGCTCCAGAAGGACTTCAGCCTGGAGGGCAGTGGTAAACAGGCCGTCGTGCCCAAGTCCGAGAGGAACAGGTCGTGGGGTGTGACGTGGCCGGGGCCCGGGTGGGGTTCGCCCGGGTGAGCAGAAACCCTGAAGGTGGGGAGAGGGGTGACCAGCGCTCGGGACCCTCTGCGGTTGGACGGAGGGGGAGGCAGCGGCTTTGGTGATGGTCCCTCCTGTCGCTGAGTGACAGGCTCCCGTGGGCCCGGCCGGGCACAGCTCCCGGGCCCCCGCGCCCCGGGTCTCCCCAGGCCGCGTCCAGGCGACGGTCAGGCTGTGTTCTCCTCTGGAAGGTGACCGGGCGAGGCCCCGTCCACACCTGCGGAGGCTGCTGGCAGAAGTCACCCCCTGCGGGTGTCGGCTGCCGCAGGCCCCCAGCAGGAGCGCCGCTCCCGCCCGCCCGCCCGCCCGCCCGCCCGCGGGTGTGCAGTCTTGTGGGACGAGCCAGGGGCGAGGGGGGCCACCCGCCTGCCCTGCGGGGCGGGGACCCTGCGGGGTGGGCTGCTTCGCACGAGCAGCTGAGTTAGAAACCAGTGATGGAACACGCACCGGAAACTTCCAGATGCTCGCAAACCCAGACAACTACTTCTAAGTAACAGCCCAGGCTAGGATGGCCCCGAATTTCAAACTCGTTTTCAATGAGACTTGACAGGACTTCGTCCCAGGCTCGCTGCAGGCCGCAGACACCGACCCCGGACCTCGGTGGGTGGGTGGCTGGGTGGGCGGGCCTGCCGGCCGGGTCACAACAGTTCAAGTTGCCTGTAAAACGCGGTGGTTCCAAGTGGAAAAGCACGCTCGGAGCAGATGTGCACCCACTACGTGCTCTGTGCGAGCACTGGAGCCGCAGCCCCCGGCCGAGGCTCCGGCGGGAGCGGGGCAGCCGACCCGGCTCCCTCTCAGATCCGGTGTCCCAGAGGCTGCCAGGGGGCGGGGGGGGACGGGGACCACTGTCCTTTGGCCACGGCTCCACGGGTCCCTTCTGAAGGGCAGAGTCTTCATGCCCCCCCGCCCCCCCCCCCGGTGTTCACATGGCCTTCCCTCCCCCGGCTTCTCTGCGGCAGGGTTCCCCGTCTTCTCCTGTAAGGTCTTCCTCACCCTCATCTGAGGGAGGGGGGGGGGGACAGGGAAACACTGGCGTGAGAGAGAGACACCCACCCGTCGCCTCTCCCATGCGCCCCAGCAGGGGATCGAACCCGCAGCCCAGGTGTGTGCCCTGGCCGGGAATCGAACCGGCGGCCTTTCAGTGAAGGGACGACACTCCGGCCGGGTCCCGCCGGTCATCTGGACTCTCCCAGCTGTCGGGGCCGTGAGGCAGGAGGACGCTCTGGACCCCTGGCCTCGGCCCTGGGCAGCCCCGCGAGGACGCAGCCCCACGGACCCGGCTGGACTGCGGTCTGGCGCAGCGACGGACAGTCGTCGACCAGAGGCGGCTATTTCTTGCTTACCTAGCAGCCCGGGTGGGGACCCAGGGCCAGGACGGGGCGCTCAGTGCCAGGGACCCAGGTCCTCCTGGGGCTGTTTGGTCCCCGGGGTGGGGCCTCCCGAGCTCACCACCCCCACCCCCTGGGGCCCATGATGGGACTTCAGCTCCAGCCCCCGCACCCACACCCCCGCCCTGGAGGGAGCAGGCACAGGGAAGGGCGTGCCCCCCCTCACCAGTCAACCACCTGCCATGGGCCGGATGCTGGCTGCGGAGGGGGGCGGGGAACACGGTCCCGATTCTGGCCGGCGACTGTGGGGAGGGAAGGGGGGACGGGCGGGGGGGGGGGCGGGCGCACCCCAGTGGCAGAGGCGGCCCACACTTCCGAAAGGTTCAGAGACCAGACGGAGCCCCTGCTGGCTGGTGCGGAGGCCCCCGCCAGGGCGCGCGGCCTGTGCAGGACAGTGGGAAGGCCAGGCTGAGCCGGAGCTGCCTGTCCCGTGGCGACCCACCTCCCTTTTGGTCTCAGGGTCCCCCTCCTGGGGACAGTCTCGGGGGCCCAGCTCTCTCAGGGTGTCATACTTACATGTGGCCACCAGGGGGAGGTGCTCTCTGCAAAGGCTCAGGCTCCTGGACTTGGGGGCTGATTGTGTGCTGACCGCCCCCCGCCCCCCTCACCCGTGTCACTGCCAGGCGCCCCCCATTCACTGGCTGCCCCGCCACCACAGGCGCCTCCTCTGGGGGTGCTCCTGCCCCTGGTGCTGGAGGGAGGCAGCTGTCTCCACTACCAGCCCCCACCACCCAGTGCCTGGGTGGGGTCCGTGGCCGTGGGTTAAACGGGGTCCCCTTAAGCGTGCTTGGTGAGGGCACGGGCCCAGGGCCACGTGTCGCAGCTTTACAAGAGACGGTCGGAAGCCCAGCGTGTGGCCGACCCAGCTGGCGCTGGCTGGGGCCGGTGGGGGCCTGCGCCCTGGCCACCGGGGCTCCTGCATTCTCTCAGCGCCCTCGACGAAGGGGTCCTGCACGGCAGGGAGGTTCCCCGAGTTCCATCTCTCTCCCTGCGGTGAAGACCTTGGGGTGGACATTGTCATGTTTCCTTTTTAAAGATTCTCGTTGGAGAGATAAAACTTGGGCAATGTCAATCCAGCCCTCAAACGTGGTTCCGGAAACTTCCGTGGGCCGTGAATCGCCCGGGGGCTGGCGCGCCCGGCTGAGTCCTGGCCCGGTTTCCTGGTCTCTGCCACGGACGGCCTCACGCTGCCTCACCGCCGGCTCAGAGGCCGCTGGGCCCGGGCACCCAGTGTGGCTGGGCGCCGCCTCCCCGGGGTCCGAAGGCAGCAGCTCTCGCTGTCTCGTGGTGGAGTGTCCCTCTTGCTCAGGGCCACACGCAGAGCCTTCCCCGCCCCGCCCCTCCCCCACCCCTCCCCGGCTCCACCCCAGGTTCCTGCCCAGGCGGAGAGCAGCAGCCCCGGAGGCCTGGCCAGCAGGCCAGGTGGGGCGGGGGCCGGCGGGGGCCTGCAGGCAGGGCCAGCCCGGGCACGAAGGGGGTGTCTCAGGACGGGCCACGCAGGCGGGAGTGCGCCACGCCCCCGCCCGTGGGGGAGGGCCAGGATTCGGCGAGGCGCTGACGGATCTGCCCGCGCTTTTCTCCCCAGTGCACCGACAGTGCAAGGTGGCCGTCCACAGGTAGACCCACAGAGCTTCCCTGCAGGGGGCCCCGCGGGGGCGGGCAGTCTCTGCTTGCCAGGTGGGGAAACTGAGGCCGGGCGAGGGGACCGGCCTCAGGTGGTGCAGCTGGCTGGCCGCAGGACCTGGTCTCCATGGCCCTCACTGGAGCTGGGCCACCTCCTGAGCTGCACCCTCCAGCGCCCGGGGACACCGCCTGGCCCCTCCGCCTCTCCCAGACTTGAGCAGAGCCTGGTCGATGATCCAGCTGACCGTGCCGGGCCTGGCCCTGCAGCCACCACCCCTTGTCCAAAGTCCAGGGCCGCTGCTGCCCGCTGGGCTGGTGAGAATTTTGCAACAGCTGCTCGTCTGAGCGCAAGGCCAGGAGCGGTCAGGGCCGTCCCAGCTGCCACCCTGGGGCTGCTGTGCCTGATGTGTCACTCGGCCGTGGGTCCCGTGCCCGGAGTTCTCAGGGGGACGTGGCCACGCTCCTCCTTCGCCCACTCTGACCCCGTCGAGTGCAGCCCTGCCTCAGGCCATGGGGCCAGGCCCAGCTCTCCCGGAGAGACCAGGCTGGCACCCTTCCCACCTGGACCCCCGAGACCCCCCAAGGCCCCCCGAGGAAGCCTCGGTCCGGGGAGGCCAACCTTCCTCTGGGGGAGCCAGGGGAGTGCGTGATGGGCTGTCCCCATGGTGAGGACGGAGAATGGCGGCAGCACACGGTCAGGCCAGAGCCCAGGCCACCTCCTCCAGGATGCCCTCCTGGGTTTCCTGTGGGGAGGAAGGACCATCTACTCCGGAGCAGCCCCAGCACATCAGCTGCATCTCCCTCGGAGACCTGCAGCCCCATGGCAGCCGGGGCCGGTCTCCGCTGCCTCTGAGCCGCTGGGCTGCGCTCTGTCTGCGGTCCGGGCTCCGCAAGCGTAGAGCAGAGACGAGCTAGAGGACTGTCTTTGCCGCAGCCGCCGGCGTCACCCTGCGGTCACCCGGCCCGGGTGGGAGCACGGTTTCCTCTGGCCCCGCGGGGGGAGGGCCCCTATCTGACACCAGCTCCTGCTCTGACTCTGCCCCCAGAGGCCTGTGCGCTGGTGTCCTGGAGCCCCGCCCGGGTCCCCTCCACTCCGCAGGGACGGAGTGCCCAGGCCCACAGGCAGGCTGCAGTAAACCCCCGCACCCGCACCTGCCCTCTCCGGCCCCGGGGCCCCGGCCGGCCGTCGGGTGAAGGCAGCCGTCCCTGAGCGCCCGGGCTGGACGGGCGGGTCAGCGCGGAGGCTCTGGGGGTTCACCCTAACTTCCCGCCCACCTGCGGGCCGAGTGCTCGGTTCACCACCCCCCCTCGGGCAGCAGCCCTGTGACCCCGCCTTGGGGGTGAGGAGGGGAGGCCACCAGCCTCGTCCCTGAGGGCAGTGGATGGAGCCTCGGGGTTCAAAGCCCGCTCCACTGCCTGCCTGGGAGCTGCCCGCTTGGCTGCTGCCCCAGCGGGCGGTCTGGGCGGCGTGTCCCTGGTGGTGGGCGGGGCGGGGGCGGCCCAGTTCCGGCTGCAGCTCCGCAGGAAGGAAGGAGGGAGGGGACAGCACCGCAGAAGCCGCCAGGCTGGGCCCAGGCAGGCGGGCAGGCTTTCGGGGCCCAGGGGCGCTGCAGCCGCCCAGGTAAAGCACTCAGGAGGGGGGCAGGGCCCGGCCCTCCCCTAGGGGGTGGGGTGGGGACAGGCCCTGAGCTCCAGGCACGGCTCTCTGCCTCTCGCTGCTGGGACCTCTGGCTTGGGTGGGTGGGGGTCCCCAGGTCACTGTGGGGGCGGCCCTGGGCGGGGGCCATGCCCGGCCCTCTCCCTGATCACCCACCCCCTCGTGCTGCAGCCTTCAAGGGGCTCCTCGGGCCCCACTTCACAGCTAAGTCCAGTGGCGGCTCCAGCCCCCAACCACCCATGTGACCCCCAGCCCTGGGCTGTTCTGCACCCTCCCCCTACCCTGCAAACAGGACACGTGGCCGACCCAGGGGTGGGTGAGGGTCGGAGGGGGCGGGAGAGCAGGTTAATGCTGAAGCAGCTGCTTCCAGAAGGCGGGGGAACTTGGGCTTCCCAGCCTGCCCAGCCCGGGTGGAGATGCCCGACTGGCCGGTGGGCAGGCGGGGCACGTGGCGGCACCCGGGGCTGGGGGCAGGGCAGGAGGCGGGCAGGGCTGCCGGGCGGTGCCGTGGGCGGGGACAGCCTCCCCCGCACCCACGGGAGACCTGTACTCTCCACAGGTAGGACGCGTCTCCCGGGGGTCCTGGGAGGCTGAGGGACGTCGAGGACGGAAGGTAGGTTTGGGCACTAGCCGGGGGCGGGGGGGGGGTCACCTCCCTGTGCCCGGTCCGCCTGCAGGGGCGGGGCCGGAGGTGGTCAGACGGAGGGGCAAAGGGTGGCTGAGGGGACAGAGAGACCCTGCCCCGACCTCCAACCCCGCTGCTCCCCAAAGCCTTGCGAACCCTGACTCCCTGCACCCCCTCCACCCCCCACCCGGAGAGGGTCGCAGAGCCGAGAGCAGGCAGACCTGCCCCCCGGGAGCTGGGCCCCTCACCCGAACCCCCCACTGGGGGGGGTGGGACAGGGCATGGCAGCGGCTCAGGCGTCTCCCCCAAACCAGGCCCAGAGGTCAGGACGGGGCGGAGAGCCCACCGCCCACAGGCCTGGCCCTGCACCCCTGCTCGGCTGCAGAGCGGCCCCGTGACCTCGGTCACCTCCCCGTGAACAGAGGGTGGCAGTCCCAGTGAGCCTGCTGCTGGCTGGGGACTTGGCTGGCCCCGAGCAGGGCTGCCCAGGGCCAGCCTGCCGTGTGTGTGGGCTCTGGACTTCCTGCAGGAAAGACCTCTGGGCGCACGTGCCGGGGACTGTGACGGCAGGTCTGCTGGGTGGGGGACGGTGGGACAGGAAGGGCGTGGCACAGGAGAGCCCGGGCCGGGCTGCCGTCGCTGACTGCGGAGTCAGGGAAGGGGGGCCCTGGGTGCTGACCCCCAGGGGTCAGCCTGGGCGGAGCGGCCTCACCCGTGGCTTCCCTGGTTAGGGTTGAGCTGAGACGTGCCTGTGGGAGGGGGAGAAGGGGGGACTCGGGCTGCTCCCCAGCGGGAGCGCGGGAGCTGGGGTCCTCGGTCTCGGGGCCGCCTTATCTCTGTCCTGCAGGCGGGGTCTTAGGGGCGGCCTTGGGGGGGGCGGGGTTCATCGGAACATGCGTCAGTCCTCCAGGTGTGCCCTTTCTTGCTGTTTTAAAATATCTTTTTCCGTTTGGGTTTTTTTAGGATCTTATTTATTTAGTTTTAGACAGAGGGAAGGGAGGGAGAAAGAGGGAGAGAAACATCGATCCGTTGCCTCTCCCTGTCCCCAGCCGGGGACTTGGCTGGAAAGCCAGGCACGTGCCCTGACTGGGAATCGAGCCAGTGGCCTTTCGGTTTGTGGGATGACACCCAACCCACGGAGCCACCCCAGCCAGGGCTCGGTGTGACCTTTCAGGGTCACGGTCTCCCCCGACACGGGTCAGCATCCGGGCAGGGGGTCGTTGGCCACCGTGGCTGGTCCTGGCGTCGCCCACGTGGCTTTGCTGCTGCTTTTGGGGGCCCGGAGCTGAGACACCACTGAGGCTGGGTGTCCCCTCCAGGGAGGAAAGGCGGGGGGCAGGGTGGGGAGCTTACCCCCGGAGCCCCGATCCTTGTTTTCCGAGGTTTGCCCCCCGCCAGGTGCTCGGGCCTCCGCGCTGGTGATGCTCTGCGCCCAGCTGTGACTTGCTCAGCCGCAGGGTTAGCTACCTGCCTCAGTTTCCCCATTCCACCCGCCAGGGAACTGTCCTAGCTTCCCACCATCCCGCCTCCACTTCAGAGCCCTGTGCTGGACCGGGGCGCACACCGGAGCGGGCACGAACGGAAGTTGCCTTTCTCAGTCAGTTCACTGACGTCGGTCCTGACCGTGCACCCAGGTGGCACGGCCACCTCCGCACCCCGGCTCACAGCCAAACCCTCGGGCTTTCCCTGTTCATCCCGGGGGTGGGGGGGGCCTGGAGACCCCTCAGAGGCATCCTTTGTCCCCATGGTGGGCAGGACCCGCCCCCAGGGCAACACCTCCCCAGCACCTGCTGACTGGAAAAGATGGGGTCCCAGTCACATTCTTCTAATTGTGAGATTTTTCTGGCTGGGGAAGTCTGGGAGGGCTTCCTGCAGGAGGAGGGACTCAGGTGAGCCCTGAGGTCCGCAGGGAGGACAGTGAGGACAGTGAGGAGGCGGGGATGGGGGCCCCAGCTTCTGAGCCCCTGCTCGATGCGCAGACGGCTGGACCTCATGGCCCGCCTCACCTTCCGCCTCGGGGCCCACTGGGCGGGAACAACTTCTGTCCGGGTTGAGGGGGAGTCCCCAAGGGGCCGTGTGGGGTCCGGGCCGGAGGGCTGAGCGTGTCCCTGTGTCAGAGCGGCCGCCACGTGCCACGTGATCCCTGCTCCCACGCGCACCCCCCCCTCCTCCCGCCCTCCTGTCTGTGTGTCGTGGTGACAGTGCCAGCCCCCTCACCACAGCCCCAACCCCTGACCTCACCCCCCAGGTTATTGCCACAGGCTCCTCTGGTGCCCCCCACCCGTCTCCATGTCCCCTGTCCCACCACCACCCGCAGCACCAGACCTGGGGGTCACTGGGTCCCTACCCTCAGGACGCACCTCGAGGCCGTGGGGACAGGCCCCTCCACTCTCCAGTCCCCCCCGTCTGGGTCCTCTGTTCTCTGCGACCCTCGGACTCAGGTCCCCTCCCATCCTCCCTGCCCTCTCCCACCAGGCACCCCACTTTCCCGGGTCTCGTTTTGGCCCCTCCTCCCCACTGCCCCCTCCCGGGGCCCCGGGGCCCCACAGAGCTCCCCAGCTCCGTCACAGCCCTGCCCTCTGTCCACTCCCTGGGCTGGCCGGGACCTTCTGTCCCCGACCACGGTGCCCCTGGCCCAGTGTACAAGGGCGTGTACAAGGCCCTCGGGAGGCACGCACTGACCCAGGGCATTAGCCCACACGGGCCTTGGGCAGCAGGAGGAAGGCGCGGTGGGCACAGGCCCCTGGGCTCTCACTGGGCCCCGCCCCCACAGCGTCCTGTGTACCCCCGCCCCCCCTCAGCCCGACTCTCTCCCCAGCTCCCTGTGCGGGTGCCACCTGGGGTCCCCATGGCCTCGCTGAGCCGAGTTCTGCGTGCGGCCGCCTCACGCCCCCAGCGGAGCCCCGCGCAGGGCCTGGGGCCGCGGGCCCTGACCAGTGGGGCCGGCCCCACCACTGAGAAGAGCGTGCCCTACCAGCGGATCCTGAAGGACGCCCTGGAGCCCTTGGAGGAGGCCCGAGGCCCAAGCCGGCCCCTGCCCAGCACGGCCAGCGTGGTGGTCATCGGCGGAGGCAGCTTGGGCTGCCAGACCCTGTACCACCTGGCCAAGCTGGGCGTGAGCGGGGCCGTGCTGCTGGAGCGGGAGCGCCTGACCTCCGGGACCACCTGGCACACGGCAGGTAGGGCGGGGCTGCGGGCGGGGGCGGGGCCGGCTCCGCGCTGAAGGGGCGGGGCTGCGGGCGGGGGGCGGGGCCGGCTCGCGGGGGCGGGGGCTGGGGGCTGCGGACGGGGGCGGGGCTGACTCCGCTGGGGCAGGGCTGCGGGCGGGGGCGGGGCCGGCTCCGCGCTGGAGGGGCGGGGCTGCGGGCGGGGCTGCGGGCGGGGGCGGGGCCAGGGCCTGCTCTGGGCGGGCAGCCACAGCCGCTCAGGGGCAGCTGAGCGCGGAAAACCGGGCGCCAGTCTGCCGGTGGGCAGACCGGGCTGCCTGTCCTTAGGTCTCCGCAGCTGTGGTGGGAGGGGCCCCCCGGAGGTCGAAGCTGAGACAGAGCTGGGAGCCAGCTGTCTATTCAAAGAGCGAAGGGGCCCCCCTCCACAGGGTCCCTGGGGTGAGGGGCACACAGGCGTGAGGATGGACAGGGAGGGGCGGTAGGGGCCGGCGGGTGCACACGGGGCTCCTCCGGGACCACCGGGTGTGTCTACGATTCTCTTCCCCCTGACTCACCGGTGGGCGTGAATTAAGCACCTACTGTGTGCACGTCCCTAGGGCACCCGACCTTCTGCCCTAACCCTGGGTCAAGTCCACCGGTGTCTGTGGGATAAACATGCCCCGGGCACGAGGTCACTGGACCTGGGGTTGGGAAGCTCACAGGCGGCCCAGGTCCCGGGAGGTGACCCGTGGGTGGCCCAAACGCACCGCCTCTGCCTCCTGGTGCCCCGCATCGGTCAGCTGGCGCCCGGCCCCTCCCAGCCGCCCGCTCCCCAGACTCCGGTCCAGAGGCAGCGGCTCTGTGGGGGAGGGCCGGCTCTGGGTGCACTCATCCTCCCGCCTCGCTCGGGGGGCGGCGGTGTCCCCGTGGCGGTGTCCCCATGGCAGTGCAGCCCGGGTGAGGCCCGCAGCCAGTGCTAGAGGGACCGAGCCTCTGACATTGATGCCCTCCAAGCTGCCCACGGCCCAGCCTCCACCCCTGGCTCCCTGCTCACCGGCGTCTCGGGGCTGCGGAGGCTGCAGGGACAGGCCCCGGGCCGGCCGGGCGCTGCCTGGTCCCCGGGGGCCCTGGCCTGGGTGGGGGAGGGGCGCAGCACCCCGAGGCTGGGGCAGACGGTGCCCGCCCCTGCCCGCCAGGCCTGCTGTGGCAGCTGCGGCCCAGCGACGTGGAGGTGGAGCTGCTGGCCCACACACGGCGCGTGGTGAGCCAGGACCTGCCGGCGGAGACCGGGCTGCACACCGGCTGGATCCAGAACGGGGGCCTGTTCATCGCGTCCAACCGGCAGCGTCTGGATGAGTACAAGAGGCTCATGTCGGTGGGTGCGCCCCCCCGCCCCCGCAGGGAAGGTGGGGGCTGGGGTTGGCGGGTGCGCCCCCCCCAGGGAGGGTGGGGGCTGGGGTCGGTGGGTGTGCCCCCCGCAGGGAGGGTGGGGGCTGGGGTCGGCGGGTGCGCCCCCCCCCCAGGGAGGGTGGGGCGGCGTGGGGCGGGACGGAGCCCCGATGGGTCTGGGTTCCCACTGCGGCACTGCCCTCGCCGGCACGGCCGCCTGGGAGGGGGGCCTCTGCTCTCCGAGCCACGGTCTTCTCCCCACGAGAAGGGGCCACGTTGCAGAGCACAGGGCACTGAGCCCCGGAGCCTGGGGAGGCCGGACACGCGGGTTTGCTGTCCTCACGCCTGGTGCTCACGGGGGCCGCTGGGGCATGGCCACCAGCGGAGGCCTCCTGGAGGGGGGGCGGTCCAAGCTGGACCTGGTGGCCCGGGCGGGGAAGACTGGGGCTGGCAGAGGCCTGCTCCCCGAGGGCTCCGTCCCTGTCCCCTGCGTCCCCCAGCTGGGCAAGGCCTACGGCGTGGAGTCCCACGTGCTGAGCCCGGCGGAGACCAAGGCGCTGTACCCGCTGATGAACGTGGACGACCTGTACGGGACCCTGTACGTGCCGCACGACGGCACCATGGACCCCGCCGGCACCTGCAGCACCCTCGCCCGGGCCGCCAGCGCCCGCGGGGCACAGGTACCCACGGCCCCGGCCCTGGGCCCCCCGCTGCCGGCCACCTCGCCTGCCCGAGGACCCCGGGAGCGGAATGCAGGGGAGCCGGTGCCCTCCTCACTGCAGAGTGGCCTCGGGGCCGCTCTGAGCCGGCTGCCCGCTCCCGCGAGGGCAGGGAGTCAGGGTCCATGCCCACCCCGTCCTTCCCCGAGGCCCCAGCCCGCAGAGAACAACGTTAGGAAAGGGACGATACCCCCCTGAGGGCACGATGCGTCCGCCTGTCCCAAGGACACTTCCCGGGCAGGGGACACACTGTGCGCACACGGACGCTCCCTGCGGTCCCACCAGGCGGCCAGTGGCCTGCAGGCAGCGCTCAGTCAGACCAGCCTCTTTGTTCACGGCACGTGGGCCAAGCAGCCCAGCCCGTCGGAAGCAGGGGTCCAGGGCCCGTCGGGACGGGGGTGGGGCCAGCCCCGGGCGGCTCTGGAAGCAGCGGGTCCCGCCCCAGGTCATCGAGAACTGCCCCGTGACGGGCATCCGCGTGCGGACGGACGACTTCGGGGTGCGGCGGGTGGCGGCCGTGGAGACCGAGCACGGCTCCGTGCAGACGCCCTGCGTGGTCAACTGCGCAGGTGGGCGTGTGTGTGCTGCTGGCCGCTCCCGGCCCTGCCGCTCTCTGCGGTGGCCCCGGGCTCGGGCCTCCTGCGGGGAGCCCGTGCCCGCCCCCCCCGCCCCCGGCCGGCTGTCCCCAAAGGTGCCCGCAGGGCTGAGCTGTGCCGCTGTGCCCGCAGGAGTGTGGGCGGACGCCGTGGGCCGGATGGCCGGGGTCAAGGTCCCGCTGGTGGCCATGCACCACGCCTACGTCGTCACCGAGCGCATCGAGGGCATCCAGGCAAGCAGTGGCCCTGGGCTGTGCGTCGGCAGTGGGGGGCGCAGGGGCCTCAGGACTTACTCGCAGTGTGACCCATGTGGGCTCCCTCAGCACCCGGGGCCTCAGTCTCCTGGGCTGTGAAATGGGCACAGGACACTGGGCGTCTGGGTGGTGTGGGGCCCCAGCGAGGAGGCGGAGCTGTGGCCGGTGGCGCTGACCGCTGGGCCCTTGGGCACAGCTTCTCCAGGGCACCCGGGGGGGGGCTTGCTCCTGCTGGTGGCCCAGCGTGTCCCCAAGTACGCCCCGATTCTGGCCTCAGAGCCCCCCGGCCTCCTGGCCCTCTCCTCTCCCTCCCCTGCAGTGGCAGCCGGTGGCTTCCTGTCACCCGCTGTCACAGGCCACTCCTCTTTTCCTCCTTCCCTCGCCCCCTCCCACCCCTCTGTTCATTTCCCTCTGGCCGTCTGGCCGTCCTTCCCACCGTACCTGCTTCTGTCTCCCCCTCCATGGAAGGCTCCTCGTCTCTCTGCCCAGTTATTCGTCTGCTTATCTGTCCAGTTATCTGTCCGTCCCTTCATCCACGCACCCACGTGCTCCTCCTGCACCCCGTCACCCACCCATCTGTCACCCCACTCCGTCTCACGGCTCCCCTTGTCCCCTTGTCCCCCCGACACTGGCGGGAGGAGCCCAGCGTCCCAGGCTCGAGTGGGGAAGCTGCAGTCGTAACTGAAGGGCCGAGGCCTCGTCCCGGCAGGGGCGGGAGGCCCGGACTGGTGAGCAGGCAGGTCCGACACAGGCCGACCGGGGCTCCTCGGGGGCCCAGGGACGCTGCCAGGCCCCTGTCTGTGGGCAGGGGATGCCCCTGTGGAGGCCACGGCTGGAGGTGGCCGAGAGGGACTGGGGTGAGAGCCTGGAGGGTAGCAGCCAGCTCCTGCCGGCCGTTCAGAGAGGCCAGAGGGTCTGGGGGTGCGGACAGTGTGGCCTTGGGTTAGGGTCAGCCCTGGCAACGCGGGGCCTGGGGGCTTCGACCCCGCCCTGGACGAGCCCGGCCTCCTTTGGTCATCAGGACACAGGGACACGGGGACACGGCTCCTGCTGGAAGAAAAGTCAGGGGCTGCCCTGGCCACCAGGTGGCCCCACTGCCCTGCTCTCCGGAGCCCGGCTGGCTGCAGAGACCGCATTGGGGGGCCGTGCTGAGTCTCCCTCCCCGTTCCCAGGCCCCGAGCGCCCCTGTGCGTCCCCCACAGCCCCCCGAACCCCATAGCTTGTGCACAGTGCTGGGGGGCAGGGGTGCACCCCATCCACGTGCCCCCCCAGCCCCCGCTCGCTTTCTGGAACGATCTTGCCTCCATGTGCTCACTGTGTGAAATGTAGTATTTTGTTGCTGTGTGTCAGCTTGTACCCTTCAGCCTTGCTGAACTATTGTGTCAGTTCTAACAGTTTTCAGGGGGTTCCTTCGGGTTTTCTAGATGCGAGACCCCGTCATCTGCAAATGGCGGCAGTTTTACTTCTTCTTCTCCGACCGGACACCTTTCATTCCTTCTTCCCACCTGACGGCCGCTCTGGCCGGGACCCCCGCGCCCCGTGCAGCGGACGGGCCGAGAGCGGGCCGCCGTCTCCGGCCTGAGCGCGCAGGACGGGCTGCAGACCAGGCTGCGTCCGCCGAGGGTGTTTCTCGGACGCGCTCCGTGGGGCAGCTCCCCCCCACCCGTCCTCAGACGGCCGAGGGTCCTGTCGTGAACGGTGCCGGGCTCTGTCCGGGGGCCTTTCCGCCCCGGTGGAGACCCGTGGCCTTCTCCCTCTGCTGGCCCGGGGCGCCGCTCAGATTCATTCTCAGGCGTTAAACCAGCCTTGCCTCCCAGGACCAACCAGTCCCAGTGGGTCGTGGTCTCTGATCCTTTCCCGTGGCCCTGGGTTTCGCTGGCTAGTATTTTGTCCAGGGCATTTGCGGTGATATTCGTAACTGTTGCAGTTCCCCTGCCAAACGCCCATTGGTAACATACTCTGCACAGTCGCCCACCCCCCCGGAACTCCCGATTGCGAGGAGTCTGGAAGCCCCGGCCCCTCCCCCGGCGGACTCCGCCCGCGCCTTCCCGTCCTCTCGGCTTTGGACGGAGCCCTTGGCCTCAGCGGGGCTGTCCCCCAGGGCCTTCTCACCCCCCCCGCCCCCCCCACCCCCCCCGTGGGTCTGCTGCTCCCTGGATCCACGCCAGGCTCCCCGGGTGCCGTCTGAGAAGAAGGAAATGCTTTTGTGTCCGCGAGTGAATTTAAAAACCTGTGTTCTTTCCTCACACTGGGCTGAGGGCTTGTCTGGGTCCAGAATTCTGCATTTTTTTTTAAGATTTTTTAATTTATTTTTTTTTAGAGAGGGAAGGGAAGGAGAAAGAGAGAGAGAGAGAGAAGCATCAATGTGCGGTTGCTGGGGGTCATGGCCTGCAACCCAGGCATGTGTCCTGGCTGGGAATCGAACCTGCGACACTTTGGTTCGCAGCCCGTGCTCAACCCACTGAGCTACACCAGCCAGGGCTTAGGATTCTGCATTTAAACCCGTCTCTCCGAGTTCTGAGGGGAGCCGGGTCGCTGGCCCTCGGAATCGCTGTGTCTTCGCTGAGGACGCGCCTGTTCACCCGGCGCTCACCGGGGCTCAGCCCGGCGCGGCCGCGGCGCAGGCCCGGCCCGGTCGCAGGGCCAGTCGGGCCCCTGTGGGCCCTCGGATGCTCGGACCCGAGCGTCTCAGCCCGAGAAACCGTCTCGGATGGTTGTGCTGACGTCTCCTTCGGCCCCACTTACTCCTTCCGGGGCCCCTGGAAGGTGGGTGTCGCCCCTTCAGGACCGACTTCCTGATTCCCGGTTTTCTTTTTTTTTTTTTTTTGGCCAAATATCTGGAAGAGGGTCTCGGCCGCCCCTGCCCCTTCTGTTGGATTTTCGGTTTGAAGATCCTGCGTCACGGGAAGACGCCTTTCTCGGTGTGGGACGGCGCCTCCGTTTCGCGGGCCCGCCTTCCCCCGCCTCTGCTGTGTCCCTCCCCGCGGGCTGACTGGACGCTGGACGGGGGAACGGGGGGGCCCCTCACAGGGGTGGCGGGGAAAGCCCTCTTCTCGGCCGAGGGTCCCCAGTCTCCGCCGCTGGAGTCTTCTCCTGGCCACCCGGTGTCTCCGAGAATTAGTCCCCACTGTGCTGTGTGGGGTGGGGGGGCTCACCCCTCACCGTGCCCAGCCTGCAGCCTCTGGGGACCCCGTGTCCACAGCCAGACCTCGGGCGGGCCTCCCGCAGGGCAGGGCTGGGCCCTGGGCTGCCCGGGTGGGGATGCAGGGGGCCTGGCCCAGCTGCTTGGAAAAGACCCTCCCCCCGCTTCCTGCTCACATGCGTGCACGCACACACACACACAGTGTCTCTCACACGCACACACGTTCTGCCGCCCCCCACCCCGTGTTGCTGGGCTCCCCGCTCTCTCCTCTCGGTGGGTTATACGCCCCTCCCCCCTCCACCACATTCCTCCTCCTGTTTGGGTCTGTGCTGCTGTTTTTATCGGGTTTGGGGGAGGAGAGACTCGCCTGGTGCTGCTCCGTCCACTGTGCACCCCGAGACCCCGGGTCCCCTGTGTCCTCAGGGTCCTACAACAAGGAGGACGCCGGTGGGCCCTCTGTGGGCTGGGGCCCCCTGGGGAGGCGCTGGGCCCCTCCCAGCCCGGGCTCACCCCAAGGCCTCTCCGCTCTGCCCTCCAGAACATGCCCAACGTCCGGGACCACGATGCCTCTGTCTACCTCCGCCTCCAGGGCGACGCCCTGTCTGTGGGCGGCTACGAGGCGAACCCCATCTTCTGGGAGGAGGTGAGGCGCGCAGGGAGTGGGGGAGGGGCCGGGGCTGCGGCTCAGTGTGGGGAGCCCCCTCCTGAAGCTCCTCGCCGCCCCCGAGAAACAGCAGGTCGCCCGGCTCCACAAGGGTCAAACCCATTCTGCTGCGACCCCTGGAGGACCTGGGGTACAGGCCCCCCAGATTGGGGGGCTTGCGTCACAGCGCCCAGGCTGGAGGCTGTGAAACTGTGCAAGGGCAACCTTTGGAGAACAGGAAGACATTGCAGTCCCCTGTCCATCAGCCCCCAGCTCTGGGCCCTGCCCAGCTCAGCCCGCGGGCGGCGGCGTCTCCCCGGGCCTGGGCTGCACCCCTGGCGACTTCGGGACTTGTGTGCAGACCCAGCCGCCCCGTGGCCACCTCGAGCGTGTGTGGGCCGCCCTGGCTCTTCCATTCGTGCGTTTAACCACACACTGAAAAACTACATGACCAACGTGGGCCAGGCCCTGTTTTACTTTCTGGGGAAACGGGAAACTAAGATAAAAGTTCCTGTCCCAGGAGGCCTGTATTTTGGTGGGGGGACATACAATAAGCAAAGAAGTAACGAGGGCTCCTCGAGGAGGTCGCACTGCGCAGGGCCCTGCAGAGCACAAGGCGGGCAGGGCGCTGCCCAGGTGGAGGGGAAGGCCGGGGCCACGCTTGCCGGTCTCCGAGACTGAAGGTGGGTCGGTGTGAGACATGGGCCGGCTCATGTAGGGCTTTGCAGACCGCAGAGGAGCTCGGGGATCCACAGGAAGGAAGCTCAAGGGCAAGAGGGGACGTGACCCGACTGAGGAGGGTGGGTTGAGGGAGGGCGGGCAAGCAGGGCCCCCGGGTAGACCTGGGCCAGGCCCCGCGGTGGGGTCGGCGAGGCGGGGACAGACCTCGGAGACCTGCAGGGGACCAGGGCGTCTCCGCCACTCCCACGGGTGGCGTCACAGGGCACGTCCCCACCCCACCCACCCCACCCCACCCCCGCCAAGGTGTCGGACAAGTTCGCCTTCGGCCTCTTCGACCTGGACTGGGATGTGTTCACTCAGCACATCGAGGGCGCCATCAACCGGGTGCCGGTGCTGGAGAAGACGGGGGTCAAGTCCACGGTCTGTGGCCCCGGTGAGTGGGGCGGCCTGGGGGCGGGGGTGTCCTCCGGAGGCTGGCGGGTGCCAGGCGCGAGCCTGGGGGCCCCTGTGCTTCCTCGCCACCTCCTTCCGGCGGCCCCGGGGGTGGGCTTCACTTCCCTCTCCCCCGCGGGCGGGGGCCGAAGAGTGGCGGGCGCGGAGATTGGCCCCCGATGGGCTCACGGCCAGGCTTCCGCCCACCCCAGCGTGAGCACCTCCCGACGCCCCAGGCCGGGCCCCTAACCTCCGCTCGACTGGTGCCCGGGCCTCGGTGTGTCCATCTGTGAAATGGGGCTGAGCGAGGGCGCCGCTCAGAGGACCGGAGACCGCAGTCCAGTCCCGTCCCCATTCTGCCTGCTTTCCAGAACGTTCTACCTGGCTGGCTGGGCCCCGGGGCGGTCGGCCCCACCTCTTTGAGTGTGGGCAGGCCCCCCCACCCCGGCCCTGCTGTCTGCCTCGGGGAGAGCGGAGCCGAGGGGGCCGGAGCAGACACGGGACTGGGGACGGAGTGCCAGGTCCCCGCCCGGGGCCCCAGAGGGCCGGCAGGTCACATCCGGGGCTGCAGGCCAGGGCCCCGGACCCCGGAGCTGGAGAGCCCGGCCAAGGCCACCGGCCCCCGCAGGATGCCTGCCAGGCCAGACTCCGGGAATGGGAGATAGACCTCGTGCAGCCCCGCAGGGGGGAGTGACCGCTCCCTGGCTCTGTGGCCGGGACAGGGCCGTCCTGGGGTGGCCCGGGGAGCGAGGGGACCACAGGCCGGGGCAGCCCAGGCAGCCGGGCGGGCTGTCTGAGGGGCCCCGAGGGCCGTGGGCGGAGGGGCTCGGACACAGACGGCGCTGCCCCAATGGGACGGCGTGAGTGAGGCTGTAAGTGAGCCCCGGCGCCCCGGCGCCGCCACCTGTGAAGTGGGTGGCAGAGAGCCACCCGGAAAGGACGGGGCGAGGAGGAGGAGCCACCCGCAGGAGCGGGGCCTGGCCCTGGGCCCGCAGTCGGCCGTGGGTCCCGTGAGCGGACGTGGACAGCCAGATGCCTGGGGGCAAGGCGGAGTCCGCAGGCCACGCAGGGGGCGAGGGGAGACAGGACTGTGCGTCCGTGGGTGTCCAGCTCTCTCCGTCCCGCGCAAGGGGCGTCTGCCTGGACGCCGGCCCGAGCTGCTTTGATCTGCTCAGGGCTTCGGGTGAGAAGCGCCGTGTCCCGGGAGGGAGAGGCAGAGGGGCGCCCAGGCCCGCCTGCAGGGGGCAGCGTGGCCGTGTCCCGAGCGCTGGGCTTGCTGTGGGAGCCGGCGGTGACTCACCCCACCCCCAGCCTCCCCGGGATCTGGCAGTGAGAGACAGCCCCCCCCCCGCCCGCCCCCGGCACTGATAACCCGGGGAGCCGGCTCAGTGCAGTTAGTCCGGGGGCCCAGGCCCCCATGGGGCTCTCGCCTGGGGAGGGTGAGCGAGGGAGGACGGCCCCCAGCTGGTTCCCCAGCCGGTTTCCCGGCTGCGGGGAGCATCCGGGGGTCAGCGGCGCTCCTCGACAGGAGCCCCAGAGCAGCCGGGGCCTCTGGCCTCGGGGGCAGAGCAGGGAAGCCCCAGGCCCCGACTTCTTCTGGGAAGTGGAGGGGGCGGGGCGGGCAGAGCTCCAGGGCCTGGAGGCTGGAGCCGAGGGGGGGGCCTTGGTCCCGGGCACCCTGCAGCTCCCTCTGTGGGGCTCAGTCCCGAGTCCTGTGCTGAGCACTGGGGAGACCCTCATCCCCGGAAACGGGGTCCTGCTCGCCGGCCCCTCACAGTCCCCCCGGGGTGCTTCCTGCCTGCCTCCCCCCCCCACCCACGCCCGGGGCTTGGGGACATCGCGGATCCCAAAGAGCTCCCTGGGTCCTCCCGGCCGAGGGTGCGGCCTCACCTCTGCTTTCCGGAGCTGGGCCCTCTCCTCGGAGCTGCCCCACCCCCTCAGCAGCTGGACCCCCTTCCCCACCCAGGAAGCTCACCCTCCCCTGCAGCCACCCTGCGCCTTTCTGCCCCCAGGGGCCCTCCCTCCCCTGCTCTCTGGGAGCTCCCCGAGACCCCCCCGCAGGCTGGGCCTCTTTCAGCTCGGATGCTGCCCTCCCTTCCCCGGGTCCGACCCTGGTCACCGCAGGCAGCAGAGGCTGGAGCCGGGCGGCCCTGACCCGGGGTCCCAGGTCCATTGTCCTCTCGCAGGGGACCCGGGCTGAGCCTGCATCCACCCCCCGGGGGCGGGGCTGCCTGCCCCCCCCCAGGACCACCAGCCCCGCAGCCCTTTGAGGTCCCTCGCTCCACGGGGTCTCCTCACCCCAGACTCCCTTTTCGCTCGCGTGCACACCTCCTCCGTCTCCCTCGCCCTGTCAGCTCCCCGGGGTGGGGCTGCCACCGGCCAGCGCGGACTCCCGGGCTGAGCCCTGGGCACCCCCGGGTGGGCTGCGGCTCCCCGCAGACGGAGGGCCTCCCAGCCCCGGGAGGCACCTACCCCGACACCGGTTTTCCAGACGGGGGAGCTAAGTAAGGTTCAGAGGCGCGATGACTTGTCCGAGGTCCCACGGCCGGGAAGGGGGGGAGCGGGGCTGGGGCTCAGGACTGCGGCTGCCCGGTCCAGCCTTTCGTACTTCTCGGCCTCCGTGCCCTGGCCCCTGCCCGAGGCAGCCCCGCCGCGGGGGGCTTCGTCCCCTCTCCCAAAGGACTGAGGGTCACCCGTTCACTGAGCGCACGTTTGCCAGGCCCCTGCTGCGTGCTGGGCCCTGGGCCGGGCCTCAGACACCGTGCCGAGCAAAGCCCAGTCCCTGCTCGCTTGGTGCTCAGGGCCCAGTGGGCAAGAGCGGCCGGCAGCGACCCAGCAGGGTGATGGTGCGGTGGGGGGGGCCGCGCGCTGCCCGGGGTGGGGGCTCAGGGAAAGGCCCCTTGTCGGCAGGAGAACGCTGACAGCCAGGGGGCTCACCAGGGCCCCGGTAAGGCAGGACCGGCTCCGGGAGGGTGGCTCTGGCGGTAAATGTGGAGGCGCCCAGGGGACTGTGGCAGGAACTCCCCGGGAGGCTCCCTGGAGGAAGAAGGGGCTCGGAGCTGGGTCTGGAGGCGGAGGAGGGTCTGGTGGACGGCGGCGCCTGCAGAGCCCTGCCTCCCGGGAGACCCGACCTGGGTGCACGCAGCCCCTCCCTCCCTTTTAGAGTCCTTCACGCCCGACCACAAGCCACTGATGGGGGAGGCGCCCGAGCTCCGAGGGTTCTTCCTGGGCTGCGGCTTCAACAGTGCGGGTGAGTGCGGGCGGCAGCGGGCCCCTGCCCCGCCCCTTGGTGCCCTGTGGCCCCTCCTCCCATTCATTCTCCAAGCTCCCCCAGCTGGCAGGAGGGGCCGGCCTGGGGGGCCTGCAGGGGTGGGTGGGGTCTGGCTAGAAGGCAGGCAGCCCCCCTGGGGTGAGGTCTGGGCTCGGGGAGCGGTGCTGCCCCTGGGGATGGGGGGCCCGGGACCCCCTGGGTGGGGGCCCTGGGGGTGGACTGCAGGCCGTGGCTGTGCTCCCGGCAGGGATGATGCTGGGCGGCGGCTGCGGGCAGGAGCTGGCTCACTGGATCGTCCACGGGCGCCCGGAGAAGGACATGTACGGCTACGACATCAGGCAGGTGCACACGGACGTCGGCGGGGCGGGGGCTGGGGGTGGCTCCTCACCAGCCGCCCTGGGACCTGGTGTGGTGGGGGCAAGAGTCAGGGCTATTTAGAAAGGAGCCCCCCCTGAAATCCGGAGGGCTTCTTGGAAGAGGCGGCAGCAAGGGAAGAAAGGGAGGGAGGCTGTTGTGAGTTTGCATGGTCTCCTCCAGTCCCCCCCCCATCTTGCCCGGCGGTCCTGATGGCTCTGGGACCCCCAGCCGGACCCAGCCCTCCCACCGTGCAGATGGAGCGGCCCAGGGGTTGGGGAGGGAGGGGAGCGGCCGAGGGGGGTGGGGAGGGAGGGAGGCACAGGCGCTGGCCTGGTGCTGAGCTGGGAGGAGGGTTATTTGCAAGTGTGCAGGGGCTGGAGCCGCGCTCCTTGAGCCACAGTGCACATGGACGAGCCAGCCGCTGCTGCCACCGGCAGCTGTGCCCCCTGGAGGCTGGCAGGGAGGCTGTGTGGGGGGAGGGTCGAAGTGGGGAGGCGGAGCTCACCAAGGTCCCGGGTGCCCGAGGCCCCGCAGCGGGCGAGTGGAGAGCGGGGGTGCCTCCTGATACCCCAGCCTCCGCCAGGGAGGGACCGAGGATCCGGTTTCGCCCTGGGTTCCCGGTGCCCCGCCCATCCCTCCTGGTCAGGCCCCACGGCGGTGACCGACCGCTCCCTCGGCGACAGGCGCTTTCATCACTCGCTCACGGACCACCGCCGCTGGGTCCGCGAGCGCAGCCACGAGTCCTACGCCAAGAACTACTCCGTGGTCTTCCCCCACGACGAGCCCCTGGCCGGGCGCGACATGCGGAAGGACCCCCTGCACGAGGTGCCTGCTCCGCGCCCGCCACTCGCGGGGGGCGGGGGGTGTTGGGGTGACTGCGTGCACGTGGGACCCCACGTTGGGGGCAGCTGGAGACGCCGTGGTTCGTGCGTGTCCAGGTGCGTCTAACGGAAGGTGCTCCGAGCACGCTCCTGGGGATCTGTCCTGCGCGTTGACGGCGGGGCGGGGCGGGGCGGGGCGTGGCGGGGTCAGGGGGCGGGGCCTGGAGGGCGGTGGGCGGGGCGTAGGCGCCCGGCCTCAGGTGGGCCCAGCTGTGCTCCAGCTCCGTGCCTGCCCCCTCTTACAGTGGCTGGGGTCATTCCTGCCGGGTGACACCTGGGAGTGGGGTTGCTGGGCCACCAAACTAAACGCCACAGGCGGGGCCTCAGCGGCAGACACCCGCTGCCCGCGGTCCTGCAGGCGGGAGGCCCAGAACGAGGCACCGGCCTCTGGCTCCTCCTCCTCCTGGCCTCTGGGTGGCCACCTCCTCCCTGGCCTGCGCGGGGTGGACGGAGAGCTGTGGTGTGTCCCCGCAAGGGTCAGGGTCTCACCCTTACGACCTGGTTTCATGCCAGTTCCCTCCTCGGAGGCCCCGTCTCCAAACACACCCACCCTGGGTTCGAGGCTTCCACGCGGGGTTTGTGGGTCAGCAGTTCAGTCGGTAGCAGGAGGTGGTTCCACAGGCTGGGGTTTGGGGGGATGGGATAGCTGGGGGCGTGGCCTGGAGCGGCAGCCTGGGCCTGTGTCCTGGCTCTGGGAGCGAGGACCTCCTTGCTGTCTGCCGGCCGGGTATGAAGTGGGGGACTCGGTGGCTGCCCCCGCCCCGCCCTCACGGGGGCGCCTGACCCGGTGCGAAGGGTGTTTGTCATCCCCCGCAGGAGCTCCTGGCGCGGGGCTGCGTGTTCCAGGAGCGGCACGGCTGGGAGCGGCCGGGATGGTTCCACCCGGGAGGCGCCGCTCCGGTGAGCGCCCCCCCAAGCCCCGCCCACCCCCGTGCCAGCCCCCGCCCCCTGCCCGAGGGGCTGCTCGTCCTGCTGTTCCCGCCACCAGTGCAGCCTGACCCGCCGCCCATCTGCCATGATTTTGGGGGCCCCCTCTGCAGAGCTCTCCCTGGGTGTCAGCGCCCACGGGGGCCGGGCCTTCCGGGTCTGCGTGGGCGCCTGGGGCAGCCTCTGCCCCTCCGCAGGCCGAGGGAGAAATTAGGGCAGCTTCTGGTACTTCTGTGCCTGTGTGTTTGGCAGCTGCCGGTGCCGGTGTATGTGAGTGGGAGGACCGCGCAGACAGGGGGGCCCACTGTGGGCCCCTGTGAAAGCTGGGACCCCACAGCGTCCGGGCCTTTGGGGGGTCCCAGGCCCCAGCGAGAGGAGCCGGAGTCCCCTGCTCTGAGCCCCTGGGGCCGGCCCTCGGGGGCAGGCGGTGGGACGCTTTCAGCCCCAGCAGGGGGACATTTTTCGTTCTGATTTGAATGAATTAAAATCGCTTCCCTGTGGCCGTGTTCTGCCACGCCCTCTGCAGCCAAACCCGTTTCCGACCCCCAGCAGCCCACGTCCCCAGGCCTGTGCCCGGCCCCCCCCAGGGACCCGGGAGCCAGAGCTCCCAGATGGCCTCGGCCCGGGGTCCCGGAGCCTCACCGGGCACCGTCCACCTCCTGCTAGCCTGTGGGGACCCGGGCCCTCCCCAGGTGCGAACCACTGGGCGAGGGTCCCCTGGGAGAGTGGAGGGGACAGGATGTTCCGAGACCAGCAGGTGCAGCAGCTGCCCCTCGGGGCGGAGGCAAGGCCGCTGGGACAGGCTGGGTGGGGAGGATGGGCCAGGCCAGGGCAGTGCCCTGCAGGGCCGCCTGCCTCCCAGCCAGTCTGTCCCAGGACTAGATGACCCCCAAACCTCTAACCCCCGGCCAGGCTGCAGTGGCTGGGGTGCCCCTCTGAGACCCACCACCCAGCAGCACGGTGACCAAGGTGCCCGAACCCACCGCCACCACCACCTGTGTCCACACCACACTCACGGGCAGCCTCTGTCCTCCTGTGGGAAGCCTGCGCTGCCTCCCGGGCCTAGTCCGTGTCGGGCGGGAAGGCGGGCGCGCGGGGGGGGCCCTCGCCAACCACACTCCCCCTCCCCAGGTCCTGCCCTACGACTACTACGGGGCCTACGGGCACCAGGCGCACACGGACTACGCCTACAACCGGCTGCTGCAGGACGACTACACCTTCGACTTCCCGCCCCACCACGACGTGGTAGGTAGTGGAGACCCCCCACTGTCCCCGACGGCGGACGTCCCGCAGGCCGGGCTCCCTGCTCCGTCCTGGCTCCGTTTCCAGGACAGATGGGGTGACAGTCTCCTGTCCCACGCGGCTCCCTCCGTCGGCACGAGACTCAGCCGGCCCCTAGGCTCGGGGGCCACCTCGCTGCTTGGGCTGGGGTCTGGCTGTGCGGCTCCGGCCGGGCCCTCGCCTCCCTGAGCCTCTGTCCGTCCATCTGTCCGTCCGTCCGCACTGGGAGCTGTCCTGGGGGCTGTGCGAGCTTTCGTGAGGGTGGCCCTCCTCGGTCCACGGCCTCATGTGGGTGGGCTCCCCCGCAGCCCCTGCAGTGCAGGCCGAGCCGCGGCGGGTCTGGGGTCCAGGCCGGTCCGCTGCCCCTCGCGCTCCGCCAGTGGGCAGGTGAGGCTCCCCGCTGGTCCGACCGGGCGCCCGGCTCCCCGCCCTGTTGGGGCGGAGGTGGTGAGGGACTGGGGGCCGGGCCTTCCCCCCAAGTGAAGGCCCGTGCTCCCAAACAGCCGTGCCCACGGGCAGCGTTTGTGGAAAGTGCGATGCGGGCGTCCTTGCCGCTTCGAGAAGCAGTTAGGAAGTGGAGCGTCGCTGTCCCTGTGGCGGCGGCTGACCGGAGAGGTGGCTGACGCCCCATCGCGCCTCCGTGTGCGCGTGGGGCCCGGGCCCCAGCCCAGGGTCCCCAGAGCCCGGGGGGAGGGGGGAAGCATGCTCACCGGGTCCGGCTCAGTGCCTGAGGGCCGGGCAGCGAGGGTGGAGACGCCGTGGCCATAGCAACCACGGGAAGGGCCGTGTGTCTGTGGGGCGGGGGTGCCCCAGCGTCCAGGGTGCAGCCGTGTGCAGCCCCCTGTGGGAGCTGTTGAACCACCAGCTCTCCAAAATAAATGATACATGAGATCTTTAAAAAATGTTTCCTAGTTTTTAGATGGAGTTTTGCATTTCTTTTGTTAAATTTACTCATAAGCATTTTAAGTTCTTTGATATAAATGAAATTATTTGCTTACATTCATTTTCGTAAGATTTCATTTATTTTTACAGAGCGAGGAGGGAGGGAGAGAGAGAGGGAGAGAAACAGCAATGTGTGGTTGCCTCTCCTGCGCCCCCTACTGGGGACCTGGCCCGCAACCCAGGCCTGTGCCCTGACTGGGAATCGAACCGGCGACCCCTTGGTTCACAGGCCGGCGCTCAGCCCCCTGAGCCACGGCAGCCGGGGCTGAGCCCACTGCTGCCTGTCCATTGCTGGTGTGTGAAACTGCAGTCGCTTTTGAGTGTGGTTCCCTGTCGGCCTTGTACCTGTAGGCTTGGCGGAGCGTTCTGTGGGTTCCGCTCGCTTTTCCGTGAGTTTGTTGGGTTTCCTAGAGGTGTCTGCACCCAGGGGCCGTGTGCACCCAGGGGCCGTCTCTGTCCTCTGCAGTCTGGTGCCTCTGGTTCCTCCCTCCCGCCTGAACGGCCTGCCCAGGACCCCCACCCCCACCCCCACCCCGCGCCGCGCCGAGGGGCGGTGGCGGAGCCGGGGCCCCGTCTCCCTGCTCGGCTCCTGGGGGCGTCCCCATCAGGCAGGGGCGGCTGTGGGTCCTTGCGCACGCAGGCCACGCGGCCGAGCGACCCCCTCCCTCGGGTCGTGGTCACGGCCGGACGCTGGGCGTTGCCCCACACGCACCCACGTCTCTTACTTCCCTCCTGCTGCTCGCTCGGGGTGTACCTGCCCCCCCCTCCTCCCCGGCCTCTCGAAGTGGGGGGCCGGGTCCTGCTCCGCGTGGGCTCCTTCCCCAGGACCGGCGTCGGCCGGCATGAAGGCCGCCGCACACGCCGTCACCCGTGCGGGGCTTAGTGTCACTCACCTCACGGCGCTTCCCAGTCCCCTGGTGGTGGCCCTTGGTCTCCCGGTGATGGAGGGACGTGTCATCCATTTCACCCGTTTGAGAATTTTCTGAGGCCCTGCTGCCGGGCTTCTGTGGGTTCCCCTGTCTTCACGGGAGAGAGACTTGGTCTGACTTTAGTCCCTTTGAAAGTATTGCGTCCGGTCGACGGCCGAAGAACGACCCCGGGCGTGTCCTCTGTGCTTGAAGGGGATGTCGTGGGTCTCTGAGCCGGGGGCAGGGAGGGGTGGTGATGCAGGGGAGGCTCAGGGCAGGTGGCAGCGAAGAGCCCAGCGCCCCGCACTTCGGGGGGCGGCCCCCCGAGTTCCCAGCGCTGGCCCCGCGCCCTTGCAGATCAAGCGGGAGTGCCTGGCCTGCAGAGGCGCCGCGGCCGTGTTCGACATGTCCTACTTCGGGAAGTTCTACCTGCTGGGCCCGGACGCCAGGAAGGCCGCCGACTGGCTGTTCTCCGCCGACGTCAGCTGCCCCCCAGGTACGAGGGCTGGGCCGGGTCACGGTCCTGTCTCCGCTCGGCGCCCGCAGAACTCTGTGGGCCCGGTCCTGGGCACTGGAGCCAGGTGGCAGCTGACCCTGCCACCTTTGGGGCCCCCCAGCCCGTGGCCCGGCCCCCGGGGCTTGGCCCCGGGCCCCATCACCAATGCCCAGGCCCGGAGGTACACCCTCCCTTCATGCTGGCCCTCCCGGGGGGTGACAGTGCTGGGGGCCTGCCCACCCCCTTGTAGGCCCCCCGGGCGAGGTGGCATCACCGAGCCGTGGGGTCCTCCCGGGGCTCTCTGCCACGCGGCTCTCCAGACACGCGTGTGGGGCCCGCGCTGAGCACGGCACAGACCCACAGACCGGGCCCTCCTCCCTCCGGCCCAGGCTCCACGGTGTACACCTGCATGCTGAACGCCAGGGGGGGCACGGAGAGCGACCTGACCGTCAGCCGCCTGGCCCCCGGCCGGGAGGCCACGCCCCTCGACCCGGCCTTTGAAGGTGAGTGGTGTCCCCGAGGGCGGGCAGCATTGCGTGGGGACGTTTGGGGAAAGGCTGGTGGGAGCTTTGTGTGGCCTGCACCGCCCAGGAGCGTGGAGGCCCAGGCCCGGGCACCGTCTCGGGGATCACGTGCAGCCGTGGGGGCAGGTCAGAGGGTCCCAGGGAGAACGCGGGGCACAGACACGCCGGGCCCGGCTCTGCCGCCTCCACGGCCGGCCTCTGCTGCTGCCGCGCTCAGGAACCCAGTGGGAACCCGGCGGTGCCAGGAGGGCTGCGAGTAGCCTCCCGAGCCTGGGCCCCCCGCCCCGCGGCGTGGGCAAGGCCGGGTGCCGGGAGGTCGGGCGTGTGGACACATGCGGTGACAGGGAAGCTGGCGAGGACCCGAGGCTCCGAGAGGGGAGGGGACACGCGGGGGCTGCCTGGCGCCGGCGGAGGGGGCTCAGACGCCCCTGGGGTGACGTGGCGTCGGGGGGCTCCCACACTGTCCTGCATGGGGAACCTTTGTGCAAAGCAACCAGAGCCCTGGCTGCTGTGGCTCAGTGGACTGAGCACTGGCCTGAGAACCAGAGGGTCGCAGGTTCAATTCCCAGTCAGGGCACAGGCCTGGGCTGCGGGCCAGGTGCCTGGAGGCAACCACACACGGATGTTTCTCTCCCTCTCTTTCCCTCCTTTTTCTCTCTAACGTAAATAAATAACATCTTTATAGAAAGAAGGAAAGAAAAGTAGCCAAAGCCTGAGACTCTCCCAGAAAAGCCCTCGGGGGGGGGCACCCCCCACCCCCCGCCCCTGCCCCGGTCCCAGTGAAGGTCCCGTGCCGTGTCCCACGTGCAGTGGAAATCTCGGGTCTCCAGAGGGGGGGTCTGGTCCCTGTGCCCAGATGGTCGTTCAAGGTCAAGGAAACGCAGGCCGCCCTTGCTGCCCGCCCCCGCCCCCCCCCCCAGTCCAGCTCCAAGCCTGGGGCCTCTCTTCCAGGGGACGGCTTCTACCTGGCCGTGGGCGGGGCCGTGGCGCAGCACAGCTGGTCCCACATCACCACGGTGCTGCAGGACCGCAGGCTCCGGTGCCAGCTGGTCGACCGCTCGGAGGACCTGGGCATGATCAGCATCCAGGGCCCAGCCAGGTGAGGGGGGGCGGGGGGCCGCACGCGCCTGGGGCCCTCTGCGAGCAGAGCCCCCCTCCCGGCCCGGGAGTGGGGTATCCGGTTTGCTACGTGACGTCGCGAACCAGGGACTCCTTTCCGGACAAATCCTTCCCAAAGCCCCCAACTCAGAAAACCCTTCCGGTGAGAGTCCGACTGAACCGCACGGTGAGTCAGCGTCCGAGGACTCAGGGGTCCCACAAGGGCCCGTGAGGGTCTTTGGGTCACTGACACAGTCTGGGAATGAGGTTCCCCTCCAGGCAGTGGGCGGAGCTCCCCGCCCCCTGGGCTGAGAGCGGTGTCTGCGCTGAGAAGGGGGGGCAGTCGCCTGCTCCCCAGATGGAGCTCCGCGGACCTGGGTGCCCACTGCCCCTCCTCGCCCCCTTGGCCCGGGGCTGGGGCGCCCCTTGTGCGCCTGAGCCCCTCCGAACCCTGGGCCTGGTGGGGAAGACACCGGGGCGGCCCTGGCCCCAGCTGCCCTGGGGAGCACAGACAGGACGGGCTCTGTGGGCTGGCTGCACCTGGGTCCGGGAAGGGGGAGGGGTTGTTTGGGAGGTTCTTGGCCAAATGCGGAGAGCTGTAGCCGCGGAGCCGGCGTGGGCGGCAGCTCCCAGTGCCGTGGGGGTGGAAATGAGGGTGACAGTGGCCACCCTGCAGCCCCAGCACCCTGGGGGTCCCCTGGCAGGACAGCGCGGGGGGGGGGCAGCTCCTGCTGGTGGGGAGCTCTCCCTCCAGTGTGAGGCCGGGCTGTTCTCAGTGGGTCTGTTTGCCCAGCACCCCGTCTGTGCCGGGCACAGGGCCCCTGGTTTCCTGGGGGTACAGCCATTGTGGACCCAGACTCAGGGAGTCAGGGAGGACTTCCCGGAGGAGGTGACAGCCAAGCAGAGACCTGAAAAAAATGACAAAGGGCAGGGTCGGGGCAGTGGGTGGGAGAGGGAAGGGTGCAGGAGGAGGGCGCCCAGGCCGGGAGGGAGGCGAGGGGCAGGGCGCCCAGGCCGCAAAGGTGTTCTCGGACTCGGGGAGGCCTCGGCAGTCCGTCAAGCATGAGCGCTGGCTGCGGGGCACGGCGGGGTGGGGGGAGGCGAGGAGCCCCGTGGGATGGGGGTGGGCGAGGCGGTGAGACCACGGTCCAGGGCCTGGGTTCCGCCCCCCGGGACGGCACACCTCGAGGGCGCGTCTGCGGTCTGGCCTCCAGCGGGCTCTGCTGCTCCCCCGCCGTTCTCGCCGTCTTGCCGCGCTTTTGTGACTGCCGCGCCCGCTGCCCGTCCGCCCCACGAGGACAGGACTCGTCCGGCCCGCCGCTCTGTCCCCCGCGCCCCGCCCCCCGCCCCGCAGCAGGGCGCGCGCCCAGGAGCGCCCAGCCAGCGTCCGTGGGCTGACCGCCTGCCCGCCTGTGTGTTGCTCGCAGCCGGGCCATCCTGCAGGAGGTGCTGGACACGGACCTGAGCGACGAGGCCTTCCCGTTCTCCACCCACCAGCTGGTGGCAGCCGCCGGGCACCCGGTAGGTTCCAGCCGCCCTCCAGGGTGCGGGTGGCAGCCGTGCGCTAGGAGGGAGGGAGCCTGGGGCTGGACTTGGGGGCCCAGTGCCCGGGGGTGAGTCCCTTTGCCTCCCAGGACCTCGGTCCCCACGGCGAGGGAGAGGCCTCAGTCCCACCCAGCGGCCCTCCGGACCTCCGGACCTCCGAGGGCTGGCGGGTCCACGCCGGCACCAGCTGAGCAGCGCCCCGTGCCTGGGCCCCTGGGGCTCAGCCCCGGCTTCTGCCGGGAAGCAGCCTCGGTCTTGCCCCCCGCACAGCCGCCCTCAGAGGCCCTGGGGTCCAGCTCTGGGTCAGCACGTCCCTTTTCTGGGGTCCTTGCTGGAAACGAGGGACCACGCACTGTGCTCTGACTTCCCGAGGCCCCGGGGACGGGCAGGCAGAAAGAGGCCCACCGGCCACCATTGCACAGGCGGCTCGGCCTGTGGCCTTTCTGGAACATTCTCTGTGGGGGGTGGGGGCCGTGCTGGGCGCTGCAGGGGGTCTGCAGCATCCGGGTCCTCGGGCGCCCAGCTCCAGCAGCTCCCCCGTGTGGTGGCTGCAGAGGGGTGCAGGCGTGAGGGGTGTCCCCAGGGGACAGAATCACCGGTGGACGGCCGCTGCTGTCCAATCACCTGTCAGCCGGGGTCACCCGCAGGCTGCCGGGGGTCACGGCTGGCGCACGACGCCCCGGAGGGTGGGTCTTCTCCGGGTGAGCTTGGGGCGGCCCGAGGCGGCCCCGCCACGAAACCACGGAGGGCACACAGATGCGGGTCCACGAGGCAGACGTGGCCGTAAGGACGGGCGGGGCAGAGGGACGGACAGATGGACGGACGGCCCCTTCCCATCTCATTGGGGGGCTCTGGGGAGGGAGAGTACAGGGGCGGGGGGACGCCGGGGGGAGCCCTGCCGGCCTGCAGAGGGTCATCTGGGGTTCGGGGCAAGTCTGGGTCCTGCCGGCAGAGACGAGGCGTCGTGGTGACGTCGGCGGGGAGGCCGCCAGTGAGGGACCCAGATGCAGGCAGGGCTGCCGGCCGGGCCGGGCCGGGCCACAGTTGGGGGGTGGCTGGCCGGGCTCACTCCGCCGCTCTCCTGAGGCCATGCTGGGGGAGCAGGAAGCGGGGGAGGGGGTCTCTGTCTAGCTCGCTTCCTGCCTCCTTGGTGTGAAGCCGCCTGCGGGGACCAGAGAGGGTGGGTACTCCGGGGGGGGCCACACAGCCGGGCCCCCCCCACCGGCTGCCCGGGCCCACGTGCCCCCGCGGGGTGGCCGCAGCAGTGCCGGCTGCATCTGCGAGGGGCCCTGGCGTGTGCGGCGGGTGGGGAGCGGCGGCGAGGCTCGGGGTCTGCTCAGCCTGTGTGTGGCCCGGGGGTCGGCGGGGGGGTCGGCAGGGGGGGCGAGCGGACCAGGTGGGGTCGCTTCTCTCTCCGCGGCCGCCCTGGCTGCCTCCCCGGGCCAGGCCGCGGCTGTCTGGCTGCGCCTCGGCCCGCGGGGCCCCGGGAGCCCGGCTGGCGGATGCGGAAGCCAGACAGACATCAGGATGACTCTCTCCCCCGGGTGACGGGCCGGGGCGCCGTGTCGAAGGCAGACGAGTAGGGGAAGCCCCGACTCTGCAGCGGAGAGACAGATGGACACAGACGGATGGACACAGGCTCCGCCGGGCCTCCTCCCACCTCCTGTCCCCGACCACGGACATGCCCGTGACCTCAGAGGCAGGGTCGCCCCGCGTGCTCGCCCTGCACGCCCTCACGACACCGCGGCTGGCTTCCCGATCTGTCAGCCGCTCCCGAGAGCCACGCCACGTGCCTCGTCATCCTCGCTCCGCCCACAGCCCACCTGTGCGTGCACGTTGACACAGGGGCCATCGCCCCCTCCTCCAAGGGCCCCCGGACGGGTCTCCCCCAAGGGCGCTCCTTCCACAGCCCGACTGTTGACCTAGGACAGAGCCCTCCGCACCGGGACCCAGACCGGTCCTTCCGGGCCGTCTGTGGGGGGTGGTGGCGTTCTCTCTCCCCTCCCTCGGGCTGTCCCGGGCCTTGAGCACGGAGGGGACACAAGCAGAGGGCGTCGTGGCATTCTCTGCTGCGCTGGCCACTCACGCTGGGCCGGTCTGGGTCCTCCCTGAGTTCTGGCGTTTTATCCCAAACGGAAGGGTCCTGTGGCTGATGCCCAGCTTTCTCCTCCCCACACCATGCACTGCGCCTCCCACCCAGCCTGGCTCCGGGCTCTGGGCGGGATCGGGGCTCCGGAGGGCACTGCCAGGCGAGGCGTGGGAGCTGGGTCAGCGCGGAGCCCGGGGGCTCGGGGGCAAAGCCACCCCAGTGCTCCACAGAGCGGGGAGCCGGCTGGCCTGGCTTCCGCCCCTGTCCCGGCCTTCCCTGGGGCCACCTCCCTGGGCCTCGGTTTCCCCACGCAGGGCCGCAGCTGCACAACGTCTCGGACCCTTCCCGGGCCGCCCCACAGGCCGGTGCAGACGTCCCGACATCCCCTGGGCCCGGGGGGATGTCGCGTTCCCCTCCATGAGGTCTTGTCTTGGCTCCGCCGGCGCGTGCTGGCGCCCTCTCCCTCCACGCAGAGCGCGGCTGGGGCCGGGGAGCGGGGCGGCCAAGAGTTTATGGGAGATCGCTGGGCCCCGGCCAACCAGATGCGGGAGAGGGTGTGCGCCCGCCCGTGCAGTCGGCGAGGCCCCCTGGTCCCGGCCAGCGCCTGCACCCAGAGCCGCGGGGGCCCCGGCCCGAGGCGGGTGGGCAGGGCAGGTGCCCGCCGCCACTGCCCGCTGGGACCCACGCTCCCAGCCGTCGGACAGGCGGGCGGGCGACCCGGCCGAGCCGCGTCCCCAGCAGAGTGGCGTCACCGTCCTGCAATAATTCTCCGAGCTGCTGGGACTGGCCCTGGGCTTCCGCAGTCCTGCATTCCTCGAGGAAGGACCGGGGGTGGGGGGACGCCGTCCCCTCGGCAGCCAACTGACCAGATGTCCTTGCTCCCCCCACCCCCCCGTGTGGGCCTCGAGGCCACAGGGGTTCCCTGGGGGGGGGTGCTGGCCCGGTGCAGCCTCTGAGGCTGAGACGCTGTTCCCGGCTCCTCGGCCAGGACGGGTCCCCGCGGCACAGCCTCAGGCGCCGGGCGGGAAGCTCAGCCTCAGAGGTGGCTGCAGCGAGAAAGTGATTTTCTCCTGAAAACTAACTTCAGGTCAAAAAGGAATTGAATTTCTCTTCCTGACGTTGAAAGCCCTCGCCGTGGGTTCGGTCGCTCTGGGCGGAAGGTGCTCGCGCTCACATGCGCCCTGCAGACGGGCCGGGGCCCACCCCACGGAGGCTGCCCCCGCCGGCCCGTGGGGTTGTAGCTGCCCCTCCCCCGAAACGTCCCTGTGCCCAGCCTGAGTGCGTTCACCCGGGCCCTGGGGCGTGGGGGCCACCGTCCAGGGAGTCACGTGGTGGGCGGCGGCGGGGTCTTCTCGCTGCGAGCACAGGGACAGAGCAGTTGGGGGGGAGGTCGACAGTGCTGAGGGACCCTGGGCACGTGCCTCTGAGATCCCAGGGCCCCCCGCCCTCTCTCCGAGGGGGGCTCGGCGTCTGACTCCGAGGGTGCAGTCGGCATCTGTCGGGGGCTGCCTGTAGCTTCCTGAGCAGCGTGAAGCCCAGGACCCGCAGGGAAGGTGGGCTTTTCCTCCGGGGAGCACCCGGGGCAGGGTCTGTGACCCCCCCCGCCCCCCCCCACCCCCCGCAGACCGGGGAAGGCACCGCTGGGGCTGGGCCGTCTCCACGGAGCTCTGCAGCTCCTCAGAGCGGGCGCGGCTGCGACGTGAGTCTCGGGCATCGCGTGACTTCTGTTCCCGTTCCTGGGAAACCCCGAGCACCCGCTCCCGCCGCCGTGGGGACGCCCTCCCTGTGGCCGGCTGAGGAGCGTCCCCCCGCGTGTCTGCGTTTCTCCGTCACTCGTCGGGGGACCCTTGGGTGGCTCCGGTGGCTGTCGGGCCTCACGCCGCAGTGACTAGGGTGGGCCAGAGCCGGCCTGAGGTCTTGCCGTCAGCCCTCCCGGGCGCGCGCCCAGGAAAGGGGGGGCCGGGCATCTGGGGGTGTCCCCTTTACTTTCCTGGCACGCTGCCCCCCCGCGTCCCCTGGGAGCGGCACCTGCGCGCGCCCGCCAGCCGTGCCCGGGGCCCCGCGTCCTCGCCACCCACCGGCCGTCTCCTGGGTGGGTGCTTTCTTTAAACAGTAGCCATCCCGACGGGGACACGGTCGTATCTCGTCGTGGTCTTTATTTGCATTCCTCTGGTCGTCAGTGGCACGGACCGTCTTTTCGTGCGCTTCAGAGTCCTCTTCGAAGAGACGTCTGTTCGAGGCCCTGACCCGTTCCTCAGTCAGGTTATCGGTGCCGTCGTGGAACCGTGGACGTCCTGGTGTCCAGCACCGGACGCAAGGGGCTAGCTCAGGGCTCTCTCTCCGGTTCCGTCGGCGTGTCCGTCTGGCCCGACGCCGGTCCCACCGCAGTCGCGATGGCAGCAGCTTCCCAGTGGGCTTGAAACCAGGGCGCAGGGTCCCCCAGCGTTGCCCGGGCGTCCCCGGATGGCGTCGGCTGCCCGAGGCCCCTGGGGGCTCTGTGTGAACCCCAGGACGGGTGTTTCCTGAGAAAACCCACCGGGATGTTGACGGGGGCGGGGGTGGGGCCGTGGGTCCACAGACGGCCCCGAGTTTGGCCTCCCAGGGTCCGTGCTGTGAGGACAGGGAGCCCCCCAGCCCACGAACCCTGGGTGTCGTCCCCGTGTTCCCCTCTCCCACCGAAGTTCCGTGGTGCTCAGTGCCCCAGTCTCCTGCCCCCAGGGTCAGGCTCGTGCTTCCCTGTTCCGTCCTCTGTGACGCGCCTGTAAGCGGGTGTGCTCACCCCTCTCCTCGGCGGGGTGCTCCTGGGTGGCGTCCGGAAGCACCCCCCTGATTCTCCTGCGTGGGTGTCGTGCCCGCAGCCTGGCTGGGTCTGTGTCAGTTCCAGTGTGTCTGGGGGGCTCTTCAGGGCGCGCGAAGGATGTCAGTGAAACCTGGTCTCAGTCCGACCCGATGGCCCTGCAGGGCTCCCTGGCCCCGTCCGCTGCCCGCGGCCCCCAGCTGCCCCAGACGGCCCGCGCCCCTTGAGCCCACACGCGACTGCTTCCGTTTCACGGGGGGGGGAGGGGGGAGGACACGCCGTCGCCACCGCTTCGGTGGAGGAGAACGCGGGTGCCCTGAGCGGCAGCGACTCAGGGATCTCAGACAGGTCCCCAGGGACCAGTGCCCCCACCCCGCACCCTGGTTGTGCGGAGAAGCAGGGGTCCCCTGCTCCTGCCTCTTTACTTCTCTTGGGGGGCGTCCCTCGGCCTGTCTGCGCAGCAGACCTGTGTGCGGGGTGCCGTGAGGGGTCAGACGCAGCAGCCCCGCCCCTGCTGGGCTTCTGGGAGCTGGGGGGGGGCTTTGTCCCCCCCCCCCCGAGTTCCCCCGCACTCCCAGGGAGCTCCCTTCGCTGGGGCGTGTGAGTCTGACCGAGCCCTCGGTCCTGGGCTGTCAGCGGGGGGGCTGCTGGGGGGAGGGGGGGCCTCTCCTGCCGCAGAGCGGGGTTGGCCCAGAGCCCGCGGCTGCCGGGCCATCTCTGTCCCTTGTCGGGCGCGGCCGGCAGCAGGGAAACCACGGGAGGTCAACGGAGCGTCTCCTGTGCCGGTTTTGAGTTTCCTGAGAGGCGGGGCCAGCGGCACTCGAGCAGATCTGTGCTGTTTCCAGAGCTTCTGGAACGCGGCCGTGGGACGGGCGTCTGAGCCGGGGTGGGGGGGGGGCACTGGCCCCACGCTGGGGAGCGTGGCCCCCGATCTCTCCGGCCTCAAGGTCCTCGCAGGGGCCGCTCTGGGCGGGCCTTTCCATCCGGAGCAGCGGCCAAGCTGGGGGTCCTCGGGCTGAGCGCTCGGGCCTGCCCCCCGACCCGGGGCCCTCGTGGGTTCGGGCTTTGCCGGGAGGTCTGGAAGCAGACACCCAACCAAACCCAGTGGGTGGGCTAAGCCCCGGGCCGCTGGGCCAGAGCCCCCCAGCCGGTGGCAGCCGGGACACAGGGGGGAGGGGCACACACCCAGGGACCGGCGGCCCCGCCCGGCGCAGCTGCCCCGGCCGGGCCCTGGGTCTGAAGCCCAGTGACAGGGACCCGGGTGAAAGACAAAGACGAGGCAGACACAGAGGAGAGGCCACGAGACCCGGGAGGCCGCGGCTGGGGCGCTCGGGGGCCGGAAGAGGCAGCGGGGGTCCTCCCCGGAGCCTCCGGAGGGGGCGCGCCTGGCCCACACCTGGATTTCGGACGTGAGGCCCCCGGAACCGGAGGGGCACACATTTCTGCTGTTTTAAGCCGCAGAGGCTGGACCGTTGGTGACGGGGGCCCCGGGACCCTCACAGAGTCGCTTACAAGAGCAGAGTCCTGGGTGCCGTGTGCCCACCTTCTCCCGCTCGCTTCCCGCACCCCTCCTCCCCGCAGAGGTCCCCGGGGTGCTCCTGGGAACTCCCCTCGGGCAGTGGCAGGGGCCCCACCCCGGGGTCTGAGTGCGGCCGTGTGAGCGGTGGCATCCCCGCAGGTCCGGGCCATGAGACTGTCCTTCGTCGGGGAGCTGGGCTGGGAGCTGCACGTCCCGGCGCCGTCCTGCCTGCCCGTGTACCGCGCCGTGATGGCGGCGGGCGCCCGGCACGGCCTGGTCGACGCAGGCTACCGGGCCATCGACTCCCTGAGCATCGAGAAGGGTGAGCGCCCGTCCGGGCGGTGCCCGGGGGCGGCCCGGCCCCGCTGGGGGCAGAGAAGCCCCCGTGGCACCCCCCCCACCATGGTCCATACCCTCGCGTCCCCCACTGCCCATGACCCCTGCGTCCCGCCCCCCACTGGCCAGGGAGGGGGCTGGGAGCCCGACACCCGCCCTCGGATGGGGACCGGAGACGGGCCAGGCCAGGTTTGGGGTCGGTGCCCCGAGCTCCCGGGCCCCTCGGCCGCCCTCTCCTGACATCTCGGCTGCGGGGCGATCGCTGGCAGGCGCGGGGGGGTTGCAGCCGGGGCCCTGAGCCGGGCGTCCCTCCGCACAGGCTACCGGCACTGGCACGCAGACCTGCGGCCGGACGACAGCCCCCTGGAGGCGGGCCTGGCCTTCACCTGCAAGCTCAGGTCCCCGGTGCCCTTCCTGGGCCGCGAGGCCCTGGAGCGGCAGCGGGCCGCCGGCCTCCGCCGCCGCCTCGTCTGCTTCACCGTGGACGCGTGAGTGCCCCGTGGCCCCGGGTCCGCGCAGGAGGGGGGTCCTCGGGGCCGTGGGGACGCTCTCCCGGGGTGCGGGTTTTAAAAGAGAAAGATTCTGTGGAGCCACGGCTTGGTGGGCGGATCCAGGCAGCGGGCCCGGGGGGTCGGCGACCCTGTCACTGAGCTGGGACCTCCCGTGTCCTCCTGGGACGGGGGGCGGTGCGGGAACAGCCAGGCTGGGGCCGCCATCCCCCTTGTACGGGGACCACCGGTGCCAGGGGGCAGACAGGGCAGCTCAGGCCAGCCACGCGGCAGCGGTGTGGCGAGCCCCGTCTCGGGGCACGGATCCCTGGCCGGGCGCACCCACTCCGGGCAGGAGCCCCGGGCCCCAGCTGTCCCTGTGGCGCCCCCAGGAAGGTGCCCATGTTCGGCCTGGAGGCCATCTGGAGGGACGGCCGGGTGGTGGGCCATGTACGCAGGGCGGACTTCGGCTTCGCCCTCGACAAGACCGTCGCCTACGGCTACATCCGGGACCCCAGCGGCGGGCCGGTGAGTCCCGCCCGTGGGCCCTGCGGGGAGGGGGGGTGCACAGGAGCGAGGACCCCGAGCCCACGCCGGGCTGTCCGCCGCGGTGGGCGCCTGCGCGTCAGGGGTGCAGTCTAGCACTCCCGCAGCTCCCCGGTTCCCAGAGGGGTCTCAGCCGTGCGATGGGCCGGCCCCCAGGGGAGGAGGCAGGCGGGGCCCCCCCCGCACCCATCAAAGGGAACGTGTACCAGCCCCCCCTTCCCGGGCCCCCAGGTCTCCCCGGACTTCGTGAAGCGAGGGGACTACAGCCTGGAGCGGATGGGGGTGGCCTACCCTGCCCGGGCTCACCTGAAGTCCCCCTTCGACCCCGACAACAGGAGGGTGAAGGGGCTCTACTGAGGGGCCCGGAGACCCGCCCGCCCCCGCCCCTGCCCCCGACTCCCTCGGGGCCCGCGGCACCCTGGGACCCCAGCCAGAACGTTGGTGCTCCCGCTCACCCCCCACCTATGAGGACAGAAAGGTGGAGAGACCCCAAGGGCCCATCCTGTGGTCACTGACGAAAGGGGGTCTCTAGTCCACCCAACCCTCCAAACAGACCTGCAGTGTCCTGGCCTCAGGGGCCATACCAGCTTCTCGAAAGGTGCTGGGTGACATCGGTCGGCCCAGTGTGAACTCAGGGTAGGGGGTGGGCAGAGAGGCCCCACCTGGGGTTCGGAGCCTGGGTGCTCACTCCCCCCGGTGGCTCTGGAATCAGGGCAGGGCCGGGTGGTGCGTGGTGCCCGCCTGGGCCCACCTGCCACCAGGGCGGCCTGGTGGGACGGTTGGTCTCCCAGATGCCAGGGCGGGGCAGGTTGGGGGGGCCATGGAAGTCTGGAAAGAAGGCCCCTTCTGCCCCCCAAGAGTTTCTAGCCAGGAAACTGGGACTGGGGAGAGGGGTGCCCCCCCCCACTGCAGGCAGAAATGCCGTCTCCTGCCTCTGTTTCCCTGGGAGCCCCTTGAGGACTCAGTCTGAGTAAGAGCCTGGCCAAGTCCTCCTGCCCGGGTGGCCTTTGTCCTCACTGTGTGGCAGGCCCCAGCCCCTGTCCTTGTCGCCCCAGGGGGAGGACCTTGTGCAGAGCCTTAAGCGGGGAGGACACCCCTGGTTCCCCTTCGCTGGGCATCTGCCCTGTGACCCTGCGCCCCTGCCCGGGATGGGTGTCCGGCCGCCCCCTGGCCCCACCCCCACCCCAGGGGGGTTTTCTCCACCACTGCTGGGGACCGCCCCCCGTGACTTAGGCTGAATAAGAGACCTCCGGACCAGGAGCCACTAAGGAGACAAAACTTATTTCCCCGGCATGAACGCTGCCTGTTCTGTGCCTGGCCTCCTAGGCTTGATCAGTTAGCCAATGACGGGTGAGATTTCCCACGGAGGGAATCGCCTAAGGCAGGCATGATCACAAGGAGGTCTCAGGGAAGAACTTGGGGGGCTGTGGAAATGAAAGGGGGTGATGGACATCGACCCCTGCCCCCTCAGCTTTGTCAAAGCCTGAGTCCTTGTTCTTGGATGTGAGAAATCCAGGTCTCCTGGCTGCCTGTGTCTCCCTGCCCGACTCAGGCCTGCGGAAATAACAGGGAGGGGTGGTGCAGCCCCGACCAGAGTCGGCGGACCCCCGGGGTCGTCAGGCCTGGGACAGAGAACATGCAAGACCCTGTGAGACCTGTTTGCTGGAGGACGCTCTTGAATTAGGATTTGAAGGCACGGGCAGGAAATGAAACTAGCCTTTCAGGTCCTGTAGTGACTTTTTAAGTGATAAAACCCCAAACTCTGCCCAGAATCCCAGCGGGGGTTCTGTCTGCACCTTTGGAAGTCACCTACTCCTTTTGATCTTCCCTGCCAGACCGTGAATCCACAGACTGAGTCCGTGTTCTCAATAAAAATCTGCTTGGGATGGAGACGGGGCGCTCTCCACGAGAGACAGTGGCCGTCCCGTCCCTCTCTCCCCACAGGCCCCGGTTGTCCCTGTGCATGTTTTTCCCGAGTCTGGATGAGCACCCGCAGCAGGGCCGGACACTGCTGGCCGGCGTCCGCCACACAGCACTGGGCAGCCCAGGGGCCGGGCAGCCTCAGCAAAGCTGCAGCACCCGTCATGCCGGGGGTCCGTGGGCCTCTGGGAGGTGGGGTGACAGGTGCTCGGGGGACAGAGAGGACACGGTTCCCGCAAACTCAAGGGGCGGGGCGGTGGCGGGGGACAGGCCCTGGCCGCCCGCCGCTGGTCCCACGCTCGCAGCCCTGCCCTGGGCCGAGCCGGGCCCGGCCGGGCTAATAAAGCTGCAATCTGGGACCGCATGTGCATGGTGGAGGGTCGTCGGAGAGCCAGTGCGGGGCCCTCACTGGACCGCAGCTGGCCCCTGGTGGGCCTCTCGAAGGAGCACCTGCAGCCCCGACCCCACTGGACAGGGCCTGGCTCCCATGAGGGAGGCCATCCAGGGCCACCCCCCACGCCCTCCTGCCACGCCCCGCAGCCACAGGAAGGCCCCCGCCACGCCCTGCCCTTGCCCTCCCGCACTACCCCCACCCAGACGTCCCCCACCAGTGCCCCCGGGCCATCCTTCCTCACCGGTCCCCGTGTCCAGGTCTGCAGGTGTCCCGCACAAAACAAGCACCATGCCAGGAACCCCAGGCAAAGTGGGCAGAGCTCGTCTGGAAGCCAAGAGGGGGGAAAGGGGGCTGGAGCGCCCCCAGCTGTGCCTGGAGCTCAGGGAGGGAGGGGCAGTGCCCACAGAGGGCTGGGGGCCGGGCCCCGCCTCCCCATCGCTCCCATTAGCTCCTGTCCACTGGCCTGGGCTGGCGGAGGCCGCAGGGCCCACGCCCGGCTGCCCAGCCCAGGCACCTGCGTGAGAGTGAGGCCGGCGCTCGGCCTCTGGAGCCCCGCGGGGAGTGGGAGGGGCCCCTTGCTTCCCCGGGGCCTCACAGGCCGTGGGCGGGGGTGGGGGCGGGGCACCTCCCTCCAGCACAGCTGAGCAAGTGGCAGCGAGCGCCTTGGGCACTGGGGGCCGGCGTCAGTGGCTGCGGATGAGGGGCCGGCCCAGCGCTGAGGTCCAGGCAGGCCTGGCTGGCCCTGTGACCACCTGGGAGTGCAGGCTTGGCTCCCACGTGCGGCCTCAGCCAGCGGGGCCTCTGCCTCGTGAGGACCCCCTGCCCCGAGGGGGGAGCCACTTGCCTGAGCGGCACTTGCACGGGCCGGTCCTCTCACCCTTCCTTGTGGGCTGACGCGCAGAGACGCCAGGGCCCTCGCCGCTCAGGACAGCCAGCGCCTCCCGCCCCTGCCGCTCAGGAGGGAGCCCTTCTGTCACGGCCACCCGCCACCCGGTGTGACGAGGTCTCCCCACCCCCACCAGGGTGAGCCCCACGGCGGCCACACGTTCTGGTCGTAGCTCGTTCCCCGGTGCCCACCGCTCAGGCGTCTCAGACTGGACGGGGGGAGGGGCAGGCTGGGGCGTGGGTGAGACGCGGGACCGGCGGGGCCGGGGGGCGTGGGGCCGGCGAGGGGCAGTCCCGGGTCCCCACCTGTGTCTACCAGCAACCCTGCCCGAGGGCGGCTGCTGGGCCCGCCTTGTCGGCTTCTCGAGGGGCCTCGGCGCAGCCCCGCTGACGGTTAGAAGCACGCAGCACGGCCTCCTGGGCTCTAGTCTAGAACCTTCCACGGAAGGCTCCCCAGGGCCCTGCCAGGACTTCTGGTCTGGGAGTTGGGGGGCACAGCAGGATGCCTCCCACCCAAAGAGCTCCTGAACATGCCGGGGGGCGTGGAGGTGGGGGGGCCTGGGGGGAGGGGCCCAGCGAGACCCAGGCCACCGTCCACGGTCTCCGGCGCCTTTCAGAAGGCCCCGCGCCCCTCCCCCAGGCTCGGGGTGCGTGCGTGGGGGGGGCCCTGCGGGACACGTGGCCGCAGTGGCCGCCCCCAGGACCCCTGGGCTCGGGCCCCCCGTCCACAGGACAGGAGGGGAGGGTGGGGGCTGAGCTGGGGGAGCCGAGGAGTGTCTGTCCCCACCAGGGCATTTGGAGGTGTCGCTGGTGGTCGCACAGGGTGCTGCTGACCTTCTGCACCGGGGGGCCAAGAGGCCCAACCTTCCGCTGCGGGAGGGACCATCCTTGGCCACGGGGGCTGGTCCCGCCCAAAATGCCCCGGTGGTGGGTATTCTGGGCTCTGCCCAGAGCCGGCCAGGTGGGTCACTGAGGCGTGTTGGGAGAGCAGGCGGCCTGGGCCCCGCCCCCACCCACGGGCGGGCTGGGACCTCAGCCCTGGGCCCGCGCTGCCCCTGACAGCCGGTCTCCGGGCAGCCGAGTGCCACCGCAGGTGTGGGTGCTCCGCCCTCACCGGGGCTGGGAAGGCGCCCGCTGCCTAAGTTGAACCCGGGGCCACTCCTGGGCCCCGAGGCTCCCTCCAGTGGCCTCGGCACTGGGCGTTGGCTCTCCGAGCCTCAGTTTCCCTATTGTGTGGGGGAGCAGAGACAGCATGTGTGTGGATGTTACCCCAGAGCCAGTGTGCGGGGGGGCAGCTTTATCACAGACGCCCGGTGAGACAGTCCAGGTGGGTGGGGCTGTCCAAGCCACGGGCTGGGTGGCCCGGGGCGCACCCAGTGGCCTCACCGGTGGGGCCCCGCAGGCCTCCCTCAGGAGGGAGCCAATGACCAGCCGGAGTGCTGGAGAGTGAGCACAGGGCAGGGGCCACTGGGGGCGGCGGAAGGTTCTGGGCCTGGGTGAGATTTCTAGTCACTGCTCATCCTTGGGGGGGCCTGGGGGAGCCGTTTCTGCTCCAAGACCCTCGATTCCCTTTGGTGGGACCACAGGTGCCTCTCGGGTGTTTGGGGACAGAGTGACAGTGGCCAGCGAGGGCCCGGTGGTGTGAGGCCCGTGGAGCTCCTGGCTGACCGGGGTGCCGTCTGCACCGGCAGACTGGCGTGGTCCCAGGAGAGGTTTTCTCCTTGGCTGCAGACCGAGGCCTGAGGCGGGCTGGCCCGGCCCCCTCCCAGGCCTGCCCCTCGCAGGGAGGGGGGCCTCCCCTCCCGGGCCGTCCCAGGTTGTCAAGGTGACTGAGGGCCGGCGCTGCAGCCGCCGGGCCCAGCACCCCACAACCACCCCGCCCTGCGGCTTGCTGTGTGGGAAGCCGTGATTTACTCCCCGCAGTGCGGGGCCCGCTCGTCCCCGTGGTAATGCGGCGGCTCAGGGGGCGGGTGGCCAATCCACCCCAGCGGCACCCGCCGGGGTGTCGGTGGGCCCTCACCGGCCCATCCATCACCCCCTCTCTCCCCAGAGGCTGAGCCGAATTTTGCTGAGCTGGCTGAACGGAGCCTATCCGTCACGCCCCGGGGACGCCGAGAGCCCAGCTGCGCCGTACGGGGGGGGGGGGTGGGGGGTGGGGGGGAATCTCCGAGGGGCGGGAGGAGGGACCAGCAGGGGCCCGCGGGGACAGACTCAGCCGAGGCCTTCTCTGGAGGGAGCAAGGCCACCCCGGGTGTGAGCTTTATTGTCTTGTGAACTGGCACAGCCTCTGCCCATTTTACAGATGAGAACACCGAGGGGCGGGGGGCGACAGGGGCCATCGCAGTCACGCCCGCACCAAGAGGCCCCCATGCTTCAGAGGCAGGCGTGCTGGGGCCAGGAAGAGCAGGGAGGGGCTTGGGGAGACCCCCCCACCCATCTCCCTGGGGAGCTGGCGCCCAGGCCCGAGCCTGGGTCTCTGCCGTTGCGTCTGCGGTGGCGGCTGGCGCTTGGCTGGGACGGTTCCCCTCCGAGTGGGCGAAAGTATCTATTTACCCTGCAACGGAGCCATTTCCGAGGCGAGTCGCTAGCTAAGTGGCGGTCCTGCCTCCGTGGGCGGGGGGCCGCCCACCAGGAGGAGAAAGCCGCTCTGTGGGGGTGAGTTTCGGCAGCACCGGCACCCGACCCTCGCGCTATCGGCGCGGCGCGGACCTGGGGTGCAGCCGGGTGGGCGGAGTCCGCCCCTCGGTCCACCCAGAGGCTCGCACCCGGGAGGGAGCACTGGTGCCCGCAGAGACACGGGCGGGGATTGGGGGCACTGGGCTCCGGACCGCCCCGCTGGGTTGTCCTGGCACCTCCTCAGAGGGCTGAGGAGGGGGTCTCGGTCCGGCCAGTCCGGGCGGGGCGGGGCGGGGGCTCTCGGGGAACGCTCGGGCCGGGCAGGGGAGGATGCTGGGGTCTGTGCCGTGGTCTCAAGCAGGGGGGCGCTCAGGAGGGGCTGGTGCGAGCCCACAGGGGTGGCACGGAGGGGCGGCGAGGGGGCAGCCTGCCGCTCAGCCTTTGCCCCCACCCGTGACGACCACGGTGGGGCGGGCGGGGCACGCGCTGGGGCGGGCCGGGCACCGAGGGGCGGGCTTCTCCAGCCGGGAGGCGATTTTCGGCAGGGGCTGCAGCTCCCACTCCCCCTGCAAGGAAGGCACCGCAAGGTAAACTGAGGCCAGGGGGGCGAAACGGGGCACCCCCTCCCCTGCCACTGTTCCCAACGACCTCCTGGGGCCCTGTCCTCAAACTCACCTGGTCCCCAACCAAACTCACCCTCCCCCACCCCCGGTGGCTGCTTAGGGCCCCTCCCACTCCCTGCCCGCCTCCCACCCAGAAGCAGCTGGCAGAGCCCCCCGGGGGCCGGCTGGTGTTAGCCATCCCCACCCCAGGTGGCACCACACGCCATGGTGGCCGCCACGGCCGCCCCTTGCCACCCTCCCGGGCCTACATCCGCCTCTCCCTGCGGCTGGAACCCCTCAGTGAGCCATTAACCCGGCTCCCAGAGGCCCCCAGGGACCCTGCGGAGCCGTCCCCCCAGCCCCCCTCAGCTCTGGGTGTCCCCCGGGGTCCGAGACGAGGAGGGAAGCGGCTCCGGGTGTCAGACGGTTGGGTGTCTCACCGGCCCCTCCCGCCCGCGTTATTTTTAGGCTCTGGGGGAGGGCGCTGGCACCCCGCTCACAGCACCCCGGTGCGCCCCGAGATGCGATGTTGCCAGAGACGAGAGCCCGCCTGCCCACCCGCGTGGGCGCTATCCGTCTCTCCCCCTGAGGGGCTGTCTGTCTGTCTGTCTGTCTGGGCCAGGCTCTTTCCACCAGCTTCTCTCCCGGGTTTGTGTGAGTGCTCCTCGCCGGCTCCCTGGAGGGGAGCCCTGTCACCCCGCCCGGGGGTCCTCCGGGGCCCGGGGCCAGCATGCACGCCCAGGGCCGGGGCCAGGGCCGCGGCTGTGGGGACCCGTGGGGGCCCCCTGCGCCCCCGCGGGGAGGCCCACCTGGAAGCGGACGGCGGAGGACTTGTTGCAGTGCATGGAGATGGGCGCGCCGCCGTACAGGGCCCGGAGCGTGTCCCGGCTGAAGGAGTCCCAGGGCACCGCCTGGAACTGCTCGGGGGCCGAGAGCTGCTCGGGGCCCGAGGCCTGGGGGCAGGCGCAGGTGTCCTCACTGTGGAAACTGGCGGGAAGGTGGGAAGCAACAGCCATCTGGGCTGTGCCCTCGGGGGCAGGGGGGAGCCCCGCAGGGCACGGGGGCACCGGCCGCAGACAGGCTGGGGTCCCCAGAGTGGCCCCCACCCCGGGCACCGGCTCCACAGGTGCTGCCCGCACTGGGCCTCCTCACGGGCGGGCTCAGCCCTGTCTCCGCACCCCGACGGCTAACAGCCTCGCCCTACCACCTCGGAGGGGCCGGGACGGCCGCCCGGGGCTGGGTAGCGGGTGCTTCTCCGGCCAAACCCACGGGTGACGCCGGCCACGGGCACCTCGGGGGGCAGCAGAGGGGCGCTGGCCCTGCTCCGGGAGCCCGGCCTGAGTGCCTTGCCTCCCCCTCTGGGGGCCTGGGGTCCCGCAGCTGCCCCCCACCCCCCGCCCCGAGCCCAGGCCCAGAGCGCTCCCCGGGGCCGCCACCTGTCCACCATGCCGAAGTACTTCCGCAGGAAGCCGGGGTCCACTGCGCTCTTGCAGAGCTCCAGCTCCGTCCGCGGGTAGTAGTGCACGTAGTTGACGCACATCTCCTCCTGGATGCCCAGGCCGCCCTGCGGGGCGCGGAGGGCGTCAGCGCCGGCCTGCGGGCTCCGTTCAGTCTGTGCGCTCAACCATTCAATCAATCATTCATTCATTCATTCATTCATTCGCCGACCGGAGCCCGGTGGGCCCTGCACTCTCTCTGTGGCCACACTGCGTGTCGAATGCCCGAGGGAGGCACCTCGCCCTCCGCAGCCCACACTCTGGGGGAGGACGTCGAGTCCTCCTGGACGTGGGGACAGCCCCCAGGCGGAAGCCCCAGGCCGCAGGAGCCCCAGGGTTGGGCGGCGGGGAGAGGTCAGGGCCACGTACCACGGTGGCCAGCGTCCTGTCCTCCGTGTTGTAGGTGCAGGAAGTGATGAGCATGTCCCCCTGCGGAGCCAGCAGACGCCCATCAGCGCCCGCCCACCTGGGGCCGTGGCCCCTGAGCCCCTACACCTGAGAGTCAGACGCTGAGTGTCCCCAGGGAGGGACGACTCCTCAGCTTCTGGGGTCCCTCAGGGCACAGCCGGGCCCGGGCAGGCCGGCCGGTGACGCTGCAGGCTGGCTGACCCGTCACAGCCCTCAGGGCCCTTGGGCGAGTCCTGGGTGGCCGGGGGCTCCCCTTCTGCCTGATCTGAAGTGCCGCCGGCCACTGCCGCACCCTCATCCCCCGCTAAAGCTCTCGGGCTTTGTGGCCGGCTGACCGGGCGGACAGACACACCTCACCCCGGGCGCTGTCTGGTCCTCACCCCCGCCCCCGTGACCCTCACCAAGCGACAGCCTGGCCCTGCCCCGCACGGACGTGGGGGAGACCCTTGCAGAGCGCCCCCCACGCCCCAGAGCTGTCTGCCTCCCCCGACCCGGGCCCGCCCCTCCGGCCCGACCGGGCACTCACCGGGTACACCGACACCATCTTCTTCAGCATGCGGATCTCCTGGGAGGGCGAGGGCGAGGGCGAGGGCGAGGGTGAGGGGAGGGGACTCCCCTCAGGTGGCCGCAGACCCGGCTCCGGAACCTCCCCAGCCCTCTGGGCCGGAAGTCTGTCCCAGCCCCTCGGGGGAGCCAGGACTGGCTCCAGCTGGCTTTTGCCAGGAGGGGTTGGAACGAGAAGGTGGGTCCCCAGACAGATGTGACCACTGGGCTGCGTGGGTCCCCCAGGTCCCGCAGTCGGCCAGACCGCGGGTCGCGCCCTGGGAGTAGACGCCCAGGGGAAGGGCTGGCCACCGCGCACCCTGGCAGGTGTGCGGGCCTCGCCCAGGACAGGGCCCCGGGACGGGGGCGGTCCCCTGGCCGTGGGGAGAGAGCAGGGCAGGCGGGCCCCCACCTGGAAGTGAGGGCTGTAGTGGTTGTCCCTGTTCACGACGGCCCTCTCCCGGCCGTCCCGGGCCAGCACCGTGACCACCTTTCTCCCCGCCAGGTGCGTGTGAAGCTGAGAGGCAAAGATGTGTATCCCCGAGGGGGGCAGGGCCTGCGGGGAGGGGCGCAGCAGGGTCAGAGCCTGACCACGCGGGTCAGCGCTGCCCTCCACGGGCTGGCAGTACCGACCTCGGGCCCCGGGGCAGCACCGACCCCCGGCCACGGGGCGGAGGCGGCCCCCCCAGACTGACACCTGCACCCCTGGGCCTCGCCTGTCTCCCGCCAGCTGAATCCCGGTCAGAAAGACTGGAGCGGCAGGCAGGCGAGTTGCCGGGAGAGACACGCCGGTGTTGGAAGAGCCCGCCCTCCCCGGCAGCGGCCGGCCCCGGAGCCCAGAGGCCGGTTCGGGTGCAGCCGGCGTCCCCTGGGTCCCCTCTTGAGCCCCAAGGGCCAGCAGCCCACTCTGCATTTCAGTGACCGGACCAGCTGTGTGTAGCAGCTGCGTGGCCGGCCATCTCCCCGGTGAGACGTCCCCCCAAGTGCACAAGGACCGCCCCGCAGCCCTCTCCCCCGGAGGGACCATGGGCAGCATCTGAACACCGATCCCCAGGGACAGCTCGGCCAGGCCAGGACTGGGGGAGGCGCGCGGGCACCCAGGGCACGGGACTTGGGGGTCACGCCCACTCCTTCCGGAGCTGGGTCGCCCACTCTGCTCTGGGTGTTGGTGCCGACGCCTTTGCACGGGCCCGCGCACGGCTCTGAGAACCGGGCTCCCCAGCGTCCTGTGCCCCGGGAAGCGTGCTGGCCTCGGCCGGTCCGCCCCGGGGGACGTCCACGGTGAGAACCGGGCTGGGCCGCGCGAGGCAGCGGTTGAAAGGCAAGTCCCAGGTCACACGTCCACCTCGCGGGTGGATTGTTTTCAAACACGCCGCGTGCGGGGGCGTGGCGTACGTGCCACGGCGCGGAGTCTGGGAGCACCGAGAAGTGCCGCTAACCGGCCCCCTGGGGAGGAGGGACGAGCGCCCTGGGCGGGGCCGTGGTGGCCAGCCGCACCGCCCGAGTTTGCCGTGGGCGCTGCAGGTCCAGCCTGCCCCTGGGCTGGACGCCTGTTTCCCAACGCGACGCCGGGGGTCAGGGTCACTGGAGCAGGGCGCGGAGCGAGCAGGCGCCTGCCGTCGCTGGAGCGCAGTGCGCATGCGTGCACCCGCCGGTAGGCGGTGCCTGGAGGCACGTGGTGCCGGGGTGGAGGGGGAGCCGCAGCCCCCTGCAGGGCCGCAGCGGGGAACCGACCGGGGCCCGGGCCGCACTCACCGTCCGGGTGCAGTTGTCGGTGCAGTAGCCGGTGAGGACGAACGCCGTCTCCTTGGGGGGGATGGCCATCACGGGCGTGTACACCAGGCCCAGCTCCATGATGCCCGCGTGGAAGCGCCGCAGAGTGGCCGTGTAGTGCAGGCGGATGCCCGAGGAGTCCCTGCGGCCTGAGAGGAGGGGGCGGAGGTGGGCCAAGGCCTCCCCTGCCCCCGGGCGCACTGGCCCCAGCTGCCCTCGGGCAGGAGGCGGCGGGTCACCCCTGCTCCCGCCCGCCTACCTGCGTGCGTGCCTCTGCGTCCCCACACCTGTCTACACCGGGCGGCGGCCCCCTAGCGGGTACCCACACCCCGCCACACCCACTGGGGTGTTTGTGCGGATCCTGAGTGGGAGGCGTGATACAGGCAGGGGGCAGAGAGCGCTGTGGGGGCAGGGCGATGCCTGCAGCGGGTCGGGGACTTAAACGCCCCCGCTGGCTTCAGTGCTGCCCCCCTCGGTCCAGGGGCCTGAGCTGGAACCGGCCTGGGGGGCCTGCGGGGGCCTGTGGGGGCGGTGTGGGCCAGGAAGAGGCCTGGAACTCGGCCCGCCCACAGACCCCTCGGCCCCTCGGCAACCTGCGGAGGGAGGGGGCGTCTGCCCGTGGAAGTAGACAAGGAGTCTCAGGTGCCGGCTTTTGGAGGCCGCCCACGGGATTCCTGTGGCTGCTGCCCTGCAGGACGGGGGCACACCCAGGACGCCCACGGAGCGCCCTCTCAGGACAGACCGGAGCAGGCATGGGGACCCCGGAGCAGGGCAGCCCTGAGGGGCTCCCACTCGGCCTGGGGCCCCCGTGGTCAACAGCATGCTGGGGGCCTCGGCTCCGCGCCAAGGGCCCTTCCTAAGGAGACCTCGGGGCTCCTCGCGCCGCAGCCCAGCCTCGCTGGCCGGCTCCTGCCAAAGGCGCTCATTGGAGAGGCCACGGAGCTCCCTGGGCCGCCTGCCAGCAGCCCGTAGGAAGGTCGCAGAAGCCTGGGGACGCTGCCACCCGCAGGCACAGCCACACGGCCAGGCGGCTTCCGGCGGCCTTCCCCGCCGCCCCACCCCTGCGTGGGATGGGTCAGTGGCGGGGTCCTGAGGACCCCGGGGCCGAGCAGTGGGAGAGTCCCGGGGAGAAGAAAGGGGATAGGGGATGGGTGGAGAGTCCAGGTAACTTAAGAATCATCGTCCCCCATTTACAGATGGGGAAACTGAGGCTCAGAGCCTGATCAGACATGCCCACACGTCGCAAGGTCGCAGGCCCGGGAAGTGACGAGCCGGGATCACAGCCCAGGGTGTGGCTGGGGGGCGTGGCTCCCAGCTCCTTGGCTCGGAGGTGGAGCCAGGAATGCCCCCTCCCGCCCCCTGCCCCCGTCCCCGCCCCCCGCCAGGTCCCAAGGCGGCCTCCGTAGCTCTGGGCTGATTGCATCAGAGGATAATAATAAAGAGGAGATGCAACTGGCTCCTGTGGGGACGCGGATTAAATAACAAAACAACCGAGGAATTCTGGTATTTATGGAGACGCCGCCCACCTCCCATCTGCGGCCCGGCAGGCGCGCCCTCGCGTCTGGTCCGCCGGCCCAGCCACACGGTCGGTCGGGGAGAGACGGGCTGGCCCGGCGCTCAGGGGACCTGTGGCTCCCGGGTTTTAAATGGGCGATAAGTCCCGTCTCGAGCTAAGGCCGGGGCTGACTTCCGTCCCCCTCTTGGGTGCCCCAGGCGATTCCCGCGGCGGGGGAGAGGGGCGCGCAGCCAGCGGGAGCCGCCTGGGTCACGCGGGGCGAGGGCCCACCTCCACGTGTGAGCACTACAAGCGCGAGCTTTCGCACCCTCCAAGGGGCTGAGGGGGGCAGTGAGCAAGCACGGCAGGGCGGTCACCCATGCAGGGTCACGCCGCGAGGGACCCAGCCTGCCGCTGGTCATCTCCCTGGCACCGTCTCTGCTCCTCGCTTTCACGAGCTGAGTGCCCCTGAGGGGAGAGAGCAGGCGGGGGCCGCAGGCTGTGGGGCTCCCTGGTGGGGAGATGCCGGCAAAACAGGACCACGGCCGCCATCCCTGATGCGGTGTCCACTGACTGTCCACCCTCCGCCGCCGTGGCCCCAGCCACTGCCACCAAGGCCCCAGCTCACACTCCCCGCCCCACGCTGCAGCCAGGACGCGCACCCCAGAGCCAACGCGTGGCCTGGCGCTCTCAGTTCCTGGCTGGCGACCACAGCGGGGCTTGTCACCTTGCTGGACCTAAGGCCTGGCACCGTACACGGGAGGGGGGCGCTGCCGCCGTGCCGCGTCCCGCCCAGGGGCCCGAGGCCTGTGTCTGGGCAGCAGACTCAGCAGCACGGGGACCACCCTGCCCGCACCCGCGCTGGACCCACCGCCGAGCAATCCCACACGGTCACCTCGGACGCCAGGGGCTCGTGCCGCCGGGAGGGGCAGTGGGGGGGGCCCCCGTGAGCCGCCCCCCGCTCGCCGTCCCGACTCAGGGCGCACGGGGGCTCTGCTGGGAGGTGTTCCGTGGAGCAGGAAGGAAGCTCACGGCCAGAAATGCCCCAAACTGCACCAGGGGACAGCTGGCCCCGAGGACAGTGCTGGGGGTGCTGCCTCCATCGGCCAGGCCGCCAGAGGGGGAGTGCTGGGCAGGGACCGCCGCGGCCAGGCGATGGCCCCTTTCCTACCCTCGGCCCGGCGCCGTGTCCCCGCCCAGGCTCCTCTGGGAGGGCCCAGCCACCGGGCGCAGGTGCCGGTGGGGCACCTAGTGGGGGGGAGGGGCAGCCACTCGTCCAGCGGCCTCGCTGAGGTGACTTCTGGGGGTGGCGGCACATGGGACCGCTGCGGCCTGAGGCCTCTCCCCTCACCCCGGTGCCCTGGAGTGGGTGCTCCACGCACCCTGATGCTCCCCGCTGCTCTGGCTGGCCCGCCACGTGAGCAGGGGCGTGGGGGGAGGGTGGGCGGGCGGCAGTTCCTCAGACCGACCCGGCCCCTCACGGCTCCTCACGGCTCTGGGGTCAGACCGGCCCCGCTAGGCTCACGGGCGGGCTCGGTCAAGGCCAGACTCCCTGGCTCCAGGAGTCCCCGCTCGCTCTGTGGGGTTCCTTCCCTCTGGGCCTTCACTTCCCCACCTGCACAATGGGCACGCAGGAACCTCCACCGCCTTTCCCAGGGGCTGGCAGCTGGCACGGCGCTGCGCGCACGGTGCTGAGCCGGCCTGGGGGGGCCTTGCCCGGGAAACCCGCTGCAGTCGGGGGGGCGGACAGAGGGCAAGAGACAGGAGAGGGGCCGTGATACGACGGGCCACACGGGACACGGGGCTTTGGGAGGACCCCGGAGCGGACCGGAAGCCCCGACTGTCTTCCTGACTCAGCCCGGCGAGTGGAAGGGGCTGGGGGTGGGGGGGACAGGGAGGGCCCTGCGGGGCGGCCCTGGGGGAGCCTTACCTCGGATCTTCAGCGGGTTGTGGTAGTGGACCTCCAGGCGGAGGAACCGGGAGGACCCGGGGCCCCCAAAGGCAAGGCCGGCTTCCTCCGGGTAGTAAAAGGGCTGCAGGAGGGGGAACTGGGCATCAGGTTCCGCAGCCCAACTGGCAGGCGGGGGGTGTCTGGGGGCGTCCCGGATGGCACCCCCCCAGGACGGTGGGGGCAGAGCCCGGGGGCCGGTGTCGGTGAGGCAGCTCCCCCGCAGGTGGGCAGTGCGTCACCGGCGCCCACAGGGCTCCCGGACTCGGGTTGGGGGGAGCTGGTGCCCCTCGGCCAGCCGACCGCCTGAGCCCCTGCCAGCCTCCCCCAGAGGGTGGTGCACCTGGGGGAACCCAGGGAAGCCCCGGGGACACAGCCCAGGGAACTGGCCTGCTGCCACCTGCCAGCCCGGGGACCCCTGTGTGCACCCCTCCCCCAAGTCCAGCTGGGGCCTGAGGGCCGTCCCGGGGCTTTTGCTTTTTTATAGAAAAGTAACAAAGGCTAGAAAAAGTCTCCACGGCCTCCAGGGCTCAAAAAGGGGGGGTCTGTGGGCAGCTGGGGGGAACTGGGCCCCCCCCCAAGCAGAGCAGCAGGGGACACAGACAGGTGGGGGCCGAGGCCCCCCAAGAGTCCGGGGGAGGCTGGGGCACGCACCTCGGCGCCCAGGGCCCAGGCGGCCAGCACGTGGCGGCAGTGGTTCAGCCGCTGGGGTTTCATCTTGGAGTCGCAGGGCCCGCTGTAGTGGGACTCCTCCACCTCCGCGGAGCACTGGAAGACCTCCATGTGGTGCACCAGGGCCTCGTTGCCCGCGGTGATGACGGGCTCGTACTGTGGGGGGGGGGGGGGGCGCTGACTCCGGGGCTCCCTGCCCCGTGGAGGGCCTGGCCCCACACCCCCCCTCCGTGGGCCTCGGCCTGCCCATCTGCACAATGGGGGTGTCAGGGCAGGGGAGTTCCAAGCGTGCGTCTGGGGCTCCGGAGTTTGAGGGTGGGGCCTCCTGCCTGGAACCAGGTAGAATCTTCCAGAAGCCCGGGAAGAGCCACCGAGGGAAGGGACTGAGGGCCGTTTCCTGACGGGGGGTTGGGGGGGGTGGGAAAGGACTGTCCCTGCGTGAACGTGGCAGGCAGGGTCTGTCTGCACGAGGGCACAGAGGCTGCCCCGAGGCCGGGCCTGAGCCCGGGGACCAGACGCAGCCGTGAGCCCGGCCGCCCGGTCCCTGCCGGGAGACGTGGGGTGCTCGCTCGCACGGCCCCGCTGAGCTTCGAACCCTCTGCTGGGCACGGGGATGCCCACGCCCAGGGCCGTGTGGGTGCAGCAGCAGTGCCGGAGTGGGGACCGGACCACCACCCCCGGCCGGAGGGGGGGATGTGGTCGGGGACAGTCCTACCACCAGGGCAGGGTTTAGGGTAAGCGAGTTCTGAGGTGAGCTGCGTGTTAATGAAGGGGGAGGCAGCCAGCCAGACAGACAGACAGACAGCCATTCCAGCCCCAGGGGCAGGTGCGGAGCTCAGACAGCAGCTGCCTTCGGTCCCGGCTGGGACGCCGGGGGCGCAGAGGCCAGGGGAGGGGGCAGTGAGCGGGGCCACGAGGTCAGCTCGCCCTGGCGGCTGCAGGTCGGCCAGGGTGCCTGGGGGCAGGGCGCCAGGCTGAACCGGGACCCCGGACGGCGCCCCGGGGCGGCAGGGGGAGCCCCCCCCCCACGTACCATGACGATGTGGTGCTGGGAGAAGCCCTCGGGAAGCAGGGCCATGTGGCACCAGTAGGTGGTGGTCTCGGGGGGCACGGTCACGTTGGGCACGCGGATCTCCCTGGCCCTGGTGTCGGCGGGCAGGGCCGGCGTGGGGATGTCGGGCTTCAGCAGCTGCACCCTCTGCAGCCCGGTGCGCAGGCCCGAGGTGTTGAGGGCCTCCAGCGACGGCAGCGGCTGCTCCAGGAACCCGTACACCAGGTGGACCGTGTCGTCCTGCAGCCGAGACAGGGCGCTGCGCTCGCCCACCCTCGCCTGGCGGGTGGGGGTCCCAGGCAGACCCAAGGGGACACGGGGCGGGGGTGGGGGGGTGGGCAGGGTGCTGGCTCTCTCTTCCACTGCTGGGAGTGTGAACCACGCACACCACCACGCACAGGAGGTGGCATGGGGCACGCATGACGTGCTTTACCGGCGGGTGTGCGTGGGTTCACACACATGGCGGCAGCTACGGGCTCCCCAAGTTCATGGCCACGTAAACCTGGGAGCCCCGGGGCCGCTCCCTGCCGGGGGCGCCCAGAGTGGCAGCCCCCGGAGGACCCTGTGCCAGGTTCTTGGGAGGGTCCCCTGCCGGCCCCACACACTTCCCATGGGGCCTCCCTGTCCTCCTCGGGCGTACCACCGGCCCGTGCCACTGCCACACCACAGCGGTGACGGCAGATTACGGTGGCAAAGTGCACTAGAGAGTTAGAAGGCTTTTGTCTCCGCGGGGGTCGTTTCTCCCTAACAGGGGTCCTGGAACAGCGTGAGAAGCCTGCGGGACCCCCTGCAGCTGGGAACTCCTAGACAGAGCTGCGCGGGCCTTCCGGGCCGTCCCACCCGCTCTGCACCTCACAGACGGGTAAACTGAGGCCAGAGGAGGACGGGGTCTGCCCCCGGGCCTCGGAACAGGCGGGCAGCAGGGCCAAGGTGGGGAGCCAGGGCTCCAGGGATCTTTCCAGAATTCCACCCGGAGGCGAGGGCCCAGGAGGAGGAAGCGTTGGGGGCGAGATCCCTCGGGTCCCACCCAGTGTGCGAGGCCAGGGAGGGGGAGGCCTCGTCCGGGAGCCCGTCCCCTGTGTGTCCTGGGGGAGGACAGGCTGGCAGCAGGGGAGGCCTCCCCCTGCTCGGTCCTCGCCCCGAGCCTCTGGGTGCCCCCTTGGCTTCCTGTCCGTGGTCCTGGGCCCGGGGATGCCGCCCCGGGTGCGAGAGTGCTCCCCACAGCCCAGGCCACCCCGGGCTCAGGGGCTACCCACCTCGATGAGGTAGTCCCGCGGGTCGCAGGTGCTGAAGGGCCTCCGGAAGAGCAGGGACAGGCCCTCCGGGGTCCTCTGGGCCTGCAGCAGCTGGTAGTCCTGCTGGGCATCCAGGTGGACCTGCCCCTGCTGGTCACTCCAGGCGTCCTGCGGAGCCGAGGAAGGCCTTGGAGCCCTGCGAGTCGAGCGAGGCTGGAGCGCAGGGTCACAGCCCCAGGGCACGTGGCTCCACAGGACACGCCGGCCCGGAGGGTCTGGGGTTCCGGCTGGATGGGGGCTCTTGCCCCCTGTCCGGGTCTGCCTGGGGACAGCACTGCCGGCCTCTCGCCCTCGGCGACCCCGAGGCAGGGCTGGCGCAGGCCCGCTGGGGTCCCAGCTGCTCCGCCTCCCCCAGTCCCCGACCTCCGACCTCAGACCTCCGTCTGGCTAAGCAGGTGCCATGGCTGGGGAGGGGGCCTTCAACGGATACGGCTCCCACTGGTCTGCAGATGGGGGTTCCTGAGAGTGCCTGGAGCCATGGGGTGGGGCCGGGGAGGGGGGCTGTACTGTGCCAGGGGCTTGAGGGCGCGCTCAGCTCAGGCACCCGCCCTGCACTCACACGCCCCTGCGCCCGGTCCCAGCCGGGCTGGGGAGGGTGAACCGAGGAGGCCCGGGGCGGCACTGAACCTCAGGCATTCTCCTGGGAGGTCAGGCAGATGGGGCTGGCCCCGCCCTCCACTACGCCCCGCCCTCCACTACGCCCCGCCCTCCACTACCCCCGGCTGCTTCCCTCCCGAGGGGGGAAGTGGGGGCGTCCGAGGTCCCCCGGAGGGGCGGCTGGAAGGGACCGCCCCTCCCCAGCAAGCAGGCCTCGCTCGGTTCCCACTCAGGAACGCCCAGGGCCTTGGCTTGCTTCCAGGGCTGACGCGAGTTTTCTTCGTCTTCTGAGAAGGAAGAGCCCGCCTGGGGCTTTGCAGACACGCCCCCCCGAGGGACGGGCTGATGGGGGGGGGAGGGGCGCCGCGCCGGTTCGCGGAGGGACCGACTTGGCACGGAGGCAGAAAGTGCGCCCGCGACACTTGCCCGTGAAGTTTGCGGGAGATCGAGAATGCATTTGGCGAACATACGGCTTAAGGGAGAGGAGCGAGGCTGACATCTGTTTGCACAGGAATTTGTTGTGCAAATGAACCGCGGTGGGCCGGCGGGGGGTGGGGGTGGGGGGGGGCCGCCGGCTCTTTTCTCGGCTGCGGGTGGTGGGGGAGGGGCCTCCCAGACGGCTCCCTCCGAGGCGCTGGCCCCGGCCCGTCCTACCTGGGCAGCCCGGAGCAAAGGGCCGGTGTTCCCGCAGCCTCGCCCTCACCCGGGACCGGCACGGTGCAGCCCCGTCGTGGCGTCACCGGGATCAGAGGGGACACTGTCAGGGGCCATTGTCGGCTCTGGTCAACCCAGGAAAACCCCGACAACTGTGGAGGGACACTCTGCCCGCCCCCCCCACCACCGGTGGGCACGGAGGCCGGAGTCCGCCGGCTGCCTAGGTCAGCTCCTCTCCCACGGGCCAGCCCCCCCCCCGGGACCAGGTTGGAGCCGCTCAGTTCGCAGATGGAGAGAGAACCTTCCAGATTCAGGACGGTTACCCTCCCTGTGTCTGTCTGCATGGAGAGCTGGGGTGAGTGCTCAGAGAGGTCCCGGTGGCCAGGCCCATCTGGGGAGGGGGGGCGGGTGCCTGGGGCAGGTGCAGGGCCCCCACCCCGGGACCTCCTTTCTCTCCGTCAAGCCCCCAGAGATGTGCTGGTGGGACATGAAGGGCCCCCCCCCCGAGTCCACCCTCTACAGCTTGGACTTGATGGCCAGGGGTCCAGAGCTCCGCTCCCCGGGTTCGTGGCACACCGGGGGTGTCTGCGCCCACTCCGTTCACCTGCGTGTGCAGCGCTCGGCCTGCTGGGGCCGCGTCCGGGGCCCGCAGTGTGTGCCGGGTGCCACCAAGCTGGGTCAGGCGCGAGCACAAGGCCCTCGGAGGGTGTGGGGCCCACAGCCACGGGGGTGGGGGAGGGGGAGGCGGCAGCGGAGCCGTGCCCACCCGTGTGGCCTGTGTGTCCTCCCCCCGGCCCCGGGGCACGGGGGGCCCTGCTGTGTGGGGCGCGCCGTCTGGGACCCCCGAGGGCGTCTCCGTCTCATTTTCTCCTCGAATCAGCACCTCCACGGCACCCAGGCCGGAGAGAAGGGGAGGAAGGCCGGCAGAGGGGGCTGGGTGGGGGTTAGGGTTAGGGGGGTAGGGAAGACTCACCCCGAAATAGGTGGTGGCCCCGTCCGTCCAGAGCACGACCAGGTCAGCGTTCTGCAGCTCGCCGCGGTCCGACATCCCGAACAGCACGCCGGCCCCGGGCTGCCGCACCAGGAGCCGGAAGTGGACCGTCTCCTGCGGGTAGCTGACGTTCCAGGCCAGCTCCAGGGTGCCCTCGGGGTCCAGGGGGACGCGGTGGGGCCAGGGGCTCTCGGAGGGCTCCGAGCCCTGCAGTGCGGCCACCAGGATGACCAGGAAGACGGCCACCATGGTGCCGTACATGGAGGCGGCCTCGCGCGCACTGGGGCTGGGCACCTGCATGGCGGGCGGGGTGAGCGGGGCCGTCCCACCGGGCCATTTATACCCTGGCCCTCGGCGGGGGGCGGGCCCAGGCTGCCGCAGTAATCGCATTTGTCTGGCAGAGAATCGAATTGTCCCGCTGACCCTCCCACCAGCTCGCGCCCCGGGCCAAACGCCCTGCCTGCCTGGTTCTCTTAATCGGCGCTAATGGCTCATGGGCCTGGTCAGTGGGGGTCGAAGCAGACTGGCCGTGTCCCCTCAGAGCTGCCCCAGAAGAGCTGTCGGAAAGCGGCCCCCGGCCCTGCAGCCAGAAAGCCGGTCAGGCGCACCCCCACCCCGGGGCAGGCGTTGGGCTGACCACCGGGGGGGCTGGCCCATCCTGTGCCCCCACAGCTTACGGGGTGGGCCCCGTGCCACCCCGTTCATGGGGGCGGGCTGAGGGAGACCCCAGGCTGGTCTCCCAGGTGACCGGTGAGCCAGGAGACCCTGCTGCGGTGGGCCTGGCCCAGGGGGCCGCTTCTGCGATGCCGGAGGGTGGACCACTTTCGGGCTAAAAATAAAAGACGGTCCCCAAACAGGCCCTGTGTGCAGACACTCGCTCCCCGGCTGCGGCTCCGCTCCCCCGCAGGCTCCAGCTGGCACCGCAGCTGCTGCAGAGGGAGTGGGCGCGGTGTCGGGGTGGGGGGGGCGCGGGGCACGTTTCTGGGCGGCAGAGTCGGTGATGCTTTGCTCAGGGGCACAGCGTAGGGGGTCTTGCTGCTGGGGGACAGACGGGGAGCAGGGGTGTGAGTGGCTGGGCCGCTTCCCTGTCTCCACAGCTCCCAAACCCTTGACATCATCTAGCCGAGAGCAGGCCTGGTGTGAATTCGGATCCTCCCCGGGCAGCCGGCCGGTTGCCCTGGTTCTCCTCACACCGGAGGGCCTTCCCGTAGCTGGGTCCTAGGGCCCTGAGAGCCTTGGGAGTCAGTCCCACCACCTCAGTCCTTCTCTGTGAAAAGTGGACTTGACACATGCTGCCACTTCCAAGAAGTCCTCCGTGATTGCCTCCTGCTCTGACCTCAGTCCTCTCGCCTCAGGCACCTGACTCACTCCCTCCCTCCCTCCTGCCCTCTCTTCCCCCTCCATTCTCCCTCCTCCTGTTCCTCTCTCTGTGGAGAGACTAAGAACCCAGCCACAGGGACACAGTGATGTCACCAGCCAGCACCTAACTTTCCGTCCTTGAATATCTGCAATGACGCACTGTGAGTAGGCGGCACCGGACTTGGTGCCTCAGGGAGGAGAGACTGTGTCTTTGTGTGACCATGAACTCTGGAGAATGTCCCAGCCCTCCCCTGGCCCGGTGGGTGGTGCCCTCTGCCGCCCAAGGCCTGGCAGTCCAGCAGAGCCACAGCGGGCAGGAGACGGACAGACGGAAGAAACGGAAGGCCACCGGGCCCGCCATCCCGGAGGGCATGAGGAGCTGCGGGAGAGCCCCCCGCATGGCTGGTGGCCGGCACCAGGGGGGCACCCAGCTGCTGGGCCTCATGGTGGTGGATCCCACAGGCTTTTAGGCAGGATGGCCTGGGTTGGGCGGGTCAGGCCTCGTTCTCCAGATTCTTCCCAGAACCTCGCCCCACGTGCCACGTGCGGGCATCGGGCACTGGAGGGCGAGGCGCACACCTGGACATGCACGTGGGACCCGACGCCCTGTTCTGTGTCGCTCGGGGTGTTGGCGCTCCAGATTCGGCCCCCGGGGGCCCCCCGGTGGACGACCCGGGGGCGCTTTCCCACCCGGGCCCCGCCCCACGCGGAACCCAAGCAGGCGGACGGCAACAGGTGCTTGTCCACTGGTCCCGGGGTTCTGGGGCCTGAGAGGTGGGGGGCCCGGGGGCGGGAGACCCCTGCGGCTGCCGCATCCCGCGGACACAGGCGTGGCTCTGCCGGGGGGCGGGGGCCGCCCCTGCTCCAGCTGGAAGGAGGCCGGTGCATCGGGCTTCCTCCACAGGGGACCACATGGGTCCGGCCGGCTCCGGAAACGGCAGCTTCCGAAGGCTGGGAGTGACGGGGAGCGTCCGAGTGTGGCTCTCGAGGGGCCGAGCTGGACCCGCTGCCCGTTGCCCCGCTGGCCCTGCCCTCCGCTGCTGTCCCCGCGGCACACACACACACACACACACACACGCACACACGTGTCACCGCCGTGCACTGCCCCGGGTTACCAACCAGCTCCCTCTTGGCGCGTGTTGGGGTTTGCTTTTCAGTTTCAGCGCGTGGTGGCAGGGGCTCAACGGCCACTCTTGCACCCGTGTGCCCGTGACTCTTGGGGACGGAGCCCCGAAGCGGCGGGGACTGGTGGGGCCGGGGCAGGCGGGCTTGCCCGCCGAGGTCCAGGTTCCCGGCACCTCCGCGGTGCAGGACCCTCGCCCTCTGGCTGCCCGGCGCCCGCCGGGGACAGCGTGGCTCCCCCCCACCCCCCGCCCCCGCCCCAGAACAAATTCGCTCTCCCAGGCGCCCCGGCTCTGGCCCCGCCGACGGCCGCGCTCGCTGTCGGACCAGGCGGCTGGCCCCCGGCCGTGCCCCGATGCGTCACATCCACGCGGGCAAATCCAATCAGGATCCGAGCGCCGGGCCATCTGCTCTGCGCCGGGGAGGCTGTGCCGGCGAGCAGGTCTCCGTGCCCCGGGGCGCTTCGGACCTCCGCGCGGCCGAGGGGAGCGGCGGTCTGCGCACCCTGATCCAATTGTCCCCCCGCTGATCAGATTACCGAGACACTCGCCCGATAACGCGCCCGGGGACCGAGGCCATCTGCCGCACGTAGGGGGGGGTGTGTGGGGGAGGGGCACTCGGGGCGGGGGCGGCCCCCTCTCTGACGGCGCTCCGCCGGGATCTGGACAGGGCGTCCCGGGGACACTGGCCTTGAGCGGAGTCACGGCCGAATGCCTGTCTCTTGCCTGGACCCCAGGTCTGCATTTGAGGTCCCCCCGGCATGACACGGCCACAGAGGCCACCGTGTGGTCATGCTCAGGGTCCCGGGGGGGCACACCTCGTGGCGTCCCCGGTGTCCCCCCCCTTGTCTGCTCTGGGTGACACTGTCACCAGCGCATGGTGGCTGAGACCCTGTCTCAGCGTGACGCGGTGTCTTTCTGACCTCCAGCCGACCCCCTTCCCCACCTTTGGGCAAACAGAGGCTTCGGGACGCCGCCTGGAGGGGCAAAGGGCAGCCCCAGGTGAGCCGGCGTCACCGTCCTCACTCAGAGGAGGCCCCGAGAGTCATCGGTCACTTCCGTGCTGGCGTCATTTTGGTCGCTTCCTGCTGTGTGGTCTCAGGCTGCTGAGCAGATCCCAGTCCTGGCCCCGGGTCAAAGTGCCATCCCAAGTGCGGGGCGGAGGCCGCCCAGGCCCACCTGCTGTTTACCGTGCGTTTAACAAGATTCTGAGGCTTCAGTCAAACAGGAAACTAAGCTTACTTCCCCCCCAAACCCCAACAAGTGTCAGAAAAAAACTTTTAGCCTCACCTGAGGATATTTTTTCATAGCTTTTAGAGAGAGAGGAAGTGGGGGCGAGAGAGACACACACACACACACATCAGTGAAATGATACCCACCCCGGCCGGGGACCAAACCCACAACTTAAACACGGGTCCTGAGCAGGAGGCGAACCCACAGCCTTCTGGTGCGTGGGGTGATGACGGTTCAGCCCATGGAGCCCCCCTGGCAGGGACAGGAAAAAAAGTTTTTAAATTCACAACAGAATTGGTGTAAAACAACGAACACGTCTTTTCAGAGGATCAGAATTCTGTTAAGAATCGTAGAAAGATTCGAAGAAAGAGACAGCATGAGGAGAACACCTTCTAGAAGGTTCCTGGCGAAGACGGTGCAGGAACAGCCTGAGGCCCCCACGCCCAGCGCCACGGAGAGAAGGTGGGCGGGACGGCACGTTCTTGGGCTGCGGCCACGGAACCGACAACCGGACCCCTCCCCCCTCCCCCACTGTGCTGGGCAGCCGAGGGCCCCCGAGTCCCCAGAGTAAACCAGGGACCAGTCACCGGCCGCACAGGACACTGACCAGGGCACTGCGGGCCTCAGGGCACCCCCAGCCAGGGGAGCAAGTCCTCGGCTGGACGCTGGGACCTGTCCGCCTTCCGCGGCGGCTCCGGAACCGACGCCAGCGGCGGACGGAGGGGCGGGGACTGTGCTGGGACGACCGGCGCCTGGGTCGCGTGACCAGGCCGGGCGCAAAGGCCGAGGGAGCAGAGAGCCCTGGTCCCCGACACCGAGGCCCCGGACACCCAGGGACGGCTGGCTCCAGACGGCAGAGGGAGACTCGGGGAGAGGCATAATTGCTATCTTTGGAGGCTGGAGAGGGGTTATCGCGTGTGTGAGTCAGGAACCGGCTTTCACAGGAAAGAGCTAATTAGAGAGCCCGGGCGTTTAAAATAGCCGGGCTGCCGAGCAGGAGGCAGACGCGCGTGCGAGGAGCACGTCTGCGGGCCGGTGGGGCCTGGCGCGCCCCCAGGGGTCCGTCCCAGGGGGCGGCGCGTCGGGTGCCGCCGGGGAGCGGCGGGGGCGGGGGGCGGCTCGGGTGTCACCGCCGCCATATGGGCGTCCCCGGCGGGGAGGAGCCGGGATGGAGGGCGGGAAGGGGCCAAACATCCGCCCCCCCCCCCCAGCCGTAGAGGGACCCCGTCTTCAGGCTCAGAGGGCTCCCGGGCCAGGGGCCGAGCACAGCAGGAGCCCTGGGCCCCCTGCAGGCGCTGGCGGGGCCGGGGGCGGGGGTCTCCAGACCTGGGGAAAGAGCGAAGATCCCCCCCAGGGAGGGCTGGGGAGCAGGGCCCCGAGGGCGAGGGCGGAAGTCAGAACTGGGGCGGGGCCGAGAGGGACAGACGCCCTGCCCTGCGCACCGGTGTGGTGGGCTGGGCCCCCGGCAGGGCTCCTGGGGGCGACTCTGAAATGACGGGGACACAGATCGCCCCCCCCTCCCGGGATCCGAGAGACGGTGCGATGCGCCCGCCGCCCCAGAGCCGGCACTGGGGTGGGGGCAAAGCG